CAACTCCCCTGCAATTTCACAACTCACCTGCAATTTCACAACTCAACTCACCAGCAATTTCACAACTCACCTGCAATGCACCCCTGTGCCCATGCACCCCTGTGCCCACGCACCCATGCAAACGCCTATTCACTAACAGGCAGTTCAGAGCATTCATGGCATACCATGATGCCATGACGCCATGACGCCAGGATGCCATGTTGCCATGATGCCATGACGCCATGACGCCAGGATGCCAGGATGCCAGGATGCCATGATGCAATCACACCTTTATTGCAGACGGGGGAAGGTCCTTGAAGTCAATGGGCGCGTCGAGATAAAAAGGCACTCTCGTCAGGCGACTGGGAAGCGGAATTAGGCTGGTGGGGTTGGGGGGAGATGGGGGAGGAGAAAGGTTCAGAACAGAGCAAGTTCATGCCACGGGATCTTATTCCATGCAATTTCTTCTCATCGCATTCCATCCCATTCCATCCCATCCCATGCCATCTTACCGTATGCCAACCCACCCCACCCCATCGCATCTCACCTGGGGAGGCTGTTGCCGGGAGCAACCGTGACAGGACTGAAATCCGTGGTAGGGTAAAGGCAGGGCGACTCGTACAAGGAGCGGAAGGGCTTACAGACGGGAGGACAGCCATCCCACTGCATCCCACCGCAATGCAGCTCACTGCATCCAACCTGGGGAGGCTGGTGCCGAGAACGGTTGTGACGGGGCTGACGTCTCCTTTTGAGTCGACTCAAAAGCAGAACGGTTGTGACGGGGCTGATGTCAGGGGTGGGATCAAGGCTGAGCGACTCTTACATGACTCTGAGGCGCCCGAAAAGTCGCCCACCCATCCCATCCCACCCCATCTAACCACATCTCACATCTTCCGACCACAATTCACAGCATCTCACTCACCTGGGGAAGATGGTGCTGGGAAGGGTTGCCACAGGGGAGTGAGGCTCCTCAGGGGCGCACCATGAAAGGTAACAGGTTACAGTGAGAAGCTCGTATAAAGCACACTGTGTGGGCGTACATATCAGTCAGGGGGTTGAGTCATCTTGAGCACACTGTGAAAGGCAACAACTTACAAGTGAGGCTACTCAAGCGCACATTGCACACCACGAAAGGTAGCAGCTTACAGTGAGTGTTAGGGTTGGTTCGCCCAACCACGGAACCTACGGCGAAAGCTTCTACGACGGCGGAATGACGGCGAAATGGAAGCACGTGGATGATTCTAGGTGAAACGGTGGAAATCGGCCTACGGTGGAGAATGGAAGCTACGGCGTGAGAAGCAAGAGAGAAATTGGGAAGAAACTAGAGAAATGGAGGAAGAAGAGTGAAGAAGTATCGAGATTGGAGTTGACAAGGGGAAATTGTGGTTCGAGACTGAGGCGTGTTCGAGAAGGTGCTGGATTCGGACTCGAGGAGTGTTCGGCGAATTCGGTTCGGTTCCGTGTGCGACTCGGGGTGAAACGAGGCGCACGCGGTTACTTGGGAAACAAGTGAAGTTACGAATCGCATTTTGTGTCTTGCTTGACTATAAAACTGCTTGTACTCATTCTGGAAATCATAACATTGAAACCAATCAGATTCTGGAAATTGCTGAAGTGTGTATTGACAACTTCAAGCAGAGCTGCGCATATCGTTGGATTTGGGAGATCGTGGAGAACACGATAAGCAATAGCAAGTAGACTATTGCCGACTAAGGTGTTTACGATCCTAAGAACTGGTCCTCGTCGAAGCTTACAGTGAGAAGCTCGTATACAGCACGAGGCGATGGCTTGACATGGCCGAAGCTGCAAGGGCGAGGATGGCATGGGGATGGGTGGGATGAGATGGGGATGGGTGGGATGAGATGGCATGGTGGGACGGGATGGGGAAGCATGTGGATAATGAGGAGCAACCATCTGAACTGCCAGTCCTGCTCACCACGTCTCACCTCGCTTCACCTCAAATCACCGCATCACACTTTCGTCATGCTTCTGTGCTCCCTTTTCCCGTTTACTACAGAACTACCTCAGATACCCTTCCCGTTTACCTCACCTGGCCCAGCACCTGACCCAACACCTGACCCAGCACCTGACCCAGCACCTGACCCAACACCTGACCCAGCACCTGGCCCTCCATGGAAGCCCACCTTTCCATAAGACTGCCTACAGATGGCTGCGGCACTTGAAGCAACACCTTCGAGCACCTTACAGCACCTGACAGCACCTGACAGCACCTGACAGCACATGGCAGCACCTGAGAGCGCCTGGCAGCACCTGAGAGCACCTGAGCCCACCTGTCAAGAAGCTCTCCCAGAGATTCCTGCAGCCAGAAGCTGAAGCTAGGATGAGGAAGACAGCGATTGAAGCAGCATCTCACTGCACCGCAGTGCACCTGACAGCATCTGGACCCACCTTTCCAGAAGCTCTCCCAGAGATTCCTGCAGCCGGAAGCTGGGATGTGCGAGACAGCGACACTTGAATCCCCTCATGTACAGCTCATCCCCCTCTTGTACTTGAAGCTGGGTCGCCCTCGCCCACCACCAGCGGCAATACCAGCGCCTGGAGCAGCTAAGGGCGTGCAATGGGATGGGAGGGTTGCGGTGTGACTTTATAGCAGCAATGGGAGTGTGAGCGGGCGGGTCGTTCGAGCGGGGTGAGTACAAAGAGGAATATGGGATCAGCAAGAATGTAACTTTGGCACCTGTAGGTTGGCGTATCAATGCTTCGCCCAACGTCCTCATGCAGCCGCTCCGGCTCCCTCCCCTTCAGCTGCCTCCTGCCCCTTCTCCTCCTCCTCCTCCTCCGCCCTTCCGCTCGCCTTATCACCTGGTGGGGAGGGTTACCTAGTGGGGAGGGTTACCTGGTGGGGAGGGTTACCTAGTGGGGAGGGTTACCTGGTGGGGGAGGGATACCTGGTGGGGAGGGTTACCTAGTGGGGAGGGTTACCTGGTGGGGAGAGTTACCTGGTGGGGAGGGTTACTTGGTGGGGAGGGTTACCTAGTGGGGGGGATGACTCACTTGCTGTGGGGCAGCAGGGCGAGCAGTTGGCTTGTCTCTGCCACTGCTGGCAGCACCCTGTCCTTTGATGACGCCACCTGGTGGGATGTTGAGGGGAGGCATTATGGCATGGAAGGGTGGAGGCATGGATGGAGGCATGGATGGAGGCATGGATGGAGGCATGGATGGAGGCATGGATGGAGGCATGGAAGGGATCATTGCCATGCAATGATAAGCCCCCCTGGCTGCAAAGGAAGCAAGTGCACTTCAGCCACTCGGGTCTCTCTGCTTGCCCGGAAGTTCCTATCTCGCTCTTCCCTCTGCCAGCACTCTGAATCACTCCTTGGGCAGCTGAATTTCACCTGGTGGTTTGCGGCTGATAAGACGGAACCAGCGCAATCCACGTATGGAAAGATGGGTGGCGGCGAGGGCAATTGGGCTGCCACTGGCAGTCTGTCTGCCCGCCCACATGCACTTTTGGAAAAGTGCATGTGGGGGGGCAGGTGTGTGAAGAGAAAGGGAGGGAGATGGAATGTGGCACAGAGGTGGTGCGTCAGACAACATTCCTTTGGCACCTTTTCTCCAAGTTGCAACTTCTCTCCACATAAGACAAGGAAAGGTGCAATGTGGCTTGGTCCACTCCCCATCCCAGCCCTACCACCCTCAGCCGTGCGAGCTCTCAAAACCGGACCACGCTAATGCCACTCCCTCCTACAATAATGCCATTGTTGACAAGTCCGCCTACCAGCAGGGTGGGCGTGGGGATGGATCGCAGTACGGCATCCGACAGACCTGAGGCACACGCTACCGGCACGTAGTCGATCGATCGGTGATAGCAGTGATGCCTCTCCGCCCCCACTTCCCCCGACCCCTCTCTCAAACACAGAGACATACCAGCAGGGTGGGCGTGGGGATGGATCGCAGCACGGCACCTGATAGCCCTGAGGCACACGCTGCCGGCACGCAGTCGACCGGTGACAGCAATCGCAGTGACGCCTCCCCGGCCCCCCTTCCCCCGACCCCTCTCTCAAACACAGAGACATACCAGCAGGGTGGGTGTGGGGATGGATCGCTGCACGGCATCAGACAGACCCAACTGGTCGTTGAGCAGCAGTGACAGCCCTGACTGGTTCTTAAGTTGACTCAACGCCTGAGTCGATACAATCTCTGAGTCACATCGACTAAAAACGAGAGCATCACCGTACCAGCAGAGTGGGTGTGGGGATGGAGCGCAGCACGGCATCAGACAGACCCAGACTGGTCGTTGAGCAGCGACAGCAGCCATGGGGCAGCACAGAACTGATTCATCACTGCACACACACAAAACCCAAAACTATGAGAAATCAGTGCTGCAACACAAAAAGCACCAGAGTTTCAGAGTTACTAAATCTAAAAAGCTGAAACTTCACGGTCAGTACAAAATACCACCCTGAAAATCAGAGAAATTAGGGAAATAAGAGAAATCAGGGAAATCAGGGAAAAAATCCCTGATGTAAGCACTGGTGCTGACTTATGAGGCCCTGGTCCAAGCAGTCCAAGGAGGATGTAAGCAAGCTCTTGGCACAGTATAACAATGATACAATAACCATGACAACAATAGCAAGAATAAGGTGACTTTTGAGTCGACTCAAAGGTCCAAGCAGTCCAAGGAACATGTAAGCAAGCTCTTGGCACAGTATACCAACGATACAATAACCATGACAACAATAGCAAGAATACAATGGGATAGGAGTGAAGTCTATGCAACAATTTTTGCTGCTCAATCCTGGATGCTTGGAACGACAAACGGTTTTTGCCGATAACGGCAGACCTCAACGACAGACCTCAACGACAGAGCTAAACGTTGGATATCTATGATGCATGGGATGAGCAGCGCTGTGCTGGCTAGATGAACCCGGAGATCGGGAGGAGCTTGGACGAAGCAGCACTGCTGGCGGCACTCCGTTGGAAGTGCTGCTGCGGCCATGCTCCTAGCGAACACTAGTCAGGGTGTGCCATTTTGAACATTCCCCTGTTCTGGGAGAAGACTAATATGGTCCGCCCATCCCTCCGCCCATCCCTCCGCCCGTCCCTCCGCCCATCCCTCCGCCCATCCCTCCGCCCATCCCTCCGCCCATCCCTCCGCCCATCCCAGGTCCACCCTGGCCGGGTGCTGCCTGCGACCCTGGAGCAAACCACCCTGACCCGCCCATGCCTCCGCCGCCCATGCCTCCGCCGCCCATTCCGCCGCCTCCCATTCCGCCACCGCCCATTCCGCCTCCGCCCATTCCGCCGCCGCCCATTCCGCCGCCGCCCATGCCGCCGCCGCCCATGTTCCCCCCTGGACCCATGGCTGCTTGTGATCCGGGAGCAGACGACCCAGGTCCGCCCATGCCGCCACCCATTCCGCCACCGCTCATTCCGCCGCCGCCCATTCCGCCGCCGCCCATTCCGCCGCCGCCCATTCCGCCGCCGCCCATTCCGCCGCCGCCCATTCCACCGCCACCCATGCTGCCGCCACCCATTCCGCCGCCACTCATTCCGCCGCCGCTCATTCCGCCGCCACCCATGCCGCCTCCGCCCATTCCGCCGCCACCCATTCCGCCGCCGCCCATTCCGCCACCACCCATGTTTCCCCCAGGACCCATGGCTGATTGCGAACCTGGAGCAGAGGAACCAGGTCCGCCCATGCCCCCTCCCATTCCGCCACCGCCCATTCCGCCGCCGCCCATTCCGCCGCCGCCCATTCCGCCGCCACCCATGCCTCCGCCGCCCATACCGCCGCCACCCATTCCGCCGCCGCCCATTCCGCCGCCACCAATTCCGCTGCCGCCCATTCCACCACCGCCCATTCCGCCGCCGCCCATTCCGCCGCCGCCCATTCCGCCGCCACCCATTCCGCCGCCGCCCATTCCGCCTCCGCCCATTCCACCGCCACCCATTCCACCGCCACCCATGCCGCTTCCGCCCATTCCGCCGCCACCCATTCCGCCGTCACCCATTCCGCCGCCGCCCATGCCGCCGCCGCCCATTCCGCCGCCACCCATTCCGCCGCCACCCATTCCGCCGCCGCCCATACCGCTTCCACTGATTCCGCCGCTCTGCTGCTGCTGCTGCTGCTGTCCGGTCGAGCTTCCGCCTCGCGCCCATCCGCGCATCACCCCCCGCAGCTTGTCCGCGTGGAGCCCCGCGGAGAAGCGATAGGCCAACGCCGCGTGGAGAGACGAAACAAGAACAAGCGAGAGGAGGAGAAAGGCCGTGCTCAGGTCACGGCGACGACGCTGGCTGGACAGAAATGAGCCCCTCTGCGTCATTGTGCTGACGTTGCGTATGGTTCAGCGGAAAATTCCACGTAAGATTGTTTTCTGGAAGTAGCAGGTTGGAATCAAAGAATCGAAAGCACCTAGAGAAGTTGGAAAGCTCGAAGTCCTATCTTCTGCAAATGTGTGTAGGAGTGGATGGTGTGATGAGTTGCCAATGTGACCCAGCCCTTTTGTACTCCCGTCGAACCGCGAATACTGCTGCACATGAAAATGATTTCCGCGCGGCGTGATGACTGGAGCAGGAACCAGCGGACCAATGGCTATCGTCTAGTCAAGCGCTTGAAATTCGAGTCAACGCCTTGTGAAAAAATGTTGACCACTGTACCTTTTGTCAACAGCCGACCTTTTCCGTTCGTCCTCCCACGAAACGAAATTCGAAGAAACTCGTATCCCTGATAACATTGGATTCGGTATTCGCAGTTCGTGACGCAAGACACACATTGATTTCTATTTACTATAGCGAAAGTTCTGGTTATTTGCGTGGGTTTTGCTGCACAGCCCGAATAAAATTCGCACCGATCAAGCTTTCACAAGCGCGGATAGACCAGCAGGGAAGTGCATGAGTGACTGACAACAATCTCACCCACTCGCGTTCCGCCGCTCGCGCGACCAAGCTGACGTGGCAAAATGCGGAGGTCGCTCGACGGCAGCGAAGGGGGGTTATAGAACAAGGCGAGATGGAGAACACAGAGGACTTTCGCGAGATGGATCGCATTTTAAAAGTCGCGCAGTGATTCGCCGCTCCTCGTTCGACGCGCAAGCATTGCGACGCGCATGGCATGCGAAGTCGGTGTTACTGAGCTCGGCGATGGCGGCAGAGGGTCAACAACAAGACCCGAGCTCCGCAACGCGCAACGCGCAGCTCCGCCACGCGCAGCTCCGCCTGGCCTGCCCTTCCCCGCCCCGCCCTGTCCATCACAATGCCGCATTCCGCAAGCCGCTCTCTGTGTCACTCGCCATTCCTTCGCGTCTCGTCTCGTCTGCCTCCCTTACCAGCTCGGCCGAACCTCAGCCTTGCCAAGCTCAAAATTCCTTTTCCCACCCCCAGCCTCCCAAAGCTAGGCTGTGCCATACAGCTCCAAGCTTAGTGCTCCCTGGGTGATAATCCTTCCTAAATCTTCCCTGCTGCTGCTGAGACATCCGTCTGACAGCATCGCCGTCACCCGCCAGATATGCGGCTGATTTTCACCCCACTCTGAAACTTGATGGTGTGACTGTTGAGGAGAGTCGTAAGGTATGGGCATGGCGCTGCTGCTTGTCATATGATGGTTGTGATTCATGCTGCTGCTTAGTGCTCATGGGAAAAGCTAAGCTCACACAGCAGTTCAGCTCATACAGCAGTTCAGCTCACACAGCAGTTCAGCTCACACAGCAGTTCAGCTCACACAGCAGTTCAGCTCATACAGCAGTTCAGCTCACACAGCAGTTCAGCTCACACAGCAGTTCAGCTCATACAGCAGTTCAGCTCATACAGCAGTTCAGCTCATACAGCAGTTCAGCTCATACAGCAGTTCAGCTCACACAGCAGTTCAGCTCATACAGCAGTTCAGCTCATACAGCAGTTCAGCTCATACAGCAGTTCAGCTCATACAGCAGTTCAGCTCATACAGCAGTTCAGCTCATACAGCAGTTCAGCTCACACAGCAGTTCAGCTCGCACAGCAGTTCAGCTCGCACAGCAGTTCAGCTCACACAGCAGTTCAGCTCACATCGCTCACCGCCGTTCGCTTTCACCTGTTCTGTTTGAACATGGTGGGGACATGCGGTCTTATGGTATCGCCGCTAGGCCCCATAAGCTTCATGGTACAATCGGCATGCGTGCTCACACACACTCTCAAGAGCCTTGTGCTCTTGTGATTCAGTATGTAGCCTATGGCCCACAAGCTACACCACTCACCCCACGCGGCATGCATGCCTTGATACAAGATCACATCCCAATATTTCATCCACCAAGCTCAGCTCGCGCCAGATTCTATTATTCTACTGAGAGTGCCATGCCAAAGACTACCAGCACCTCAAATTTCTAACCCACCTGTTCGCAAAGTGCATAAGGGGGTGCTGCTGTAAATTGTCACGGTTGACATGGAAGGGAAGTCCTAAATACGTGTATGCCAAAAGGGGTGTCCTCACATATGCTAGATCTTAAAACACCTTTTGTAGAGGGCCCTTTATTTGGGGGATTACAGTATCGGATGTAATCAACCTCATACCTGAATGGCGGAAATGTAATTCACGCCAACGCTATGGATGACGCAAGCACCGCTCGCAACACAACAATGGAACAGCAGTTTTCACCCTACCTATTCAGCACATCCACCTGCTCCAGTGAAAACCATAGAAAGAGCGAGAAAAGTTTTTGTTTCCGCCTTTGCTCTCTCCCTAACATTCTGCTTTATCAGCAATCGCCTGTCCTTGCTTCTGCCTTTGCTCTCTCCCCGCAATATAACCCCCCTGCCATGCCTCCATCTCCTTATTCAGCATCACCCTGCGCGCTCGCACCGTGCATTGTCCCACCTCTCCCTCCCACCCTTCCTCATCTCTCTCCCCTTCTCCCTCCTCCCCTTACAAACTCCTTCCACCGCCTCCTCTCCAACAACACCTAGCCCCCACCGCCCCTTCTTCACAAAATCCTACTCCCTTTTCTTGCTATTCCCACGCCAGCCCAGCCGGAGGCAAAGCGTCTTGTGGTTGACGCACCTCCCAGAGGGCAGAAGCAGCTCTTCCAGCTTCACCAGAGACGTGAGCTGCTGCAACCCATCATCCGCCACCCCAGTGCGCCGCAAATCAGCCTGTTTCAGAGTGGTGATTTTTCCCACATGCGCCATCCCAGCAGATGTGACACAACTGCAGCCAGCAAGGTCCAACCGCTTGAGGGAGGGTAGCCCCACGAGGTTCACCAGGCCAGAATCGGTCACCTCGGTGTTCGCGAGAGAGAGACACTCGAGCCTACTCAATGCCTCAACGCCCTTCAAGTGCTCATCTGCAACAGGTGTGCCACTCAGGTGTAGCTTCTGCAGCCATAGCAGCTTGTTAAGGCAACTGATGCCCTTTGCAGTGAAGCCCAAGGATCCAGCCAGGTTGAGAGCGGTCAGGTGAGTCATGGTGGATACACACGCAAGGACGGCATCAGAGAGGCCAGAAAGACCGCTCAAATCAAGCCTGGACTTTCCTGAGGGGGACTCGAGTCTCTGGAGGGGATGAAACCCGGGGGTTGGGGGGGGAGGTTCAAAAGTCAGAATGTTGTACCACATGCGAGGAGGAAGGGAACAAAACCAAGAAGATGACGAAGGAAGAACGATAGCAACATAAGGCGGCGTATTAAGAAAAGAACGGTTCATATGGGTTCAAAAATGCCGCTCACCTGCCAGATCGCTTCACCAACCCCCTCGCGTTGTCCTCCTTTCGCCGCGCCGTTCCACACGGCCTCACAGCCTTGCTTGCCGAACTCCCTTCCACCTTCTTCCCTCACCATCGCACCAGCCCCCTCACTGCCTTCCTGCAAAGCACCCACTGTGTCCCTCAGTTCATTCGCCTCTTGTTCTGCAGCCTTCCTGAACTCAGCCAACTGCTGCTTCACTGCTGCCAACTCCCTCTCCCTTTGCTTCAGCACAGCTGCGAACTTGGCGGTTTTCTCCTGAAACTTCATCCTCATCTCATCCACCTCCGCTGTAATCTGTTGAGGCAAATCCTGTCTCGCTGTTGCCAACTTGCCCTCACTAAACTCACTCGCTTCCCTTCTTGCCGCCTCTTTGAGTTGAGGCAATTCCCGGGTTACCCCCGCCAGCTGTCCCTTCACTGCCGCTAACTCCTCCTCCCTCTCCACCATGCGTGCAGCAGTGCAGCCGTTTCTCTGCTCCACCGCACCAATGATGTTTCTCATCTCGTTCAGCTTCCGTTGAGATGCCGCCTTGTTCTCACATACCTCTCGCCTCACTGCTGCCAGCTCCCGTTTCACTTCCGTCAACTCTCTCCCCTTATGCTCCCGAACTTCACGCATCTCCCTTTCAGCAGCTGTCTTGTAACCATGAACCCTTTCTTTCAGTGCAGCCAAAGCCGCCTTGACAACCACCAGCTCCAGTTTACAAGGAGCTATTTGCACCACCCTATCCACAGAGAGCTTGAGCTCATGGACAGCCCTGTCCATCTCTCCTTTCAATGCAGCCAAACCTTCATTGACTCCCACCAGCTCACTTTTACCGGCACAACTTTGCACCACCTGAACCACCCGATCCACACCGAGCTTGAGCGCATGCACAGCTCTGTCCCTCTCACCTGCTTCCCTCTGCATTCGTTTCATTGCTGCACTTCCCTGAGCCAGTACCTCTGTCAACTCACCCACCCCTCTCCTCCTCTCCTCCCTCTCTTGCTCCAGCTCCCTCGTCAGTGCTTGCGCTTCATCTTTCGTCTCGTGCACTTCTCTTCCCACACGAGCTTCTGCTCTCTCACGCTCCTCCAGTTCCTTCCTTGAATCTCCAAGGTGAATCTCCAATGCGCTGATTCGCTTCTCTGCCCTCTCCATAGCTGCTTTCAGCGAGTCTGTTCCCGCCCTTTGTCTCAGCGCTACCACCAAAGCCTCATTTGTCATCTTCTTTCCGAAACTGCCAATCTCACTGCACATGACACAAGGAGGCGCATGGCAGCATGACGAAGCATGTAGCAGCACACGAGAAGGAATTGAATGGATGACTGCATAAGAGCATCGAACGAGCATGCACACATTATGGACAAGAGGGGGAAAAACTCCCATGCGAGGGAAACCAAGATGAGGGGGGTAGCGAGAGCTGACAATGATTTTGAGCAGGTTATTACAGATATGAACGTTGTATGATTTGATGAAAGGGAAAGACAGAGAACGGGAGGAGAGGTGGGAGAGAGGGTAGGGTAGGGAGGTCCTCACATGGCTTTGTGAAGAAGTGGGTAGTTATCAAGTTCCTGCAGCAGGTAAGGGAGGGACTGCGTTGGAGAAAGGGAGAGCGATGAGGAGGGAAGCAGGAGAGAGTAGGGAGAAAGGGAGGAATTCTTGGTGTGATTGGAACGGGACGAATCGACACAGGCACATAGATTGACACAGATTGGAAATCAGTCCCATAAGAGAGAACAATGGTTGACATCAGAGAATGATAAGGAACTTAACAATCAAGGAGTGGCATGATTACGACGACTGAAGGCATACCTTATCGCTCATCAGTCTAGCAGTATCAAATCAAGGACATGACTCAAAGCATACCGCCATAGCACCAACACACCACTTGTGAGATACAACCAAGCAAGCAGACGACTCAGCGCATACCATGAAGGACGCAGTTGCTCTCTTCAGCATCGTCAGCTTAGCTTTCGCAGCCAAGCCCTGCAGGCGCAACCACTCCCACACTTGTGCTTGAGTGACGTTCATCCACCAAAGGAGCACTATGAGCGGACACAGTGCAGTGTAGAGTACGTAGAGCTGGAGTCACACACATGTGCACAGAGCAAGGCAGTGTGTTCCGTGGTTAAGAGGAAAAAAAAAGGGTTTGTCAGAAACGAATTGACAAGAGAGACCATTGAAGCAGACCTTAGAGTGACGTGGATGCACGAAGGTGAGTGTACACGCACCAGAGTATGCAGGAGATAAAGAGGCAGACGGTGAAAACGGCCAGGTTGAGCTGAAGGCTCTGCCCTTTCGTGGGACTGAAGCCGAGCCAGGCCTGTGACATTGTGACCTGTGGCAGTGCCGTTGGGCTGGAGGGAGAAAAGAAAACAACTCCTCACAGAAAGGTATACACACATGGTGACACGGATCAATTACAAGCAATCGCTGGCCAAAAAAAAAAAAAAAAAAAAAAAAAAACTTCCGTTAACTTGTATGTGACAATTTTATTGCACCACTTCATAACCACCTATTCACAAGACTGAGCAGGAAAAAAAATGCACCTATTTTGAAACGTAGATTGTGCGTGCTACCTCAAGGAGGGTTGTCGGTTGATGCACGAGAGAGCGGTTCGCTTCCAGGCTGGGAGGTTCTTGTGGAAGCTGCGAAAGGCAACGGCCAGGAAAGGTGAGAGAAAAGGTAAGGGCAGAGAAAAATGGTCGATATACAAGCTTCACATGGCATGGCGACCACCACAGCACATCTCCATGCTTTGGATAGCAAGGACTTATGACTCACATGGCATCGCTTCCAGCAACACCACCATACATAGACAAACTCGACCTCGTTACGCTCAAGCACGCACAATCTCATCCAGATTTCATAGATATCAAACATAGATCGGAATTGGTCTCGATTTGACTCATACATCGGAATGGGCTTCATCGCGGCCATCTATCACTGGCAGCAGCCTCGATACTGTCACAGCAGCAAGAATCACTGCAACCAGCAGCCCTGCCAACGCCGTAGCCACTCCAGCCATTCGCGCCGTGGTGATGAGCTGGGAGAAACCAGGAGAGAGTACCAGCTGAGCCGAGAAGCACCACGCTTGGGGCGGTTGTGGATGAGAGACTAAGGAGAAAGAGGAAGTGCTGGAGATGAAACACGAGATGGACGACTAGAGAGATTATTGATCCATGGGCGAACACGAGGTGGGAATTCGGTATTGATGAGCTCGAATGACAATGGAGAGATATAGTCGGGATAGAGCTCGAAGAGGCGTGGACGAGACGCGGAAAGACGAGGGACGATGTGAGAGCGATTGACTACATAGAGAATGGAGCATGGGGATGACGATAAGGTCGGGCAGGGATTACATGTGAAGAAGTCATGCAGTAAAGGCAGGAACGCCAGCCATCAGGGGAGGCAGGCACGGCAGGCATGCAGTCGACAGTGCGACAACGAGCAGACCCGAACCGAGTAGCCCGCCCAGCATTTTGACATGCTGTCATGCGTGGCCCGTGTGCTTGCTGCCGTGACGGTCATGCCTCAAAATGATGACGTCATTCGACATCATGCATGGACGTGGCAGGAGTGATGGCTAGATCAAGATAACGTCACTTCCGAGTCGCAGCGAGCAGCTCATGAGCACGACCGTCTCATGCGAGGGTGTGGTGGACAGAAACCGTAGGATGTGAAAATCATCCTCATCTTCATTCGTCGATGGACTTTGCCCAGGACTACGGATCTCGACGTCGGTCCCTCCATCGACGACCGGCTCGGAAGAGACTGCCTCCTCGCCAGCTGAGGTCCGTCGCGACTCTCGTCGTGCGAACCCACTTTCCCGTCCACCCAACACCCACCCATCACATGTCATCCCCACCCTCATCTACATCACGAGGCCCAAACTGCCAGCGAAGAAACGCATATGCTAACCCGTGTGCGATGAGCCTAAACAGCCGTCAGGGGCGTCCGACTCATTGCACACGTCGCATGAATCGTAATCCGTCGCATTTCACTAAGCGAGAGGAACACGTAAACAAGGCGTGGAAGATGGCTAGAACACGTTTCCCATTCATTTTCTTCAGTTTCGGTATGAAGTGGTCCGAACCTAACCAAGCCTCCAGAGAAAATGGCATCTTTAAACTCGGATCCTCGTTATTGGATAAACGAGACCTGGTACAGTAACCCCGCATGACATTTTGGATTGAAAAGGGCTGAACTTCCGACAGCTGTTCCAAAGTCTTGGGAGGGGTTGACATCAAGCAATCTGCTGAGTTCGCCACAAAGATCTTGCGAGAGATTTTGCGATTCCGCGATTTGCTCGGCCATCTTGACGTAGCAAAAGGTAGAGGGCGCTGGACGCTAGGGCAGGCGTAGCCCTGAAACAAGGCAAGAACATTGAGGACTTTCGCGAAAACGATTTATTGTAACCCCGCGGCAACTCCGCCGCACGCCGTGGTCATCGCGCGAGCACGCGCGCGAGGAGAGAGGATTTCGATTCTCTCTCGTGGCATCGAAGAGCACTTCAATCCATCCACCCTCGCATGGCGTGCTGCTGGTCCGCTCCTTGCCGGGACTCGCAAACATTGCGACTTGTATTGCATGCAAGCGTCTTACTGAGCTCGGGGATGTCCCGGCGGGACCCTAGTTTTGCCAGCGCAGCTCCGCCATCCGCAGCTCCGCCAACCGCAGCTCCGCCATCCGCAGCTCCGCCATGCGCAGCTCCGCCATCCGCAGCTCCGCCATGCGCAGCTCCGCCATACGCAGCTCCGCCCTACCGAGCCTGGCCATTACGCCGAGCCAAGCCAAGCCCAACCACCCAACTGCCCTAAACCCTCGCCAGCCTCCCAGCCTTTCTACTGCTCAAGCCTTGTGGTTGCTCCAGCACCCACCACCTCGTTCTCCCCTCTTACCACCTTCTCCCCCTCCAAGCTCCGTTCTCACGTTTTGATAATCCTCCCTGATTCTTCCTTGCTGATCGCGCGGTATGCCTCGAGTGGCTAGAGTGGCTGCAGTGGCTGTGGCGGGGGCAGGGCTGTTAATCGCAGTGATTCTTGCAGGTGTGACTGTATCGAGGCTGCTGCCACTCAGACATGGTTCGCATGACAGCAACGGCATCACCCGCCAGGTATGTGGCTGATTTCACCTCACTATTGCAGTTTTTGAGCGATTGTTGCAACGCCTCAATATTCATTTCAACTTACACCAGGACTAGAGCGAGTCTGTCGTTTTGGTCAGATTGCCAGCGTTATAGAGCGTCATGAGGCAGAGTGGAAGTTATGTGATGGCTGTGAGCTATGCTATTACACCCGGCCGTCAACCATCAGTCATCAACCATCACCTGTTCTGACACCTCTCTCTTCTGCTCTCGCCCGTTATAACACACCGTTCCTCTCGCCCGGTCTAACACCTTTCTTCTCTCCCCTGCTCCCCATGTTGCCGTTTGCAGCTTCCACGTATCATTGGCGGCCTCCCAGCAAACAACTCACTCGAGCATCAGCTGCAAGCGAACCACTCTTTGGTGCATCAACCGCCAACTCCCCCTGAGGTACGCACACGAGCACATGAGCTGGGCTAATGCAGTGAGTGAACTGGTATGTCACATGGATTAGACGAGCTAGTGCGGTGAGGCATGCAATCAGGCTCACATCACATGCACGCCCTCTTACTTACCCAATGAATTCCATAATAAATTCACAATCTTTTGCACATGCACATGCACACTTGCATACCTACACAGTCAGCTTCACAAGTCAATATCACAAGGCAATTACACAAGTCAGATGTGGTTGATCTTTGTTCTGACTCACAGAAGCTAACCTCCCATGCACGCCAGCATTTTTAACCAGTTAATTTACAAGTCAGAGGTGCTTGCAACCGCAGTTTAGTGTATCAATGTGTGTGTGTGTTGGGGTGTGGGTGTGACGGTGTGTGTCTGTGTGTGGGTGTGTGGGTGTCTCGGTGTATCGATGCATGTGAATTTCATGTGACTTGGGGAACATTAACCATGTCGGTGTAACAGTGTATCAGTGTATCTATGTCACCATGTCACCGTGCTTATCCACTGGATCCAATCCCTCTTGTTTTGTTCCTCCCCCCAGCCCAACGCCACAGCCACGTGTCGCAATGCCACAGGACTGGTTGTTCTTCAGGTGGAGGAAAGCGCAGACTCTTCGGTTCAACCTGTCTTTTTATGCGCTCTGGCACTTCACCTCCTCCTAACCCTGGTGCGTGCACCCTCACTCATGACACGCGCGCGTGACACTCACTCATGCATGGACGGGGAGTGAAAGTCTGCTTGTGGCATGACCCCTGCCATCCGCCCTTTTATTTACTCTGGCACACTTTACCTGCGTTTTGTTTTGCTCCAGCGTTTCCTCATGCTCAAACTGATTCTGCCCTGCGGTCCCTCCAACCATGAGTGACAGCAATCCGTTTCTTGCCATCCAACTGTTTCTTCAGCCCGTTCTGCTCCCCTGCTTGTGCTCTCTACTTCCAACATGCGTGATTCAAGTAATGCTGTATTGTGTGCTGTTGGTGTGCGTGGGTGCGTGGTTGTGTGGGTGTGTGCGTGTGCATGTGGTTGTGTGTGAGTGCGTGTGCATATGCGTGCGTGCTGTGTGCGTGCGTGTGTGCGTGCATGCGTGCGTGCGTGCGTGCGTGCGTGCGTGCGTGCGTGCGTGCGTGCGTGCGTGTGTGCATGTACGTGTGTGTGTGCATGTGCGTGTGCGGTTGCGTGTGTGTGTGCATGTGCGGTTGTGTGTGCATGTGCGTGTGCGTGGTTGTGTGCATGTGTCTGTGTGTGCATGTGCGTGCATGGTTGTGTGCATGTGCGTGCATGGTTGTGTGCATGTGTGTGTGTGGGTATCCCCCCACAGCTCTACGTGCTCTACACATTACTGTGCCCTCTCCTAGGGCTGCTCTGGTGGATGGACGTGTCTCAAGCACAAGTGAGGGCGTGGGTGCAGCGACAGGGCTATGCTGTGAGGGAGTGGGTGCAACGGCAGCGATCAGCTTTGGGAGCCAAGCTGATGAAGCTGATGAAGCTGATGAAGCTGAGGAGAGCAGCTGCGTCTCTCGTGGTATGCCATGGGTTATGCAGTTCATGCCTTGCGCAGTTTATGCCATGACTCTTGCTCATCGTGACATAAGCTGCACTTTTGTTGCTTCATGTTCAACCACGAGGGGTAGTCTCTGATTGCACTCTGTACCAGTTTCTGGTTTCATCCTCCTGCCATGGGTGCATGTCGCCAGTCTCGATGCATTGGTTTTCCAAGTAGGTTCCGTCCAAACTGCACACAGCACCCTCAACACCTCCTTCAAACCGCCCACCTCCTCTGTTCACTCAGTCTTCCCACTCCGCTTCAATTGCACCCCATCTCAATCCCTTCTCCCTTCTCCCTCATGCCTACTTCCGGTTGTGTCTCTCCCCTCCACGTCACAGACACTTGGAATCTTACCCCGACTCCATAGTGCCATGTGAGAATGAATGATATGCCTTGCCAGCTGCGCTGCATGCTGTGTGCTGCCTTCCTTGCTGTGTGTCGTCCCTAGTCTCACTTATCATATCTTTTCATGTTCTTGTATGCGCCTGCCCTTTTTCCCCTTCTCGTCTCACATTTGCTTGCTTGCACATCTCAGTCCATCTGTTTCCGTTTGCTATCTGCGTTCGATGCTGTTTGCTCTGTGCTGCTTTCCTTTCTGCCTTTCTTTCTGCGTGTACCATCTACCATATCTCTTCGTTTTCTTGTACGCTCCGGCCCTCTTTCCCCTTCTCGTCTCACATTTGCTTGCAGATTTCGATTTTTTTTTTAATCTGTTTCCATCCCGATGTGCTGTCGCGTGCAGGGAGCTGTGCACTTCAGGGATGAGAAGCGTGAGCGATGCACTTGCTGCAATTCTCAGACCAAGGGACGGAGCAGACTCGCTGAAGCAAGCATGGGAGAGGAGAATGAGCGCTCTTTTTATGCAGCTGGCAGCGGCAAGGAGAGAGGAGGCTGAGAGGGAAAGAGCGGTGGAATGGAGTGAGCTGAGAAGGCTACTGGATGAAATAAGAGATGGAGAGCGAGCAGTAATAGCTGAGGTGGTGAGGGAGAGGGAAGAGCGGGAGAAGGTGAGAAGGGAGATGCATGAGTTGAGGGGGCGATTGAGAGAGGCAATGGGTGGTGGTGCATTGGAGAGTTTGGTGAGAGAGCGATTGGGAGAGGTAATGGGCGGTGGTGCATTGGAGAGTTTTTTTAGATAGCGATTGGGAGAGGCAATGGGTGGTGGTGCATTGGAGAGTTTGGTGAGAGAGCGATTGGGAGAGGCAATGCGTGGTGGTGCATTGGAGAGATTGTTTACAGCGCGATTGGGAGAGGCAATGGGTGGTGGTGCATTGGAGAGTTTGGTGAGAGAGCGATTGGGAGAGGCAATGGGTGGTGGTGCATTGGAGAGTTTGGTGAGAGAGCGATTGGGAGAGGCAATGGGTGGTGGTGCATTGGAGAGTTTGGTGAGAGAGCGATTGGGAGAGGCAATGGGTGGTGGTGCATTGGAGAGTTTGGGGAGAGAGCGATTGGGAGAGGCAATGGGTGGTGGTGCATTGGAGAGTTTGTTTAGAGAGCGATTGGGAGAGGCAATGGGTGGTGGTGCATTGGAGAGTTTGTTTAGAGAGCGATTGGGAGAGGCAATGGTTGGTGGTGCATTGAAGGGAGAGGAGGAGAGGGAGGGAGGGGGAGAGAGGGTTGGACCAAGGGAAGGGGGGGAAGAAGAGGTAGTGGTAGAGGAAGGGGGAGAGGAGGAGGAGGGAATGGATGAGAGGATGAAGGAGGAGTGGAGGGAGGGGAGGAGGAGGGAAGAGAGGAAAGGGGTGGAGAGGAGGAGGGAGGAGAGGAGGAGAGATGAGGATTGGAGGGAGGAGGAGAGAAGAGAGGAGGAGAAGAGGACGGAGAAGAGGGAGAAGAGGAGGGAGGAGGAGAGGAGGAAGGATGAATGGAAGGAGGAAAGGAAAAGGGAAAGAAAGAGTGGAGGTAGGGGAAAAGGCAGTCGCCTGGAAGTTGCATGGCATTTGCATGGCAGTTGACAGGTGTCAGGCAGGTGCGATGGCATACCGTAGACATGGCCAGGAGTTTAGTGAGAATAAGTGACTCTTGCTTGACTGTTGCACGGGTAGAATACTGCATCGTCTGTTTCTCGTGAGAGAATACCTACCATATGACTGCAATGGATGTGAATTACCAGTAATCATGGCAAAGAAGGATTGGCCTACAGCTTTTCATTCACCTGGTGGAGCTTGCTTTGCATCATCAACCTCTCATACCGTATCTAAAGACCTAGCAGTCCAAGGAACATACCATACGGTAAGACTCTTGACATACGGTAGTATAACGACTAGAAAACACATGTAAGGAAGACGACAACAGCAATTGAGCTCAACCTAGAAAATCCAGGTTGCTTGCAATCACAAGCAAGCCCACCAGTTTTGTTGATACGTTGACAGAGCTCAACCCTGTATATCTATGGTGCATGGAATGAGCAGCATTGTGATGGCTTGATGAGTGTGGCGGTCAGGAGGAGCTTGGACGAAGCAGCACTGCTGGCAGCACTCCGTTGGAAGTGCTGCTGCGGCCATGCGCCTCTGAGAATGCTGTTTGGGGTACGGCCATGCTCCTAGAGAACACTACTCACTCAGGGTGTACCATATGGGGTGTGGCCATTCTTATACCTTCCCTTGCTTAGAGGAGAACACTACTGTGGCCTGCCCATACCGCCTCCCATGTTGCCCCCAGGCCCTCCCATCCCTCCGCCCATCCCTCCGCCCATCCCTCCGCCCATCCCAGGTCCACCCTGGCGGGGTGCTGCCCGCGACCCTGGAGCAAACCACCCTGACCCGACCATGCCTCCGCCACCCATGCCGCCGCCTCCCATTCCGCCGCCGCCCATGTTCCCCCCTGGACCCATGGCTGATTGCGATCCGGGAGCAGAGGAACCGGGTCCGCCCATGCCGCCGCCCATTCCGCCGCCGCCAATTCCACCGCCACCCATCCCGCCGCCGCCCATTCCGCCACCGCCCATTCCGCCGCCGCCCATTCCGCCACCGCCCATTTCGCCGCCGCCCATGCCGCCGCCGCCCATTCTGCCGCCGCCCGTTGCGCCGCCACCCATGCCGCCGCCGCCGCCCATTCCGCCGCCGCCCATGTTCCCCCCAGGACCCATGGCTGATTGCGATCCAGGAGCAGAGGAACCGGGTCCGCCCATGCCGCCGCCCATTCCGCCGCCGCCCATGCCGTCGCCGCCCATTCCACCGCCACCCATGCCGCCTCCGCCCATTCCGCCGCCGCCCATGCCTCCGCCGCCCATTACGCCGCCGCCCATTCCGCCGCCACCCATTCCGCCGCCGCCTATACCGCCGCCGCCCATTCCGCCGCCGCCCATACCGCCGCCGCCCATTCCGCCGCCGCCCATTCCGCTGTTATAGTCACAATAGGCTTGAATGTGCCTAAAACGAAAGATAGAGAGCACAGACGGATTTCTGCACAGCGGCTTCAAACGTTGATAGCGTTCTGCTCACAGCTGCAAATGACTTGATTCAAATTGGATCTGGAGCGTCTTTACGTCGTCTAAAATTAGCAATTTAGATTGCACGATTTGATAAAGAATTGACGACACAGCGTCGGTTTGAACGAACGGTACTATGGCAGCCACTATAGTCTTAGAACACAAGATAGGAAGAGTTACGAGTTGGGAATGACTCCCAGCTCCTACAAACCCCAAGAGCCGAGGTACAGTGATGTGGAACAGTGCCACACTGTCCCCAACCACGAAGGGTCTCGAAACTACCCTTCACTAGGGCCTACACCAAGTGAAATGTTACACTACACAAAGTAATGTAACTATCTTCAATATCTTGAGGTGTACCCTTTTTGGCAAGCTTCGAAATCACTTGAGGCTTGACACCAAGGCTCGGGCTCTTCATCACAAACTCATCCTTGAGTTCTTGATGGGTCTGCTGCACACACCTGCGACACGCCGAACGTTCGACACAGGACAAAATAGAAACCGCGCACGACAAAATAGAAACCGCGCGCGAGACACAACCGACCGCGTAACACGCGTCTAGCGATAACTCGCTATTGACTCCACACACACACTCGACATCATGACTCAACATTCACACACAATTATAAGCATGAAATATATATTATCCCATGCCCTCATACCATTCCATACACACACACATTCACGCACACGGACAACAAGCCGAGTGCAAACCGTAGGGTTGCACCAACAAACTCCCCCTCGGATTGTTGGCCTTAGGATATGCTGCTCTCTCAGTTCAATGCTGCTGCTCCACCAGCCTCTTGGTCATCATGTCAGCCGGCTGCCCCGTGGTCTTCACGTAGCGCAACTCAACTTCACCCGCGGTTACCATGCTCCTCGTCCAATGCCACTTCACCCTCATGTGCTTCGTGAGTCCATGCAACACAGGGTTCTTAGCAAGAGCAATGGCACCCTGGCTGTCACAGTACAGTGGGGTAGGTCCTTGCTGCTCCTCCCCCAATTCAGCCAACAAACGCCGCTGCCACACAATCTCCCGTACGGCACGGAAGAGTGCCATGTACTCGGACTCCACCGAGCTCAAAGCTTGGTCAACCTGCTTCTTGCTCTCCCAAGCAGTTGGGCCTCCACCAACACAGCATATGAAGCCTCCCACACTTGTCATGTCCTCTGGTTCTGATGCATATGAAGCATCCGAGTAGGCGGTGAGGAACAAACGCCCGGGTTCAACACCATCCGCGCCCTTTTGGCGCCTTTGTGCCGCCGCCGAGTATTGCAGCCCAACGGTCGGTGTTTGGCCAAGATACTTGGCCACCCTCATTCCAGCTGCTACCTGCTCCTCATTAGGGCATTGCACAACCCTAGCCAGCTGCCCGGTAGCAAACGCGACGTCCGGTCGGGTGTTTACCGCCGCATACATGAGGCTGCCCACCAACGAGTGAAATCGGCGCCTCTCCTCTTCACCAACGCTCTCCTCCTCTGGTCCCTTCACACACTTGAACCCAGAGGGAAAGGGTGTAGCCACATGGCCTTCACTCTACCCAAAGTTGGCAGCCAATGCCTCCAGGTACTTTCGTTGATGCACCCGCATGCACCGCTTCTCCACATCTCGTTCGATGTGGAGCCCAAGGTAGAAGCTCACGTCACCAAGGGCCTTGCACTTGAACTTGTCTTGAAGCTTCAGCATCACCTCCTTCACAAGGTCAGAAGAGGGTGAGAAAATGAGGATGTCATCCACATAAACCACCATGAAACTCCTCTGCTCCCCCTCGCCAAGCATGAACAAGGAGTGATCGGCCGTTGAGGGAGTGAAGCCGATCCCCTCCAACACTTCGCGCAGCTTCATGTACCATTGCCTAGGGGCCTGCTTCAGCCCATAGAGGGCCTTCTTCAGCTTCCACACTCTGCCACTACCATCATCAAACCCCTCTGGCTGCGCCATAAAAATCTCCTCCTCAAGGATGCCGTTAAGGAATGCCGTTACGATGTCCATTTGCTTTACTACCCATCCTTTGATGGCGGCTCCCGCGAATAGGGTTCGCAGCGTCGTCGACTTCACCACAGGGGCAAACAGCTCCTTGAAGTCCACCTTCTCCTTCTGCTGGTACCCCTTGGCTACAAGCCTAGACTTGTAGCGCTCGATCTTGCCGTCGGCATCCGACTTGATTTTGAAGAGCCACTTGGACGTTATCGCCGTACGCCCCTCCGGTAGCTCCACCAATTCAAACGTGTCATTCTCCTCGATGCTCTTCAGCTCACTCTCCATGGCCTTCTTCCACTCCTCAGCATCACTACTCTCCAAAGCCTCCTTGAGAGTTGCTGGTTCTCCCGGCATCTCCACCGGAGAGAAGAACGCGAAGGCACACTCCTCGTAGTCACTCTCCTCGTCGTCTCCGACCATCATTGCCGCTCCGGCCAGGGCTGTCTTGCCCTGCTTTCCCGGCGCATCATAGGTCAGCCTATTAGGGGGTTGAACTCTCCTCTTCCCCCTTCCTTCCTCCTCAGCTGCAGGGACTTGAAGGCCTTGGCGTTGCTGCGGTGTGGCTCGAATCCGTGGAGCACTCGTAGTACGGGAAGGAAGTGACGGTGCACGCTCGCTCACTTGCTGCACCTCCTCCTCTTCTTCCTCTGCATCATTGGCCTCCTCTCCCCCATTCACAAGGGAGGATTGCCTTGTGGTTGTGCTGCCGCTGCTCAGCTCCAAAGGCAGCTCCACATGCTCCAAACCGGAACTCTTCACCTCCCCAAACCGCACGCCTATCTTCACCTCATTCTCCGCCTTCCAATCCTTGTACATGAAGTTCTCCATGAACTTGCAGTCCCTGCTCACCAAGAACTTCTTGGTGAATGGGTCCCAAAGAAGCCATCCCTTGCTGTTTTGAGCCATGCCCAAGTGCACGGCCCACACCGCCTTGGCACCAAGCTTGTTGTGCCGAAGATGCTTAGGCACGAGCGCCATGCACATGCACCCGAACACCCGAAGCATATCCACCTTTGGCTTCCTTCCTAGCCACTCCACATAGGGCACCCATTTGTCTGCTCCCACATGAGTCAAGGCTCTGTTCTTGGCCACACACGCGCTCCGCACCGCATCAGGCCAGAAATAATCGGGTAGCCCGGCTTCAATGAGCAACCCGCGTGCCGCCTCCGTGATTGTGCGATTCGCTCGCTCGGCGATGCCGTTCATTGCAGGGGAGTATGGCATGGTGAGGGAGTGCCGAATACCATTCTTCTTCAGCCACAACCCAAACTCCTTGCTCAGGAACTCTCCCCCTCGATCGGTGCGGATTGACTTGACTAGACGGTCTTGTTGCCGCTCCACCATCAGGAACCAATCCGTCTTCAACGTTTCAGCCACGTCGCTCTTCTTGGCCAGCACGTACACCCAAGTCATGCGGGTGTAGACGTCGACAATGGTGAGAAAATACTCAGCTCCAGCAGCTCCAAGCTTCAGGGGGCCCACCACGTCCATCACCACCTCATCAAGCGGTGCCTTTGCCGTTGCCTCCGAACTAGGGAACGGAAACCGGGTGAACTTGGCTTGAATGCACGTCGGGCAGCCAAGCACCTCATCGGGCTCCCCCTTCACACGTATGCCAGCAACCATCTCATTCTTCACTAGCTGCTGCAAGATGGGCAGGGCCACATGCCCCATGCGCCGATGCAAGGTGAGCCAATCACACTCCCCCGTAGCCGAAGTTGGATTGGAGAATGCCGCGCTCGCAATAGCGCCCCACATACTCTCTCCGTAGTCCTCCTCCGCTGCTGCCTCTGGGTTCTCCTCACCCTTTTGCTGCTCCTTGGTTGCTGCACCACTCTCCTTAGGTTCACTGAACTTGCTGGTCCCTCCAGGTTTGCTCTTCTTGAGCTCATTCTCCTTAGCGCGACCGTTCGCGCCATCGTCGCTACCGACCGCTCCATCCTTGGTGCTGATGCTTGCTGCCACTTGCCTCTCCTTAGGCATAGGGACCACTGGGATCTGCCACATCTCGTTGTAGACATCCCTGTCCTCATGAAGGTCCCAAAGAATTCGATCGCCAAGCCTTGCGGTGTAGGTCTTGGCTCCCTTCGAGTTCGTGTCCATGCCGGCCTTTGCCAACCGCCGCACGGAAATCAGGTTTGCAGCAAGGCTGGGCACCCAAAGCACGTTCTTGAGGCCCACCATCTTCCCATCAGCACCCTTGAACATGGCCTTGCCCATGCCTTTCACCTCTGCTCGCTGCCCCAAAGCCGATGTGACATGCTTCACCGGTGACGGCTCGAGTTCGGTGAGCAAGTCCGAGCGAGGTGTCATGCTATAGGTAGCGCCACTATCAATCACCCAATAGTCCAGGGGGTGTAGGGTCACCTTCCCCACAGCTGCTGGCTCCTCAAAGCCTTCATCCTTCTCTGGACCAGCCGGTACTTGCGTCGACACGAAGTAGAATAGACCCGGGTATCGATCGTCGCTCGGGTCCTTGTCGTTGTCTCCGCTCTTCATGTTTGCAGCTCCGCCACCGCGACCGCCACGGCCTCCACGGCCTCGTCCTCTCCCTCCTCCTGCTCCTCTACCCTCTTGGCCTTGAGCAGGGGTCCAACCATCAGGGAGTTTGTAGCAGTCGCGCCACATGTGTCCGCTCTTGTGGCAATAGTGACACTCGCCGTCGAATCGGCCGCGACCGCGTCCGTAGCTCTTGTCGTCGCTGCCGTAACCGCCACTCCTGCGGCCTCCGCCGAAGTTGCTGCCACCAAACCTTCCTCCCCCTCGTCCTCTGCCTCTTCCTCGACCATATCCACGGCCGATGCTCGCTGCCCCAGCGCCATCCGCACTCGCCAACTCACGGCGGCGGAAATCCTCTTGAAGGATAGCTCGCTTCACGTCTTCAAGCGAGAGGCGGGGCAAGTCGCGATTAAGGTTGATGATGAGCGAGGACCATGACTCTGGGAGTAAGGCCAGCAACTTGGTCTTCTTTTGGAGCTCACTGTAGTTCAAATCAGCTCCCTCAAGCCGCGTCAACAAGTCGAAGAATTTCTGCACCCCTTCTTCAACCGCTTCGTCTTCTTCAATTCGTAGTGCCGCCATTTGCCGTTCCAACACCACCGCTACCGCCGCTGTTGCAGGAGCATGTACACCCTTGAGAGCAGCCCATGCCTTTGGTCCTTTCTCTGGTTCACGCTGGAATGGCTTGATGTGACGGATCTGACTGCTCCCCAACGCTTGCCCAAGTAAGAGATAGCCTTGTGCGCTCTTCCGCACCCACGGGCTCTTCTCCGGGTCGTTCTCGGGGCGCTTCTCCGTTCCTTCCATCACCTCCAGCAGGTCATAGTGGTCAAAGATGTTCTCCATCTTGAAGGACCATTCAGCAAAGTTGTCACCGTTGAACTTGTCAAGCCCAAACACCCTAGGCTCATCCCTAGGTGGGCCAAGACTTGGTTGCATGGGCGCCATGGCTGAATCACGGGGTTGGCCTTGAGCTTGAGCTTCTCCACTGCCACCAGCACCTCTGCCACCCCTTTCCTCAGGTCCAGACATTGTCGAAACTGCTCCAAGGGGCTCTGATACCACTTGTTATAGTCACAATAGGCTTGAATGTGCCTAAAACGAAAGATAGAGAGCACAGACGGATTTCTGCACAGCGGCTTCAAACGTTGATAGCGTTCTGCTCACAGCTGAAAATGACTTGATTCAAATTGGATATGGACCGTCTTTACGTCGTCTACAATTAGCAATTTAGATTGCACGATTTGATAAAGAATTGACGACACAGCGTCGGTTTGAACGAACGGTACTATGGCAGCCACTATAGTGTTAGAACACAAGATAGGAAGAGTTACGAGTTGGGAATGACTCCCAGCTCCTACAAACCCCAAGAGCCGAGGTACAGTGATGTGGAACAGTGCCACACTGTCCCCAACCACGAAGGGTCTCGAAACTACCCTTCACTAGGGCCTACACCAAGTGAAATGTTACACTACACAAAGTAATGTAACTATCTTCAATATCTTGAGGTGTACCCTTTTTGGCAAGCTTCGAAATCACTTGAGGCTTGACACCAAGGCTCGGGCTCTTCATCACGAACTCATCCTTGAGTTCTTGATGGGTCTGCTGCACACACCTGCGACACGCCGAACGTTCGACACAGGACAAAATAGAAACCGCGCACGACAAAATAGAAACCGCGCGCGAGACACAACCGACCGCGTAACACGCGTCTAGCGATAACTCGCTATTGACTCCACACACACACTCGACATCATGACTCAACATTCACACACAATTATAAGCATGAAATATATATTATCCCATGCCCTCATACCATTCCATACACACACACATTCACGCACACGGACAACAAGCCGAGTGCAAACCGTAGGGTTGCACCAACATCCGCCGCCGCCCATTCCGCCGCCGCCCATTCCGCCGCCGCCCATTCCGCCACCGCCCATTCCGCCGCCGCCCATTCCGCCGCCTCCCATGCCACCGCCGCCCATGCCGCCGCCGCCCATTCCGCCGCCGCCCATTCCGCCGCCACCCATTCCGCCTCCGCCCATTCCGCCGCCACCCATGCCTCCGCCGCTCGTTCCGGTGCTCTGTTGTTGCTGCTGGCCGGTCGAGCGTCCGCCTTGCGCCGATCCGCGCATCATCCCGCGCAGCTTGTCCGCGCGGAGCCCCGCGGAGAAGCGGAAGGCCATCGCCGCGTGGAGAGACGAGAGCAGGACGAGCGAGAGGAGGAGGAGGGCCGTGCTCAGGTCGCGACGACGACTCTGGCTGGACGGAAATGAGACTCTATGCGTCATTGTGCTGGTGTTGCGTATGTTTCAGCTGAGAATTCCACGTGCGGTCGTTTTTTGCAACTAGCAGGTCGAAAATGAAGAATTGCAAGGAGCTTCAGAAGTTGGAAAGCTCGAAGCCTTGTCTTTACTGCAATGTGTGTGAAGAAGAGTGGATGAGTTGGGCCAATGCGACCCAAGAAGAGCGATTATTTGGCCGACTCTTTCAGTTCGTCCTTCCATGAAACGATATTTGAAGAAAGACGTATCCCTGATAACATTAAATTCGATATGCGCAGTTAGTGAAGCAGTGCACACATGATTTTATATGTACCACTACGAAAGTTCTGGATATCATATTAGCGTGCGTTTTCTGCACAGCTCGAACAAATAATCGCACCAATCAAGCTTCCACAAGCGCGGATAGATCTATGAGGCAAGTGTTGGACCAACAGGACAACCACCTCACCAGAGGGGCCTTGCAGTAGATGTCGCGATCAGCGACTCGCTCGACCAAGCTGACATGGCGAAATGCGAAGGTCGCTCGACTTCAGGGCATGGGGGTATAGAATAGAATAAGGCGAGAACACAGAGGAATTGCACGAGATGGATTACCTTTCAAAAAGTCGCGCCGTGGTCTCGCCGCATGCCATCACCGCGGAACACGCAGCTCCGCCACGCGCAGCTCCGCTTGGCCTGCCCTTCCCCGCACCGCCCTGTCCTCATCACAATGCCGCATTCCGCAAGTCGCTCTCTGTGTCACTCGCCATCCCTCCGCGTCTCGTCTCGTCCGCCTCCCTAACCGGCTAGACCGAGCCTCAGCCTTGCCAAGCTCAAACCTCCACCACCTCCCACTTCCCCAGTCGCCCCAGCCTCCGTAACAGGCCGTCGGCCGAATCCCAGCCATTCCGTGCCGTAACCAACCTATCCGACGTAACCACCTCCCACTTCCCCAGTCGCCCCAGCCACGCGCATCCTCCCCATGCGCAGCTGCGCCATCCGCCAGGAGTGGTTAAGTCCGACTTAAGCGCGGAGCCTGCGCCTCCTCCTCGGCTCTCACCACCTGCTGTTGCTCCAACCTTCCTGCTCCCAGGCTGATCGTCCCTCCTCATGTTTCCCTGCTCAACGCGGAGTGGGTGGAGTGGGTGGGAGTGGGTGGAGTGACTGTGGCGGGGACAGGGCTGTTACTAGCAGTGGTACTTGCTGTTGTGGCTGTATCGCGGCTGCTGCCGCTGGCGCATGGTTCCTTCACCTGACATCAGCGATCTTACCTTCCAGGTGTGTGTGTGGCTGAGTTTCAACTCACATTGGAGATCACGTATGCAATTTCAGTCAGTTTCTTGGTCCCGTTCAGTTTGTGTGATGTCGAGCCTCGAGCATCATGGGGCGGGGTGGTGGGTCTGCCATGCATGATGCCTCTGTGTGCGTGTGCACCATGCCAAGACACACGCCATGCATGATGCCTCTGTGTGCGTGTGCACCATGCCAACACACACGCCATGCATGATGCCTCTGCGAGCCGGCCGGGTGATGCGTGTGCGCCATGCTACTACGCACGCCATGCATGCCATGTGTGTGATGCCATGCGTGTGATGCCATGTGTGTGATGCCATGTGTGTGATGCCATGTGTGCAATGCCATGTGTGCGATGCCATGCGTGTGATGCCATGCGTGTGATGCCATGCGTGTGATGCCATGCGTGTGATGCCATGCGTGTGATGCCATGCGTGTGATGCCATGCGTGGGATGCCATGCGTGTGATGCCATGGGTGTGATGCCATGTGTGTGATGCCATGTGTGCGATGCCATGTGTGTGATGCCATGCGTGCGATGCCATGCGTGCGATGCCATGCGTGCGATGCCATGCGTGTGATGCCATGTGTGCGATGCCATGCGTGCGATGCCATGCGTGTGATGCCATGCGTGTGATGCCATGTGTGTGATGCCATGCGTGTGATGCCATGCGTGTGATGCCATGCGTGTGATTCCATGTGTGTGATGCCATGTGTGCGATGTCATGCGTGCGATGCCATGCGTGTGATGCCATGGGTGTGATGCCATGGGTGTGATGCCATGGGTGTGATGCCATGGATGGGATGCCATGTGTGTGACGCCATGTGTGTGATGCCATGCGTGTGATGCCATGGGTGTGATGCCATGTGTGTGATGCCATGCGTGTGATGCCATGCGTGCGATGCCATGCGTGTGATGCCATGTGTGTGATGCCATGCGTGCGATGCCATGCGTGTGATGCCATGCGTGTGATGCCATGTGTGTGATGCCATTTGTGTGATGCCATGTGTGCGATGCCATGCGTGCGATGCCATGCGTGCGATGCCATGCGTGCGATGCCATGTGTGTGATGCCGTGCGTGATGCTGTGCGTGCGATGCCATGCGTGTGATGCCATGTGTGTGATGCCACGTGTGTGATGCCATGTGTGTGATGCCATGTGTCTGATGCCATGCGTGTGATGCCATGCGTGTGATGCCATGCGTGTGATGCCATGTGTGTGATGCCATATGTGTGATGCCATGCGTGTGATGCCATGCGTGTGATGCCATGCGTGTGATGCCATGTGTGCGATGCCATGCGTGTGATGCCATGTGTGTAATGCCATGTGTGTGATGCCATGTGTGTGATGCCATGGGTGTGATGCCATGTGTGTGATGCCATGTGTGTGATGCCTTGTGTGTGATGCCATGTGTGTGATGCCATGTGTGTGATGCCATGGGTGTGATGCCATGGGTGTGATGCCATGTGTGTGATGTCATGTGTGTGATGCCATGTGTGTGATGCCATGTGTTGTGAATGAATGGGAACATGGGGCTTGACTTGTTGCATGGACACGTTTATGGGCCTATGACACATGATGGGGACGACAAGTGTTGTGGTCACATCACCGTTAGACCATATCAGAGGCACCTTTGGTCCTGCATGGTTTCACTCACCGCAATGCTCCTGCATCCGCAATGCTCACTGCTTCAGTGTGTGAGCAACAAGCTACACCACTCACTTCACACGGCATGCAAGCTCACAATGCTTCACACATCAACCTCTGCTCACGATTTCTGTATTGTGTGTGTGTGCCTGCGTGCGTGCGTGCATGGGTGTGCGTGGGGGGGGGGGGGGGGGGGGGGGGGGGAGGGATGGGGGTATAGGGGGAGGGCGCGTGCGTGTGCTTGTGCGTGTGCTTGTGTATACGTATATGTGTGTGTACGTATGTGTGTGTGTACGTATGTGTGTGTGTACGTATGTGTGTGTGTACGTATGTGTGTGTGTACGTATGTGTGTGTGTGCGTATGTGTGTGTGTACGTATGTGTGTGTACGTATGTGTGTGTGTACGTATGTGTGTGTACGTATGTGTGTGTGTACGTATGTGTGTGTACGTATGTGTGTGTACGTATGTGTGTGTACGTATGTGTGTGTACGTATGTGTATGTACGTATGTGTGTGTGTACGTATGTGTGTGTACGTATGTGTGTGTACGTATGTGTGTGTGTACGTATGTGTGTGTACGTATGTGTGTGTACGTATGTGTGTGTACGTATGTGTGTGTACGTGCTCTACACAGCCCTATGTCCCCTCCTAGGGCTACCCTGGTGGATGGACGTGTCTCAAGCACAAGTGAGGGCGTGGATGCATCAACAGGGCTCCACCATAAAAGCAAGCTGATGAACCTGAAGAGAGCAGTTGAAGAGAGCAGCCGTGTCTTCCCTGGTATGCCCTTCATGGTGCCACGACTTTTCTCATTTATGCCGTGACTCGTTGATCGCGCTATTGACTTGCAACTTTGTTATTTTATGTTATGAAGTGGACTCTGATTGGTCTCCACTTCGTCTCTGGTTTCACTCTTCGTCTTTTGACGTTATTCTTCGTCTCTGATTGCAACCCGTTATTTCTGCAATTGACTCGGCGTTAGTCTCTGATTGTTCTCCACTTCGTCTCTGGTTTCTCTCATTTGTCATGAGTGTGCTTGGCTCGCCTCGGTTCAATCCTCTCCAAGAAGCACAAGCATCACCTTGTGTCACTCAAAACTCTCAAAAGCTCCTTCAAACCAGCCCTCTCTACTCACCCCATCTTCTTTTGCTTCCGCCGTTACTCATCCCAATCCTCTCTCCCTGCTCCCCTCTCGTCTCTCCCCTCACCATGCCACAGACACCTGGGATCTTCCCCCGCCTACAAGGCCATGTGAGAACGACCTGCCTTGCCGCCTGCTTTTTGACTCAATCACCTGCTTTGAAACCCTTCAGGCTGTGCTGCCCGAGCTTTGAGAGGCGCCCTAAAAGTTGACTCCTATTGCTGATTTGACACACGTCGGGCTGTGCTTCCCGGCCTGCCTTGCCAACTGCTTATTCTGTGCCGTCTCTTGTATACACCATATCTTCTCTCCCTGGGATCGCCAGACGCAAAGCCCTCCTCATACATAGCGAGCCTTTGGGCCTTTGGGAGGGGAAGAAGTGGTTGGTGAGTTGGTAAGGGAAGGGAGGAGCGGGAGATGGAGGAGTTGAGGGAGCGATTGGCAGCAGCAATGGGCAGTGCTGCGAGGCAGGAGGAAGAAATTATTATTCCTGTGCAGATTCTTCCGCGTTTTGGAGGAGAGGAGGAGGGAGGAGGAGAGCAGGGAGGCGGAAATGAGTGGGGAGGAGAGAAAGAGGAGGGGAGGGATGAGAAGATGAGGAAGGAGAGAGGAGGGGAGGGAGATAGGAGGAGGGCGGAAAGGTGGAGGGAGGAGAAGATGAGGGAGGTAAAGTGAGGAGGGAGGAGGAGAGGGCGAGGGGAGGGAGAAGAGTAGGAGAGGACTTATTTTGTAAAGGGTGCGGGATTGGTGTTGAAGGGAGTGCGTGGCAGATGGTGGGGTCGTTCTGTAGGCATCACGGAGGGAAGGGGAGGGAAAATAGGAAGCTGCCTACCTCTGCAATTTTAGGTTCGACATGGCGGTCAGCCCGGAAAATGCCGACGTGGCAGTTATTTCCCTTCCGAACCTAGACGAAGGGAAATGCCTGCAGAACAGTCATTTCCCTCCAGGGAAATGCCCCACTAGGAAGGTTCCTATTTCCCCTCACCACCTTCCTCCTCAGGCAAATTTGTTTGCCTTCGCCCCGCCATCGGCCACCCACCCTTCACGGGGAAGTGCGACGGTGACGGGAGGGAGGAGCTGGGCGTGGGAACACCAGTCTGAACCCAAAAAAAACGTCAAGGACAACACGGTCTAACCCAACCAAGGTGGCACCTCCCACTTCGTAAAAAAAAACACACCCCAACCACCTTTGTGGCCACCAGAGTGAAAACCCTAGTTTTGATTGCTGGAAGTTGGTCCGCTTGGCTGATGTGTGTGTTGGTGCTCGTTTTTTTGTATAAATTACCCACGCGCAACGAAGTACCCTGGTAAACCAAACAATGGTGTCGATTTATCCCTCTGACATGCGCGCGAAATTCAGGGCGCAATTCGTCATTTCCCTTGGGAAACTACCGCCCCTCGATGCGAAATTTCCCATCTCGCATGTTTGCCCAGGGGCGGAAAAGCGACCTCGGAACCCACCTCGGAACCCTCCTCATTTCCCTTCTCCCTCCCTCCTCCCCCAATTGTCAGGTGCCTACAGAACGATACCGGTGAGCTGAAGTGGCAAGGAGTACATGAAAAAGACAAGTGGCAGCAGCTTGGTTGGCACAGCAGCACTTACTACCAAGGAGCAGATCACCAAGTCCTAAGCTTCTCGGGTCGGGTCGGGAGACCCAAGTATTTTCTCTCTCCGCCTAACAAGTTTCAGGTGCTGTTGAATAAGGTAGAAACGGCATAGGGTGAATGTAAGTGAAGCTGTGCAGATCAGTGGAACATGGGAGGAATGAGTGGCTTATGCAAGATTTCATTCACCATGACTACATCGACCTCTTGCATCAACTGCGCTACCAACACCTTTGAGAATTGGGCTTTTGATACAAGAGAACTATAGCTGTGATTTGCCATCATGTAGCATGTATAAAACCCGTAACAAGAGTGCAATCCCCGAAACAATGCATTCTTCCTTAGCCAATCACCGTTCATCCTGGAGGTGGTTACATGCTCGAGATGACAACAACGCATAACCCATACTACTAGAGAATGCCATTTGGAGTGCAGCCATCTCCCCATGACTCATGCATGCCTGTCCCTGCTCATGGAGACCCTGTTCCACCCTTACCACCTCTGATGTTACCACCTCCGTTCCCCATTCCTCCGCCGCTCATTCCACCGCTGCCCATTCCACATTCCCTTCCATTTGGACTGCAGCCACCTCCCCGTGACTCATCCCTCCTCATGGAGACCCTGCTCCGCCCTTACCACCTCTTATAATACCGCCTCCGCCCGTTCCACCACTGCTCGTTCCTCCGCCTCCCGTTCCACCACCGCCCGTTCCACCGCCGCCCGTTCCACCGCCGCCCGTTCCACTGCCGCCTGTTCCAATTCCGCCCGTTCCACTGCCGCTTGTCCCACCGCTGCCCGTTCCTCCGCCGGCCATTCCACCGCCGCCCGTTCCTGCGCCGCTCGTTCCACCACCGCCCGTTCCGCCGCCCGTTCCACCGCTGCCCGTTCCACCGCCGCCCATTCCACCGCCGCCCGTTCCTGTGCCGCTCGTTCCACCACCGCCCGTTCCTCCGCTGCCCGTTCCACCGCTTCCCAATCCACCACCGCCCATTCCACTGCCGCCCGTTCCCGCTCCTCCGCCGCCCAGTCCACCGCCACCCGTTCCATCGATACCCATTCTACCACCGCCCGTTCCTCCGCCGCCCGTTCCTCCGCCGCCCGTTCCACCGCCGCCCGTTCCACCGCCGCCCATTCCACCGCCGCCCGTTCCACTGCCGCCTGTTCCAATTCCGCCCGTTCCACTGCCGCTTGTCCCACCGCTGCCCGTTCCTCCGCCGGCCATTCCACCGCCGCCCGTTCCTGCGCCGCTCGTTCTACCACCGCCCGTTCCGCCTCCCGTTCCACCGCTGCCCGTTCCACCGCCGCCCGTTCCTGTGCCGCTCGTTCCACCACCGCCCGTTCCTCCGCTGCCCGTTCCACCGCTGCCCAATCCATCACCGCCCATTCCACTGCCGCCCGTTCCCGCTCCTCCGCCACCCAGTCCACCGCCACCCGTTCCATCGATACCCGTTCCACCACCGCCCGTTCCTCCGCCGCCCGTTCCTTTGCCGCCCGTTCCTCCGCCGCCCGTTCCTCCGCCGCCCATTCCTTCGCCGCCCATTCCACTGCCACCCATTCCTCCGCCGCCCGTTCCACCGCTGCCCATTCCACCGCCACCCGTTCCTCTGCCGCCCGTTCCACTGCCGCCCGTTCCTCCGCCGCCCGTTCCGCTGCCCATTCCACCGCCACCCATTCCTCCGCCGCCCGTTCCGCCGCCGCCCGTTCCGCCGCCGCCCATGCCCCCTCCAGCACCCATGCCTGCTCCTGATCCGGGAGCAGGGGCACCGATGCCATCATCCATATCTCCCATGCCTGCTTCTGATCCGGGAGCAGGGGCACCCATGCCATCATCCATATCTCCCATGCCTGCTTCTGATCCGGGAGCAGGGGCACCCATGCCATCATCCATGTCTCCCATGCCTGCTTCTGATCCGGGAGCAGGGGCACCCATGCCATCATCCATATCTCCCATGCCTGCTTCTGATCCGGGAGCAGGGGCACCCATGCCATCATCCATGTCTCCCATGCCTGCTTCTGATCCGGGAGCAGGGGCACCCATGCCATCATCCATATCTCCCATGCCTGCTTCTGATCCGGGAGCAGGGGCACCCATGCCATCATCCATATCTCCCATGCCAGCTTCTGATCCGGGAGCAGGGGCACCCATGCCATCATCCATATCTCCCATACCAGCTTCTGATCCGGGAGCAGGGGCACCCATGCCATCATCCATATCTCCCATACCAGCTTCTGATCCAGGAGCAAACGGCATGAATCCGCCCATTCCCCCTCCGTCTCCTCCGCCACCTATTTCGCCGCCGCCCATCATGCTTCCGCCGCCTCCTTTTCCTCCGTCGCCCATTCCGCCACCACCCATTCCGCCGCCACCCATTCCGCCACCACCCGTTCCGCCACCATCCATTCCGCCACCGCCCTTTCCGCCACCGCCTCCCACCCCTCCGCCAGCGCCCCCAGTGCCACCCTTCACGTTTCCGCCATTTCCGCCGCCGTGTCTGTGCTTCTTACAGGTCGAACGTCCGCAGTGCAACCATCCGCGCAAGTTTCCGCCCATCTTGTCCACGCGGAGTCCCACGGAGAAGCGAAGGGCCAACGTGGCGTCGTCTCAAAAAAATTGGGCCTCGGATGTTAGTTTGAGCTAACCCTAAAGTCGCCCCGAAGTAACCCACCTGTAGGTTAGCCCGAGGTGCTACTCGGGCTATGGTACAAAGTGAACACTTGCACCCGATGTGACCTACGAGTCACCTACAGATCGGGGCCAGAGGTGAGCACGAACTGAACACAGTTCGCGCAAACCCGACTGGCGAGGGTCGTTTTGATTGGTCCAGAAAATGAATGTAACCGAGAAAGTAACCAAAGAACACTCGACTTGTTAAACCAATATGAATGCCCACTCGTTTATAATCACAAATAGGAAATACTCATACTATAATCACATATTGTCACAATATTATTCTTATTACGGTAGCTAGAAGCGAGGACAAGTATAATGTTTCATAATTTATTTATTACGTCTGATGATTTTTTTACAAAACAGAAACATTTTCACAAATATTCCAGCATTCTCATAGCTGATTTTGATCCAGTATATGTGACATGCACTCATCTCTAAGCAAGCAAACAAATCACCCTTACTGGTGGAAACGTTCTTCATAGACGTTAAAAACCATGTTACAAGCTGCAACTCTGCAAAAGGCACAACTGTTAGTTATGACGGCAGCATGAGTCAAAAGACTGAATATCCCACCTGCTGCTGCATGAAGATGAAGTAAAAGTCTCTTAAAAGGTACCGATCTGCAAACAAATTCAACAACATCCCATAACACCAGCCATGGCTTTTATAGGATCACTGACAGACTTGTTAACATAATAACCCGAACACTGATAGCACAAACAAATGAAACTGGCGGGAAGGCGATATCTAAACCGACTTACCGATTCACAATGTCGAGAATCGCGCGTTGAAGAGCTTCCTCACGCGCCTTATTGAGGGTTGGAGATAATCATGAAAAGTGACACAATGGGAACAAGCACAAAACAAGAAACCCAGGAGAAAGTGTACGACATCATGACGATAGGAATAACCGACATACTCTTTCATGGCAGCGCCTACGGGTCGAAGTGCTGCATGACGCGCCATGTTCGAGTTGTCAACATATTTACTGAAAGGCACAAGGAGAAACACGTAAAAAAACACGGAAAGATATATTGTAAAAAGCTGACGACGGGAAAGATGATAAGACTGCGACCATAGAGGCAGCAGGGAAAAATAAAGCAGGAAGAGGCAATCGCGCGACGCGGGCATTCGAGCTAAGAGAGTGAGGAGAAAAGTATGACAGAGGACTACGAATGAATCAAGAAATGAACAGCGAGACTCTTGAATGAGCAGCTGGGGACGAATGCATGGTTGGAGCAGGTCAAGGATGGGGTGGGGGTAGCTAGAGGCATGGTTGGTCAAGGATGCGACGTGTCTTGAACAGATTCGACCACAAGTTACGGTCAGCGACGTGGTCTCAAAAAATTGCACACTCACAAGTTCATTCGCTATCCTGTGTCAGCTGGCAGCCGAACCACGCATGCAATCTGCCCGAACCTGCCTGTGTGGGTACGGTATATGGACGGGAAGCGACGTTGGTTTCATTTTGATGACCAAGCAGTACAGCGAGGATGCAAAAAAATATCAGTCACGACTGTGCTGTGCTGGACAAGTTGCATTGGTGGTGTTGTTTGACTTCAGATATCGTAACATGTCTCCAATCCAATGCCAGTTACTGTTGGCGAATTGTTGCCACTACGCGAAATTGCTTCGCCAGTAGTCGGTTGGATCATTTGGGCCCTGTGCCTAGTCTGTGGTGAAATTCGTTACCTGGTTGTGACTCCGGGTTTTCTTTGGGATGAGTTTGCATGAAGTTGGTGTAGGTAGCCCCGAGGTGACCTGCCTTGGGGGTGAGTTGAGCCCATCGCAATTTTTGAGACGGTGGAGAGACGAAAGCAGGACAAATGAGAGGAGGAGAAGCGCCGCACTCAGGTTTCGGCGACGGAGCCTGTTCTGCGGGAGCGGAAATGAGTGTGCCATAGCTTTGTTTCCGCTAGCGTGATGGGAAAAATACCTTCTTAGCGATGAAAGTAGAGTCCAGATGTCGAGCGTTGGCTAAGAGAGTATGTGTGCCTGAAAGTGCTCTCAACAGTCTACTTTTGTGTGTTGAAATTGGGTTGAGTTGGTGAAGCCATTTGCACCAATTTGTAGTACCCTGCTCGCGACGCCAATTTAGCGCGTCGCACATTGCGAAGGTGCTCGAATTTCGATATTTCTCGGCAGTCAAGAGGAGTGTCTGACCAAGAAGCTGCAGCCACATGGACAACCGAACTGCCGTGTCAACGATAAGAAGAAACGAGTCAACCGTACTCTCGTCTCGGTGACGGGAAGATTTCAGCAGCCGGCGTTTCACGCCGTCATCCCGTACTGCCGGATGAAACGAAATGAGAAGGAAATGAAATCCTCGACACATGCTGCCCTGGTTTACGGGAGATCAACTGACACTCAACACTCCACATTATAATTAAATAAATTGTTGAACTAATCATCCATACACACACCATCAGCAGCTTCCAGCAGATGGCACTGACACACGTATGTACAGGTAGCTGAAACCCCTCCAAGGCTTTTGGAGAACATTATTAGTGAATTTTAGTACAAATTCTTGAACATGGGCAAGCACAGCAATAATTAAAGCACAACTTGTTAGTGATTTTTTTTTAGTTGGTCGTTCCGCTTCCACAAAAATTGCTCATCATAACATCAAAGGTTATGACGTGCTAATAATCATAACCACATGCATATACTAACATTGCCCCACAATTTTCAACCCTTCCACCTAGTTTTCAAGAGTAATCATTCAAAACCATAACTCAAATCCGAGCAGTACAATAAAGCCTATGACGTGGCGCCTTGCAGGTCGGCAGCAACAGAGGCCTCCATGGCTCCCTGTGCTGACAGCGCATTCTTCACCGTCTCCTCCACGCGCCTCCTCAGCCCCTTGTACGGCAGCTTGTCCACCACCTGGAGGGAAGCGGAGGGGAGGGGGTGGGGAGAGGACGGGTAGGGGAGGGAATGTAGGGTCAGTTTAGCACCATACAGCGCCGCCTTCACCGTCTCCTCCACCCGCCTCCTCAGCCCCTTGTACGGCAGCTTGTCCACCACCTGCAGGGAAGGGGTGGGGAGAGGATGGGTAGGGGAGGAAATGTAGGGTAAGTCCAGCACCATACAGAGACTTCTTCACCGGCTCCTCCACGCGCCTCCTCAGCCCCTTGCAGGGCAGCTTGTCTTTTGAGACGTCTCAAAAGTCTCCTCCACGCTTCTACTCAGCCCCTTGTGGGGCAGCTTGTCCACCACCTGATTGGGGGAGAGGAGAGGGGGAGGGGAGATGAAGGGAGGGAGTGGAGAGGACGTAGAGTAAGTTTAGCACCACACAGCGCCTTCACCATCTCCTCCACACGCCTCCTCAACCCCTTGTAGGGCAGCTTGTCCACCACCTGGATGAAGAGGGTGCGGGGAAGGAGAAAAGATGTGGAGGAAAGACGGGAGCAGGAGGGAACAGGAGATAACGCCAGGTGTAAATGAGTACTTGCATTGTACCATGCGCAGAATATCTCTAGACTGTCTCTCTACTGTCGACCCCTCCTCCCAGCCCAACCCTGTCCGACCCTCCTCATTGACCTCAGCAGAGAGGGAGAATACATGCCCTTATACCAATACAAGGGCAGAGCGGAGCGGGCAGTCATGCGGTTGATGCTGCTTCCTCAAAAGCCTATGTCCCCCATCCTCTTCCCCTTTTGCCCTTCCCCCATTGCCCTTGCCCCCCTTGCCCTTGCCCCCTTGCCCTTGCCCCCTTGCCCTTCCCCCCTTGCCCACTTGCCCTTGCCCCCTTGCCCTTGCCCCCTTGCCCACTTGCCCTTCCTCCCCACTCACCTCAGCAGCAAAGGAGAACACAAGTGCAGAGCGCGCCGTGTTCTGGTCGATCCCGTGAGTGCGGAAGTAGAAGAGCTGTTCGTCATCCAAATCACTGATGGCCGCGCCGTGGGTGCCCCTGTCCACCCGCCCTTGTCTCACTCCATCCCCCCCCAATCCCACCCTGGCCCACTCACCTCAGCGGCGAACGAGAACACCAGAGCAGACCGGGCAGTGTTCTGGTCGATGCCGCGCGTGCGGAAGTAGAAGAGCTGCTCGTCATCCAAATCACTGATGGCTGCGCCGTGGGTGCACTTGACGTCGTCTGCTATGATCTGCAGGTTCGGCTTCACGTTGATGGTGCCACGGGGGACCAGGAGGAGACTGCGCGACAGCTGCCCCGCGTCTGTCTGCTGGGCGAGCCTGGGAGGGGGCGAAGGAGGGAGGGTGCAAATGGGAAGAGAAACACACACGTTGGGTTGATATGCAGGTTTGGCTTCACATTGATGGTGCCGAGGGGGATCAGCAGCAGGCTGCGGGACAGCTGCCCCGCGTCCGTCTGCTGGGCGAGCCTGGGAGGTGAAGGCGGGGGTGGAGGGGAAGGAGGGGGACAGGAAGAGAGTGGCCAGAGCACCGCATGCACACGAGGTCAGAGCGGAGCATCACATGCACACGAGGTCAGAGAGGAGCATCACATGCTTCTGGTGCTCCGCTCACTCTCGTGAGCACCAGTAGCACCACATGCACACGAGGTCTTGAGCTGGTCAGAGCGCGTGTGATGGTGGCAGCAGACAGTCACACTCGTTGACCCAGTCGAACACCCGTGGAACGCACTCACTTGTTGGCTTCAACATTCCAGTCGAACACGCTCTGCCCCGTGGCATCACACACGATGCACTTGGCCTGTCTGACCCATTCTCTTTGACCCATTCTCTTTGACCCATTCCCTTTGACCCATTCCCTTTGACCCATTCCCTTTGACCCATTCCCTTTGACCCATTCCCTTTGACCCATTCCCTTTGACCCATTCCCTTTGACCCATTCCCTTTGACCCATTCCCTTTGACCCATTCCCTTTGACCCACTCTACAGGGCACCACACTTGGGGCGCCTCAGAACTCACTGTATAAGGTCTTTGAACCCACTCACTTGTTGACCTTCACGTTTCCGGCAAACACGCACTGCCCCGTGGCGTCACACACGATGCACTTGGTCCCCACTCCCTTTGACCCATTCTACATCCCACACACACGCAATTGAGGCGACTTAAGAACTCACTTGTTGACCTTGACGTTCCCGTCAAACACGCACTGCCCCGTGGCATCAGACACGATGCACTTGTGCAGCTGCCGAGTCACGCCGCCCGGGAAATCCAGCACCAGGCTACTGTGCAGATCCTGCACCTGCCTGCCGCCCGCCAGCGCGAACGTGTCCACGTGCGTCTCTGTCTTCGCCCCCAGCTGCTGCATCTTCAGGTTGTGCCTGGATAGCGCCGCCCCCAGCTGCGCCTCCACCAGAGAGTACCTGCTGCTCTCCTCCTGATGTGGGGTGAAGTGTGAGCAAGGGCGAAAGGTGTAGGAGCAAAAGGGGTTCGGTGTCTAAATCAAGAGCATTCACGGACGCAGATAAAGGCAACAGTTGAAGAGGGGAGAAACGCGGAGGGAGGAGGGGGGGGGGGGATGGGCGGCGAGAAAAGGGGGCGGACGGGCACAGAGGCGAGGGGGGAGGATGGGCGCAGAAGGGAAGGGGAAACGGGGGCAAACAGGAGGGGGTAATCGTGGAGAGAGAAGATGGAAGATTATATTTCGGTGTTGAATGGATCATTGCACGAGACAGGGGGGGGGAAAGGGGGGAGGGGGGAATGTGGCAGAGGAAGAGAAAAATGAAGGGGTGGGAGGGAGTGGAAAAGAGAGAGTGGACAAAAGAGGGTTGCAGGGTGGGGAGAGGGGGTGCGAGGGAATAAAAGCTTAGCACTATCGCATTGCACCGAATACACTCTACGCACCTGTGCGACGAACGTTCTCTTGATATTGAAGCAGTCTTTAGCGGGTTGGTTCTGAATCACCGCGTGGCTCACACGCCCCTCCGCGCCAATCACAATCTCCGCCACCGCGTTCACCCACTCCCCCTTCCCCACACCCGCGGAAACTCCCCCCACGAACTCCTCCACCACCTCCACTTCCGCGCCCGCTTCCGCCACCACCAGCAGGCGCGGGGAAGCGGGGGCGGGGGAGGCGGAAGAGGAGGCGTAGACGATGTGGACGGGATGGTTGGGGAGCTTGACATTAGCGGGGACGGCAATAACGAGGACGTCAGCGGCGGATGCGCCGTTGAGCGCGGCAAAGAGGTCCGCTTGCGCGGAGGACCTGAGGGGGGACGCGGGAACGGAGAAAACGGAGGTGGATTGAGACAGTCAGGGAATTGAGGGTACTAAAGAGAGCAGACGGCCTGGGACGTCAGCACGATGAAATACTGGGATGGTGGGACCGATGAGGACTTAATAGAGGCGCCTCAAAGGGCGTGTGCAAGATGAAATACTGGGACGGACTGAGGCTTGAAGAGACTTGTGATAAGATGGCCGTGAGATGGCTGGTATCGTTGGACATTTTCAGGCGCAACCAGGGAAGCGTGCGGGTAACGGAGGATGGGAGGGACGGGATGGAGGAAGATGCAACCCGAACCGTTTCCAATCGAACAATCCTGGCTCTCACTCTTATACGAGCATCTTAGAGCCTCGTCGGTCTGCCCCACGCATGCTTCACTCTTTCCACCCAGCAATTTGTTTTCTTACGCTCCCTTCTACTCCTCATCGTATGTTCCTTCCTTTTTCTTCCGTTTGTTTTGGATTCCTCTGCATTCCTTTGTGCACAAACCCACCTGTGCACACACTCACCTGTTAAAACACCCACCTGCCAAGGTTCGGCGCCACGAATCGCTCCACTTCTTCCGCATTCAGCTCACTCAGCAGCTTCACCGTCATTTGCGCCGGAATTCCCGTCAAATCCGACAGCTCCGGCCGGATAGCGCCGTCAAGCACAACAAGCCGACTATTCTTGGCCTCTTCGAGCGTGTATTCCGCTAGAGCGTCTGCTGAAACCACCTGCGACTCGGACCCTGTGGCGGCGCCTTTTTCTAAAGCCTTATCGAGCATCGCGCGGAGAGATTTCAAGTCTGTGAAGCGGAATTCCTCATCCTTGCGGCCGGGCCACCGCAGAACACGGGCTGATTCTGCAGAAGCATTTCTGAGCTGCCCGAGAGCTGCAGCCGCAGGGAATGCGGCGTCTGACGGGGCAGGAAGGGAATATTTCGCGACAAGGCTCTGCACAAAAGTGTCGCTGGGGCCGACGGAAGTGAGGATCGCAGCTGCGGCGTTCGCGTCAGCCTGGTCCCTAAGCGACGTCGGCGGCGATTGCGATGACTGTGCGACTGTTGCGACGAGAGTGGGCGACGAGCGCGCGAATCTCCTGCCCGAAGGAGCAGCAGCGACGGCCCTCTTGCCAGTCACAGGCTCATGACGGAACAAGTCGGACTTGAGACTGGGAGCTGCTGAACGAGATAGCTGCGCGCTGAGGGCTGCCATAGCGGTTCAATGCTCTGAAGCAATGCTAGGATGAAATTCGTGCAGCGGAGGTTGTGTGAAGAATACGTTAGTGAGAAATGCTCAGTCGCTTCAGCCGCAATGAATTGCCAGTCTGGATTCAGTGTCGAAGCAAACACTACTGACAGCCGACGATAAAATTTTAGCTGCAGACAAGGGAAGACTAAGGTCGCCGCAGCAAAATCAAGAGCATGAACCAAGTGACAGGTGGAGGCGGGTTCAAGATAGGATGGATTGCTAGTGGCGAAAAGATGCACTTCCCGAGAGCACAAGGATTTTTGGAGACTAGGAGGAGCGGAACAACACTGAGGGGATGGAGAACTGAATCCCAAGGTTCAATTCCCTTGATGTTGTCTCGGAAACGTGGATGACACGTGGCGGTCACAGAAATCGTTCCTGACCCACATGCTGCCAACATGGACGAAATGTTCATGAACCCGCTGGACTTCGCTGGCCACATTTGTGTAACATCAACTACACCATATAAGTGTAAGTAGGACTAAAGATGGAACTCAACTTCACTAATACATGTACGGTACCGTTATCCTGGCACCTTCAAACTTAAGACCTCCGTACTTTCTCTACAGAAATGTCGGTCCAAACGAAGTTACAGAGAGATTCAAAACTAAACATTTAGTAATTTAGGTATTTGTACACTGGCAGAACAACTAGATCAGGAACAGTTTGCATGAGTGATAGTGACAGCTTCTGGCATATTAGGCTCATAGTATGGACAACAAGATACCAGGGCGTTTAAATTCTGAAGCCTCTCGCTGTCAGGAATCTAGCAATGGGTGGGGTGAGCGCCAGGGTGATGGGCACACGGACAGGAATCAGAGCCTTGTTGCAGAGCCAAGCAACAGCCAAAGCACCACCACTTCCTATCAAACCAGCTGCTGCTCCTCCTCCACTCTCAGTGGTTTCTCCATTCCCAACGGCTACATTTGCTCCAGTAGAGCCCGTACCAGAGGGTTCTGCTCTCGCCTGCTCCCTGGTCGCTACTGATGATCCTGGATCGGCCTTTCTGCCCGCTATGCCCGAAGAGGAAGAATCTGGCAGACCTCTCGAGCTTAGGTCGCTCCCTGACAACACGGCTTCACGTTCTAACGAATTCGCAGAATGGGACGTCGAGGGAGGAGCAGCATCGGTCGGAGGAGCGGAAGACGGGTGCGTGGGCGAGGGGAGGAGGCCTACTCTGTTTAGCAGCCCTTCCACGTCGATGCTGCTGCGGATGGCAAGGTACAGGCCCGCGAACGACACGGTCGACACGCCGATGTGGACGGCGATTGCCAGGCGTCCGTACTGCGCGATCGCGGTGCGAAGCCGCGATGACGTGGAGGTGGCTGCTGGGGACGGAGGCATGACAGGCAGTTGTCTGTCTGAGACTAAGTGAAAAGGGCCAAATGCGGTAAACTTGGAGTGTTTATGAAAAAAAAGCAGGGCTTGTGGGCGCACGGATTTATCACTGGCGCACGTGGTGGTAGAGCGACAAATATCATGGAAGATATCGTCGATCGGCGCGATGCAAGGTTGAAAAGATGTCAAACGAGGGAGGGAAGTGCAGACGTAAGCCCATAAAGCAAGATTCAGAACAAATTGTGGTGGTGGACAATGTTGAAGAAGAAGATATGAAAGGTGTTCTAAAGTGTGCAGCGAAGGTAAAATATCCGACAGCACTATGCACTGCCTGCGCCATCCTATAGAGGGGAAGGTACGTTTCGGCACAAACTCACTCACGCACGAGCCACTTGCTTCGGTCTGGTTTGGTATGGTTTGACTTGATTTGGTGGTTTGGTTTGGTGTGTACTGGTCAGTGCACACACTCCCAAACGAACTTGTTCCAAACCAACTCTATCCGTTGGATTGTCCACAGTCGCCGTCTGCCTACATTTCTGCCGTACAGGCATCGCGCTTCGTCTGGTGCACCACCACCAGCCAACCACCGCTCGACACACCATCCACATAATCCACCCGCCCAACCTCCCACATCCATGCGCCCTCCGTCTGACGCGCCAGCACCATGACTCCACGTTGACGAAAAAATCCGTCACGATTTCTGTCTTTGCCACGACCACATCTCCGTCAAGGCACAAACAGCAAGCAGTGCCAGGGGGGTGTGTGTGTGGGGAGGACACGACAGAACAAGCACCCGCAAACTTCAAGGCGAAGTCCAGACGGGAGCAATTAATTCAGTCCTCTGTGAGCATGATGCGGCGTTCCCAAGGCCAGGAAGGAAGGGAGCATGCAGGACATGCAGGCAGGCACGCAGGCACGCAGGCACACAGGCAGACATGCAAGGTACAGAGAGGGCAAGGCAATCTGGGCTTCACCCAAACCAAACCTCGTTTCTCTCGCCAAGGCACCACCCACCACCACCAACCAGGCCACCCACCCACCGTACACATGGCCTCCCTGCATATCACTCACTCACCCATCCCCCTCTCATCCACTATCGCTGCAGTGCAATCGTTGGGGCACCCAACCCAACCACCCACCCGGCCAGCCCCTCCCTCCCTCCGCTCCGCCTGTACGCACGCACCCATTCGTGCTGGTGGTCATTCTTGCTTTCACTGTTTCCTGTGCCTTGACAGCAACTTGGCACAGCCATGCCGACCTGTTTCCTGGTTTATTCATTCGCAACAGGTCCGCCGCTTTTGGCTGCCTACCGCTTTGAACGCAGCAGCCTCCGTTGCGCGAGTCGCGGTGCTAGGCGAAGCACTTAGTTACGAGCCAAGCTTCTTCTGGCTTCTGTTCCAGGCTTTTTCTGGCTGCTGTGTTTCCAAGAACGAATCGCATCCGCCTTTACTTGTTAGTACACGTTATTTTAGGCAGGAAAGAACGGAGTGTTTCTGACGTTAGCGTATACACGTGGCGTTGCTTGATACGGTGACGTTCTTAGTATGGGGTTGAAGCTCGTAATGCTAAAAAAAAAGACGTCTAGTTACGAGTTAGCACAGCTTTCGTATCTGAAGGAGCTCTTCGTCTCCTAGTTGAAGCTATCTGTATCGATCTTTTTTTTTCCGCATTTCGCATCGTCAATACTTTTAGCTTCGCCGTGTAGTTTGGAACCCTAAGAACTGTAGCTTAGTAACGTTTCAGGTTTGGCGTCATCGCTTAGTACCGAGCACTGTTGCGACATTTTTAGGTCTGGGACGTTTGTCTCGCCTCGTCCGACGTTGCGACGTTGCGCAATGTGGATAATGCAGGCTTCTTTTTAGATTAGCCGTTGACCTGTGACTTTTGAGTCAACTCAAAACGTCACTTTCTCCCGAAGTTTCGACGTCTTGCTAAATGTAGATGAATGCAGACATTATGAACGCTTATCCTTTCCGGTTGAGCCGTTAATCTGCTGACATTGAAGTCCCTCGATTGCGCGAGGAGTTAGTTGCCGACTTTTTTGCACATTGACGTGCTTGTTCTGCCATCGACGAACGGATGTGAGGGATTTGACAGAAGAAATGCGATTTTTGGGTTGCTATAAAAAAAACGAGTGTGCGGGATTTCGTGCTCATTCTGACATTGACCAACGAATGTTAGGGATTCGACAAAAGAAATGCATCTGACTGCGAAGCAGAAGCGACAGATTTTGATGCAGAGGGCCCAGGAGACTGGGTCCGCTGGATCTAGCGACGCAGGCCAAGGCAACATGGCGACGGCTACTCCTGCTAGCGCCGGCTCTCCTGCCGGTCCTGCCGGTCCGGCAGGATCTGTTCTCGGGCCGAGAAGCGCGCCGATGCAAAGCCAGGCTGAACTGAAGGAGCGACGCCAGCACCTGTCGCGGCTTCAGATGCAGCAGCAGCAGCGCAAGGGGCAAGAGGGAGCGTCAAAGCACGGACCGGAGGAAGGGCAGAACGGCCGCCACGAGGGAGGAGAGGACGGAGCGGAGGGGAGGGACGCTCGGGATGGAACGGAGACAGGACATGAGGGCGAGTCTGGCGATCAGGGGTTGGCGAAGGATGGCGAAAAGCAGCAGCAGGAAAAGCAGGTTACTGGGAGTGCGCAAAGTCCTCTGGGGGGGAATGCTGGCGCTCAGGGGGAGAATGCGCGGGAAGGGGAGGGTGACGCGCAGGAGGGGGAAGGTGGAGCGGGTAACGAGAAGATTGAAGGGGGGGACGGGGAGGAAGGGGCTTCTGGAGGTGAGGTGCCAGGGGGGGATGGCGACGGCATGCTGCTTGATGCGGGTTCGCCTGCCCAGACGGAGGAAGGGGAGCAGCTCCCGCAGAATGCAAGGACTGGAGGGTCTGGAGGAGGGTCAGCACCACAGGGAGCAGAGGGTCAGCAGGAGGCTCAGCAGCAGCAGCAACAGCAACAATCGCAACCGCAGGAGCAGCAGCAGCAATCTCATCGCGTGGCACCTCAACAGCAGCAGCAGCAGCCACAGCAACAGCAACAGCAGCAGCAGCAGCAGCAGCAGCAGCAGCAGCAGCAGCAGCAGCAGCAGCAGCAGCAGCAGCAGCAGCAGCAGGGGCAGCAGCAGCAGCAACAGCAGGGGCAGCAGCAGCAGCAGTCAGGACATCAGCAGCAGCAGCAGAGGCAGCTGAATCGGGAGCACGAGCAGGAGTTGCTGCAGCAGCAGATGCAGAAGCACCAGATGCTCTTCCATCAGCTTCAGGAGCGGCGGCAGCAGCTGCAGCAGCAGCTGATACTGCAGCAGCGGCAGCAGGGGTCGATGGATATGACGCAACGGCAGCAGCTGATTCAAACGCAGCAGCAGCAGCAACTCATTCAGCAGCAGATGCTGATTCTGAGGCAGCGGCAGCTGCAGCTGCAGCAGCAGCTACAGCAGAACCAGCAGCAACAGAATCAGCAGCAACAGCCGCAGCAGCAGCAGAGCGAGAATTTGGATTCACAGGGTGTGTCGAGTCAGGCGCCAAAGGAAGAGCCGAAGGAGCAGAGCGAGCAGGCGGGGAGAGAGGGTACTGCGCAGAACAGGGTCTCAGAGGCGCAGGAGCAGCACCAGCAGCAGCAGCAGCAACAACAACGCCAGCAACAGCAGCAGCAGCAGCAGCAGCAGCAGCAGCAGCAGCAGCAGCAGGCAGGCGCGCAGCGACCATCTGATGCTCTTTCCCAGCTGCTGCTGCGACAGCAGATGCTGCTACAGCAGCAGCAGCAGCAGCAGCAGAAGGCAGCGGGGCAGGGGCAAGGCGAGGATGGGGAGAGCGCGGGAAGCCAGCAGGTGGTTCGCAGCCAGCAGCAAGTGCAGCAGCAGCAGCAGCTCCTGCTCCTGCTGCAACGGCAACAAAGCTTAAATAGCGCCAGGAACCAGCAGCAGCAGCAGCAACAGCAGCAGCAACAGCAGCAACAGCAGCAACAGCAACAGCAACAGCAACAGCAGCAGCAGCAGGATCAGGCGCAAGGGCACGGGCAGGCACAGAGCTCAGCAGGACAATCACAACAGGATCCGCAGCAGCAGCAGCAGCAGCAGCAGTTGCAATTGCAGCAGTTGCAGCTGCAGCAGTTGCAGAAGCAGAAGCTGGAGCAGCTGTTGAGGCAGCGCCAGTCTCAGCTACAAGCACTGGCCCAGTCCCAGTCCCGCGCCCGCCCTGACCTCCCCGTGCTCGCTCTTGCTGAGGCTGCAGGCAGCGGCGTGCTTGCTGCTGGTAGAGCATCCAACGACCAGGATGCTGCCGGCGCCGGTCAATCAACGGCTCACGGTGCAGCTGAAGGTAGGGGTCCAGGCGCTGCTGCTGCTGCTGCTGGGGCTATGGCTGCTGGTGTCCCTGGTGCTGATGGTATGGCTGGGGAAGGTACAACCGGGGAAGGTTTACCTGGCGCTGGTGCAGAGGCTATGGTAACAGATGAGGGGGTGGGAGAGCTCGCACAAGCAGCAGGGATAGGCGGGGTAGGAGGGGTAGGAGGGCGAGGAGCAGCAGCAGGAGCAGTAGGAGTAGGAGTGGGGGCAGGAGGAGCAGGAGTAGGAGGAGTAGGAGGAGGGCTACAAGGTGGTGTGGGCGGGGATAATGGGGGCGAGCGCGAGGGGGAAGGGGCGTGCAGTGCAGGGGGAGAGGATGCAGCAGCGGCAGCAGCGGCAGCGATGGGTATGCCGGTGGTGGTGGACGTGTCCCCAGAGGATGGCGTGCTGCCTGCTGTGGGCGGGTCGGCCAACGTGGATGGGTGTGTGCGCAAGCTCATGGAATTCATGTATCACCAGCGGCGCCGCCCTGCTGTGAGTCTGTGGGTGGGTGGGTGGATGGGTGGGTGAGTGGGTGGGTGTGAACGTCTCTGTATGTGTGTGTGCGCATGAGTGTGTGTGTGTGAGGCGGCAGCGGCAGCAGCAGCAGCGGCAGCAGCAGCAGCGATGGGGATGCCGGTGGTGGTGGACGTGTCGCCAGAGGACGGCGTGCTACCTGCTGTGGGCGGGTCGGCCAACGTGGATGGGTGTGTGCGGAAACTCATGGAGTTCATGTACCACCAGAGGCGCCGCCCTGCTGTGAGTTTCTGTGGGGGTGGGTAAATGGGTGTGTGCATGGGTGAACGGGTGTGAGCATGTGTGTCTGGATGGGTGTGTGCGCAAGCTCATGGAGTTCATGTACCACCAGCGCCGCTGCCCTGCTGTGAGTCTGTGGTTGGTTGGTTGGGTGGGTGGGCGAACATGTGTGTGCATGGGCGTGTGACTGTCCCAATGGGTCGGCTAACGTGGATGGGTGTGTGCGCAAGCTCATGGAGTTCATGTATCACCAGCGCCGCCGCCCTGCTGTGAGTTTCTGTGGGGGTGGGTGAATGGGTGTGTGAGTGTTTGGATGGCTGTGTGTGTTTGGATGGGTGAGTGAGTGTCTGCATGGGTGTGTGCGCAAGCTTATGGAATTATTGTACCTCTAGCGCCGCCTCCTTGCTGTGAGTGGCTGGTTGGGTGGGTGGGTGGGTGTGTGGATGGGTCAAATGGGTGTGTGTGTGTGTGTGTGTGTGTGTGTGTGTGTATGCATGGGACTGGCTCACATCCTCCCTCTCCCTCTTCCGCCTGCCCCATCCCCCCCTGCAGGACAACAACGTGGAGTTCTGGCGTCAGTTTGTGGCACAATACTTCGCCCCGCATGCCCGCCTTTGAGGCATCTGGAAACACCTTCTTTGCTTTGTCCTGCTCACATCCCTCCATTCCTCCCTCTCTATCTCCCTCCCTCACCTCCCTCCCTCACCTCCCTCTCTCCCTCACCTCCCTCAGGACAACAACGTGGAGTTCTGGCGGCAGTTTGTCGCACAGTACTTCGCCCCGAACGCCCGCAAGCGCTGGTGTGTTGCCTCCTACGGCAGGAGCGGCCGCCAGCCAGCCGGTGTCTTCCCTCAGGACATTTGGCCCTGCGACCTCTGCGGAGCTAGTCCTGGCCGTGGCTTTGGTGAGTGCTGGTAGGGTGGGCTGTGAGTGAGGGATGGATCACAGCCAGGCAGGTGGTGGTGTTAGTCGCCAGTCAAGTCGCCAGCCCGCCGGGGTCTTCCCTCAGGACATCTGGCCCTGCGACCTCTGCGGAGCTAGTCCTGGCAGGGGCTTTGGTGAGTGATGGGGTCTGTTCAGGGAGTGCAGGGAGTGCAGGGGAGTGGAGGGGAGTGCAGGGGAGTGCAGGGGAGTGGAGGGGAGTGCAGGGGAGTGCAGGGAGTGTGGCGCTGCCAGCCCGCCAGGGTCTTCCCTCAGGACATCTGGCCATGCAACCTCTGCGGAGCTAGTCCTGGCCGCGGCTTCGGTGAGTGATGGGGGGAAAAGTGGGGGGACGTGTCCTCACAATGCTTCTTCTGAATCCCCTGTTCTCTCCACGCATCCACACGCAGAGATGACCATGGAGGTGCTACCTACCGCGCCTGTTCAAGATCATGTTCGACAGTGGAGTGGGGTGCTGGAGGAGGTGCTGTATGCAACCCTCATTCCATTAGCCCCCTCCACTCCTCTTGCCACCTCCCCCCTCGTTCTCCCACAGAGATGACCATGGAGGTGCTACCTACCGCCCTTGTTCAAGATCATGTTCGACAGTGGGGTGGGGTGCTGGAGGAGGAGGTGGAAACCTTTCACTACATTAACCCCTCCACTCGCCACCTCCCTCCTGCCTTTCCCTGCCGCATCCACCCACAGAGATGACAATGGAGGTGCTCCCGCGTCTCTTCAAGATGAAGTACGACAGCGGGGTGCTGGAGGAGGTGCTGTATGCGGCGAACCTCACCACTCACTCATACCCATTCGTCATACTGTACTGATTCCCTCTTCTTGCCACCTCCCCCATTGCCCTCACACAGAAATTATCATGGAGGTGCTCCCCCGTCTATTCAAGATCAAGTACGACAGCGGGGTGCTGGAGGAGGTGCTGTACGGACTCACTCACCCATACCTGTTTGTCCCCCTTATGTTCCTGACTCGTTACACTGCACAGAGATGACGATGGAGGTGCTTCCGCGCCTCTTTAAGATAAAGTACGACAGCGGCGTGCTGGAGGAGGTGCTGTATGCGGACCGTCCACCCCCAAGAATCCCTTGTTCTTTCCACTCACCTACACACTCCCCCCACACGCAGAGATGACAATGGAGGTGCTCCCCCGCCTCTTCAAGATCAAGCACGACAGCGGCGTGCTGGAGGAGGTGCTGTACGGACCTCACTCACACCTGTTGATCCCCTTCTTACCCACAGAGATGACGATGGAGGTTTTGCCTCGCCTGTTCAAGATCAAGTACGACAGCGGCGTGCTGGAGGAGGTGCTGTATGCAGTGCTGACCTGCCCTCATGATGCTTTCTTGATCCCCTGTTCTTTCCACTCATCCACCCACAGAGATGACCATGGAGGTTTTGCCTCGTCTCTTCAAGATGAAGTACGACAGCGGGGTGCTGGAGGAGGTGCTGTATGGACCGACCTCACACCTGTTAATCCCCTTCTTACCCACAGAGATGACCATGGAGGTGCTCCCCCGTCTGTTCAAGATAAAGTACGACAGCGGGGTGCTGGAGGAGGTGCTGTATGCGGACCTGCCGGCGGAGTACATGCTGCCAGGTGGCGCCGTGGTATTGGAGTACGACCACGCCATCCAGGAGAGCCTCTTTGAGCAGCTGAGGGTGGTGCGCAAGGGCAAGCTCAAGATTGTGTTCAACTCCGACCTCAAGGTGCGCACATAAAGCCATGCACGAGCCACCTGTGTGCATATGTGTGTGTGGGAGGGGTTTGAGAGCAGCAGCTGAGGGTGGTGCGCAAGGGCAAGCTCAAGATCGTCTTTAATCCTGACCTCAAGGTGGGGTAGCTGTGTGTGGAGGGGGGAAGGAAAGGGATGGGGGGAAAGTGAGTGGGGGGAAGACTGGTTTGAGAGCAGCAGCTGAGGGTGGTGCCACCATGCCCATGCCCATTGCCATGCCCATGCCATGCCCATGCCATGCCCATGCCCATTGCCATGCCCATGCCCATGCCGTGCCCATGCCCATGCCGTGCCCAAGCCCATGCCGTGCCCATGCCCATGCCCATGCCGTGCCCATGCCCATGCCGTGCCCATGCCCATGCCGTGCCCATGCCCATGCCGTGCCCATGCCCATGCCGTGCCCATGCCCATGCTGTGCCCATGCCCATGCCATGTCCATGCCATGTCCATGCCATGCACATGTCTTGCCCATGTCGTGTCATTCAGTGGAAGGCCAACAGTAACATCTGTCTCGCCCCGCCCTTCTCACCCCGCCCTTCTCACCCCGCCCTTCTCACCCCGCCCTTCTCACCCCGCCCTTCTCACCCCGCCCTTCTCGCCCCGCCCTTCTCACCCCGCCCTTCTCACCCCGCCCATGCCCCTCTAAAGATCACCCTGTGGGAGTTCTGCATGCAGAACCATGAGGAGCTCGTGTTTTGAGTTGACTCAACCCACCCGTGCCATGCCCTTTCCCCCATGCCCGTCGCCCCATGCCCTCCGCCCCATGCCCTCCCGCCCATGCCCCTCGACAGATCACCCTGTGGGAGTTCTGCACACAGAACCACGAGGAGCTCGTGCCGCGCCGCCTTGTGCTGCAGCAGGTGAGGCCACCCCCCACCACGCATCCAACCACCCACCCCACCACCACCCACCCCACCACGCACCAAGGAACGCTTTGAGGCACCGCTTCTCCCCATTGCATTAACTAGCATTTGCTCCTTCGTCTCTGCACACCTCCTCTCCCCTTCCATCCCCCTTTGCCGTCTCCTCCGTCTCTGCAGCCCCCACCTCCTCTCTCATCCCCCTCTCCTCCCCATTCCCTTCTCCCTCCTTCCCTCCTCCCTCTCTCCCTCACTCACTCCCGTGTTTGCCCCCTTCCCTCCCATTCTTTCACTCTCCCCTTTCTCTCCTCCCTACCTGTGTGTCTATCCACCTCCCCATCTCGCCATCTCTGTGTTGCAGGTGAGTCGACTGGCGGATCTCGCCTTCAAGTTTCAGAACCACCTGCCCGGGTCCCTCACGCCCAACCAGCTCCACTCGCATTGCGCCACGTAAGCACCCCCCCTCACTCTGCCCACCCCACTCCCTGTACCTCCTCCCTGGTCTGATCTCCACCTCACTCACTTCCCCCCCTCCTCTCCCCCCACCCCCCTCCCTCGTCCCTCCCATCTCTTTTGTACCATTTCCACTTTCAGAACCTTGTTTGTTTCCGTCCTTCTACGCTCTCTCTCGTTATAAGATTCGCAAAAGTCTTGCTCTCTTTTGGCCTATACCTGTCTCCTCTCCAACAACCCCTCCCTCCCTCCACCCACGCACACAATTTCGCGACCATGTGTCCTGAGCTGGCCCGCAAGCCCTTCCCTCCCCTTTCCCCCCCACACCTCTCTCGCTTACTTCATTACCCCCCTAATTCGCGACCTTGACTCACAGACCCATCCATTCCTCCTCTGCCTCGCCCTCCTCCCCCATCGCTTCCCCCGCCCCCCCAGCTTCGCCACCATGTGTCGCGAGTTGACTCACAAGCTGGACGCGCCAACAGTCAACGACCTGGGCTTCACCAAGTGCTACGTGCGCTGCCTGCAGGTGTGCTATGCGGGGCTACGAGGTGCTATGCGGTTCTGTGAGGTGCTCTGCAGTTCTATGGGGTGCTATGAGGCGCTGTAGGATGCTATGAGATGTTGTAGGGTGCTCTCAGGTGCTTCAGCCACTACCAGTCGCCAACAGTCAACGATCTGGGCTTCACCAAGCGCTACGTCCTCTGCCTGCAGGTGTGCTATGCGGGGCTACGAGGTGCTATGCGATACTGTAGGGTGCTTTCAGGTGCTACGGGTGCTATCAGTCGCCGACATTCTTGTGCTGCCTGCATGTCAGTGGGTGTGCTGTGCTATGAGGTCCTATGGGCTGCTATGAGGTGCTGAACCGTGGAATGTGGTGCGCTGCTGTAAGTCCTTTTTTGGGTATTGAGCTGGACACCCCAACTGTCAAGTCAAAAACCCTAAATTCTGGACCCTGAACCCCATGTATTGGAACCTATTCCTCCATCACTCACTATCATCATCCTCCCTCACTTTCATGGCTGTCACATTGTAAGCGGATATCCACCACAGGTATCAGAGGGGATATCCATGAGGGATATCAAAGGTGGTGAGTATTGAGCACCATGACTCTATTTTCGAGCCAATTGAAAATACCTGAGTAATAACGGAGGTGCTGAACAGCATAAATTAAGCTATGACTTTATGCAAATCAACATTGTTTTTTTTCACCTTTTCTTTTGACACTATCCCCTATGGCAGATATCAGAGGTGGTGAACAGCATGAAGGACCTGGTGAACTACAGCCGAGAGCACAACATCGGACCCATCGGTGAGTTGTTGCCACCTGTACGGTTGGTGAGTCGCCACCTGTACGATTGGTTACATTGTCATCCTGATGCTGTCGCCTCGCTCCTTTGTCCAGTGAAACCTTTGCCAATCTCTTGTTCGTTCTTGCCCTGCCCTCCCCTCCTCGCCTCCCGTCTCCCCACTTCTCGACTTCCCTCTCCACCCTTACCTCCCCTCTCCCCTCTCCCACCCACTTCCTCACCTTCCGTCTCCCTCCACATTCCAAAAAGATTATTTTTGCTATATGCCCACGCCTCCCTCCCCATGTCCCCTCCCCATTCCCCGGACGTCCCCATGTTCCCCTCACCAAATGCTGCTGCTGTTTCGCACCCCTCACTGACCAATAATCCTCTCCCTGCTGCCCTACCAATGCCTGCTGCACCCCTTGCTCTCCCCAACCCCCTGCTCCCCTCCCCCGCTGCTCGTCCCCCTTTGGCCCCTTGCCCACAAACCTGCAGAGAGCCTCAACTCCTTTCCGCGCCTGAAGCCCACGCCCCCCTCGCCATGCGCCTCCGACCACTCGATTCAGCAGCACGGCTTGCAGCAGCCGGGCTTGCTGCCTCTGCAGCAGATGCGCATGCAGGCACAGCAGCAGCAGCAGCAACAGGGGCAACAGGGGCAGGGGGGGCAGCAGGGAGGCGGGGAGCTCGGTCTGGTTACGGAGCAGGTGGTGGGACAGCAGGGGCAGCAGCAGCAACAGCATTCTATTGGGCAGCAGCAGCAGCAGCAGCATTCCATGGGGCAGCAGCAGGAGGAGGGAGGGAGCCCGCAGCAGCAGGGCATGGGGCAGGCGAGGGAGGAGATGCGAGCCGTCACACCCACCTCACAGCTCATGGCCGAGGGTGGGGGGGGAGCAGGAGGAATGGGGGGGAGGGCAGGGGGTATGGGCGGAATGGGAGGGGGTCAGCAGCACCAGGGGATGCAGCATGGGGGACAGGGGCAGGGGCAGGGGCAGGGTTTGCCGCCTCTGCCTCCCCCTCAGCAGAGAAACCTTCCCCCGAGGTCGCCCCTGCAACACCTGCAGCAGCAGCTACTGCAGCAGCAGCAACAACAGCAACAGCAACAGCAACAGCAACAGCAACAGCAACAGCAACAGCAACAGCAACAGCAGCAGCAACAGCAGCAGCAGCAGCAGCAGCAGCAGCAGCAGCAGCAGCAGCAGCAGCAGCAACAGCAGCAGCAGCAGCAGCAGGAGGTGCAGAGTTCCTTATCCCCCGGCACAGGAGCAGCAGCAGGAGCGGGAGGGGGAGGGGGAGGAGGGGCACAGGGCTTTGGAGCACAGAACATGGGAGCAGGCCAGGGGTCAGGGGCGGCAACAGTGGCAGCAGCAGCTGCCGCCCTGCGAATGAGCAGTGCCGCCCAGATCTCCGCCCTCATGGGGTCCCTGGGGGCGGGCGGGGGCATGGGGGGAGCAGCAGGGGGAGGGGCGGGGGGGAGGGGCAGGGCCTGGCGGTATGGGCGGGAGGGGAATGTCTAGAGCGGACAGCACAGGGGAGAGGGAGCCTGGGGGTATGCACGCTGATGGTGCTGCTGGGGGAGGGGCGGGAGGAGCAGCAGGGGTGGGAGGAATGGGGGGAGTGGGAGGAGTGGGGGAGGGAGGGGGAGCAGGCGGAGCAGGTGGGGGAGGGGGAGGCGGGGGAGGAGGGGGAGGAGGGGGAGCAGCAGCAGCAGCTGGCAGCACAGCAGGCGCGCCTCTGGGTCCCCCAAGGCTCAGACACTCGTCCTCTGTCAACTCCCTGTCTGGCTCTGTGGGTGGGGCCATGGGGGGCATGGGGGGAGGGATGGGCGCGGGCATGGGCGGAATGGGGGGCGCAGGGGGCGGAGGTGGGGGAGGGAGGGGGATGGGGGGGTTCACCCGCGCTGGCAGCATGGGGGGGAGCATGGGGGGAAGTATGGGCGGGCCTGGGGGGGGCAGGGTTATGGGATCAGCTGCTGCGGCTGCTGCTGCTGCTTCAGGGGGGTTTGGCATGGGGAGGAATCAGGAGCTTGAAGCAATGGGAGGTGATGCTGGTGGTGGTGGTGGGGGGATGGAAGGCACAGCAGCAGCAGCAGCAGCAGCAGCAGGGCAGGGGGCTGTGGGCGAGTTTGCAGCTCTCATGTCTCCTCCTGTGTCGCACCAGGAAGCTTCCTGGCAGCAGGCCGTTGCTGCCTCTGCAGCAGCAGGTGGAGGTGGGGACGGAGGCCCCGGCGGTGGGGGGATGGGAGCAGGGGGGAGGACGAATGGCGGGGTGATGGCGAGAGCAGGGAGCTATGGGGCAGGTGGGGCAGCATCAGCAATGAGTGGCGGGGGCGGTGGCGGTGGTGGTGCTGGTATGGGTGGTGGAGGGGGAGCGGCAGGAGGAGCAGGAGGAGGAGGAGCAGGAGGAGGAGGGGGGATGACTTTGAGTGGGCTCCAGAGCATGTTGCAGCAGAGTGCTGGTGCTGGGGGCGTGGGTGGGGGTGGAGGCATGGCGAATAGAGTTGCCACGCTGATGGCTCGACAGGCTCAGATCAAAGCCCTTGCTAATCTTCGCCAGCAGCAGTCGCAGCAACAACTGCAGCAGCAGCAACAGCAGCAGCAGCAACAGCAACAGCTGCAACACCAGCAGCAGCAGCTGCAACAGCTGCAGCAGCAGCAGCAGCAGCAGCAGTCAGTGTCACAAGGAAATCTGATGGAAAGAGCAGCGGCAGCAGCAGCCGCAGCAGCTGCCGCGCAGGGGGTTAGTGGCAACAGCGGCAGTGTGTGCGGTGGGGGGGGAGGAGGGGGAGGTGCTGCTGGTGCCGCTGGCGGTGGTGGCAGTGTGAATTTTGGAGGAATGGGCAACGCAGCAGCAGTAGCAGCAGCTGCAGCAGCAAGCAGATCAGCCGCTGCAGCGGCAGCAGGAGGGGGAGGTGGAGTGGGGGCAGGGATGGGGGGAGGAGCAGCAGCATCGCAAGCGGCAGCAGCAGCAGCTGCAGGGAACGTGGCAGTGAGTCTGCTGCAGCAAGCAGGGAAGCTGGAAGGGTTACGAGGGGCGGAGGCACAGAGCGCAGTGCAGCAGCTGATGCAGCAGGTCATGCTCAACCGCGCTGCTGCTCAGGCCGCTGCTGCTGCCTCTGCTTCCGCTGCCGCTGGTGGTACTGCTGCTGGTGCTGGTGGGGGTGGGCTTGCTGGTGCTGGCACTGCTGCTAGCATGGCAGCAGCAGCGGCAGCTGCGGGGATGTTGAGAGAAGGAGCGGCGGAAGGGGGGATGGGAGGAGGCATGGGCTCGCATGGGGGTGTGGGGGCAGGCCTAGGGGGTCTGGGAGGGGTGGGTGGAGCAGGGGGAGGTGGGCCTGGGGGAGGTGTATCTGCCATGGGTCCTGCAGGCAGCAGAGTGGCTGCCATGGCTGCTCGGCTCAGAAGCATGGGGGTTACCAACCTGGCTGGGTTGGGAATGGTGGGAAGCGGTGCTGGTCTTGGTGCTGGCGGCGCTGCTGGTGTGGGGGGCATGGGGGGAGCAGGAGTGATGGGCGGGGGGGATATGCTGCCTGACGGATTGGGAGGAGCAGCAGGGGGTATGGTTCGGGCTGCTGGTAACTTTGCTTGTCTGGCTTCTGCTGCAGGCTTGGCTGGACCTTCGGGCGGAGGCGTGGGAGGAGGTTTGGGAGGGATGCGAGGGGCGGCGTTGGCTGAACGATTGGCGAGCCTAGGAGCCAATATTGCCGACCTGGGGAGGTTTGAGAATGTGATGGATGGCGGCGCTGGTGGTGGTGGTGGTGGTGGTGTTGCAGGTTTGATGGATTCAGGTGCGACTATGCCTAATTCTGCTCTCGTCGGTGGGGGCTTAGGGGCGGGTATGGGTGACGCTGATGCTGGTGGGTTTAGAGGTGGATTGGGAGCAGCAGGTATGGTTGGCGGGAATGTAGGCTTGGTTGGAGGCTTGGGGTCGCTGGATCGGCTTGCAGCGGCAGGTTTGGTTGGTGGAGGTTCGGGGGGTCTAGGTATGGGAGCAGCAGGAGTGGGTGGTTCGGCTGCAGTGGCAGCAGGAGCACTGCAAGCAGGGCTGCAGATGCAAGAGCAAGTGGGAATGGGGCATGACGGGATGATGGGGGGTGGAGGGGCCGGAGGTGGGGGAGGGGGTTTCAGCAACCTTGGGAATCTACAGTTTAACTGGAACAGATGAGGAGTTGTGCAGATATTTGCAGCTCAGCTGTAAAGAAAAATATAGTGTCCTGGCTTGGGTTAACAAATATACGGTAACACAAATAGCAATAGATTTGTGTTGGGATGGGGTTTGAATTGGTCAAGTATGGAGGATGTGCATTGTTGTAATTGACGTATAGAAATCCAATGTTGTCATCCACCCCAGCAAAAGCTGGTTAGCTCTGTAGGGGGTTTGAGTTTTCTGCATTAGAGTGTCACCTTCTGGCATTTTGTAGCTGTTCATACTGGAAAACATGGATCATGTTACCTTCTTATGTTTGTGAGGCTAGCTGTCAGGTGAAATTACTCAACACCGAAACATCATGTATCGAGTATTCTGTACTTCTTCTCGTTTCGTTTCATCCGGCACGTACGGGATGACGGCCGGCGGGAAATGCCGGCTGTTGAAATCTTCCCCTCGCCGAGAATGAAGAGTACGGTTGACTCGTTTCTTCTTGGAGTTGACACGGCAGTTCGGTTGTCCATGTGGCTGCAGCTTCTTCGTCAGACGCTCTTGTTGACTGCTTGCCGAGTCATTTCGAAATTCGAGCACTTTTTCAATGTGCGACGCGCAGAATTAGCGACGCGACGAGGGTACAAATTTCTGCATTTGGCTTCCACCAATTCATTCCAATTTCGTCACTCACAGAAAGTAGACCCTTTGGAGTGCTTTTCAAGCGCCCACACGAAATTCTTTCAAACGCTCGACATCTGGACTTACTTTTCATCGCTACGAAGGTTTTCTTATCACGTTAGCGGAAACATATCTATGGAGCGCTCCTTTCCTCTCCCGCAGAACAGGCTCCGTCGGCGTAACCTGAGCGCAGCGCTTCTCCTCCTCTCTTTCGTCCTGATCTCGTCTCTCCACGCCGCGTTGGCCCTTCGCTTCTCCACGGGACTCCGCGTGGACAAGATGGGCGGAAACTTGCGCGGATGGTTGCACTGCGGACGTTCGACCTGTAAGAAGCACAGACACGGCGGCGGAAAGGGCGGAGACGGGAAGGGTGGAACTGGGGGCGCTGGCGGAGGGGTGGGTGGCGGTGGCGGAACGGGCGGTGGCAGAACGGGCGGTGGCAGAACGGGCGGTGGCGGAACGGGCGGTGTCGGAATGGGCGGTGGCGGAACAGGCGGTGGCGGAACAGGCGGTGGCGGAAAAGGAGGCGGCGGAAGCATGATGGGCGGCGGCGAAATAGGTGGCGGAGGAGATGGAGGGGGAATGGGCGGATTTATGCCGTTCGCTCCAGGATCAGAAGCAGGCATGGGAGATATGGATGATGGCATGGGTGCCCCTGCTCCCGGATCAGAAGCAGGCATGGGAGACATGGATGATGGCATGGGTGCCCCTGCTCCCCGATCAGAAGCAGGCATGGGAGATATGGATGATGGCATGGGTGCCCCTGCTCCCGGATCAGAAGTAGGCATGGGAGATATGGATGATGGCATGGGTGCCCCTGCTCCCGGATCAGAAGCAGGCATGGGAGATATGGATGATGGCATGGGTGCCCCTGCTCCCGGATCAGAAGCAGGCATGGGAGATATGGATGATGGCATGGGTGCCCCTGCTCCCGGATCAGAAGCAGGCATGGGAGATATGGATGATGGCATGGGTGCCCCTGCTCCCGGATCAGAAGCAGGCATGGGAGATATGGATGATGGCATGGGTGCCCCTGCTCCCGGATCAGAAGCAGGCATGGGTCCTGGGGGGGGCATGGACGGCGGCGGAACGGGCGGCGGAGGAACAGGCGGCGGAGGAATGGGCGGTGGGGGAACGGGCGGCGGAGGAACGGGCGGCGGAGGAATGGGCGGCGGAGGAACGGGCGGCGGAGGAACGGGCAGCGGAGGAACGGGCGGCGGTGGAACGGGCGGCGGTGGAACGGGCGGTGTAGGAACGGGCGGCGATGGATCGGGCAGCGGAGGAGCGGGCGGCGGTGGAATGGGCGGCGGAGGAACGGGCGGTGGAGGAACGGGCGGCGGAGGAGCGGGCGGCGGTGGAACGGCCGGCGGAGGAACGGGAGGTGTAGGAACGGGCGGCGGTGGATTGGGCGGCGGAGGAACGGTCGGCGGAGGAACGGGCGGTGGTGGAACGGCCGGCGGTGGAACAGGCAGCAGTGGAACGGGCGGCGGAGGAACGGGCGGCAGTGGAACGGGCGGCAGTGGAACGGGCAGTGGTGGAACGGGCAGTGGTGGAACGGGCGGCGGAGGAACGGGCGGCGGAGGAACGGGAGGTGTAGGAACGGGTGGCGGTGGATTGGGCGGCGGAGGAACGGTCGGCGGAGGAACGGGCGGTGGTGGAACGGCCGGCGGTGGAACAGGCAGCAGTGGAACGGGCGGCGGAGGAACGGGCGGCAGTGGAACGGGCGGCAGTGGAACGGGCAGTGGTGGAACGGGCAGTGGTGGAACGGGCGGCGGAGGAACGGGCGGCGGAGGAACGGGCGGCGGTGGAACGGGCGGCGGTGGAACGGGCGGTGTAGGAACGGGCGGCGATGGATCGGGCGGCGGAGGAGCGGGCGGCGGTGGAATAGGCGGCGGTGGAACGGGCGGCGGTGGAATGGGCGGCGGAGGAACGGGCGGTGGAGGAACGGGCGGCGGAGGAGCGGGCGGCGGTGGAACGGCCGGCGGAGGAACGGGAGGTGTAGGAACGGGCGGCGGTGGATTGGGCGGCGGAGGAACGGTCGGCGGAGGAACGGGCGGTGGTGGAACGGCCGGCGGTGGAACAGGCAGCAGTGGAACGGGCGGCGGAGGAATGGGCGGCAGTGGAACGGGCGGCAGTGGAACGGGCAGTGGTGGAACGGGCAGTGGTGGAACGGGCGGCGGAGGAACGGGCGGCGGTGGAACGGGCGGCGGAGGTGGTATGACAAGAGGTGGTAAGGGCGGAGCAGCGTCTCCATGAGCAGGGACAGACATGAGTCCTGGGGAGATGGCTGCAATCAAATGTCACTCTCCAGGAGCATGGTTCATGTGTTGTTGTCATCTCTAGCATGTAACCACCTCAAGGTTGAACGGTGATCCACTTAGCAAGCATGGATTGTTACGGGGATTGCACTCCTGTACCAGGTTTCATACATGCTACATGATGGCAAAGCACAGCTATTGTTCTCTTGCTAATCAAAAGCCCAATTCCCAAGGTTGTTGGTAGATCAGTTGATGCGAGAGGTCACAGAGGCCTGGTGAATGAAGTATTGAATAGGATTTACTACCTGTAAATTGCAGTGCTTCACATACTGGTAGTACATTCACCCCATGCCGTTTCTACCTTATTCAACAGCACCTGTAAGTTGTCTGGCGGAGAGAGAAAATCCTCAAATCTCCCGAGAAACTTAGGACTTGATGATCAGCTCAGTGGTAGTAAGTGAAGTGCTGCTGTGACAACCCAGCTGCTGCCACTTGTCCTTTTCAAGTACTCCTTGCCACTTCAACTCACCATCTGCCTGCCACGCACTCCCTTCAACACCAACCCCGCACTCTTTACACCAACCTCTCTTCATCTCCCTCATCTTCTCCTCTCTCCACCTTCCCGCCCTCCTCCTATCTCCCTCCCCTCCTCTCTCCACATCTCCTTCCTCATCTCCTCATCCCTCCACTCCTCCCTTCTCTCCTCACTCTTTCCCGCCTCCCTCCTCTGCTCCTCCTCTCCTCCTCTCCTCCTCTACTCCTCTCCTCCTCTCCTCTTCTCCTCCTCTCCTCCCTCCTTTCTTCCTCCTGCCTCACAGCACTGCCCATTGCTGTCGACAATCGCTCCCTCAACTCATCCACCTCTTGATCCTCCCTCCTCCTCGCTTTGCCTGAAACCCTCCCTTTCAGGAGCGTTATCAATGCTTCGCATTAGAAAACTGCCCAGCCCACTGCACGCACGTGGCAGCACATGGGATGGTCATACAGGTTAAGCCTGAGATGCGTAAACGAGAGAGGGGAAGGTGAATTAAGCCATGTGCATAGCATACAGCACAAGGCCCACAAGGGATGAGGAGCGCTACGCGGCTGGCGAGACCCGGGAGAGAAGATATGGTGTCTACACGAGACGGCACAGGATAAGCAGCTGCGGAGGCAGCTGGGGAGGCAACTGGTGAGGCACAGCCTGATGGGTTTCAAAGCAGCACGTTGAGTCTAAAAGCAGGTGGCTAGGCAGGTCATTCTCAAATGGCATTATGAAGCCGAGGGACGATCTCAAGGGTCTGTGGCACGGTGGGGGGAGGAGAGACGACAGGCATGAGGGAGAGAGGATTGGGATGAGTAGCGGCGGAAGCAAAAGACGATGGGGCGAGTAGAGAGGATTGGTTTGAAGGAGCTTTTGAGAGTGTTGGGTGACACAAGGTGATGTGTGTGCTTCTTGCAAGGTGTTTTTTAGAATTGCAAGGTGTTTGTGCTTCTTCTCAAAAACACCCTGACACAAGGTGATGCTTGTGCTTCTTGGAGAAGGAAGAACCGAGGCGAGCCAAGCACACTCATGACAAAGAGTGAAACCAGAGACGAAGTGGAGAACCATCAGAGATTAACTTGAAAGTCAATAGCAGAAGTAACGAGTTACAATCAGAAACGAAGTGGAGAACAATCAGAGACCAGTCCATAACATAAAGTAACAAAGTTGCAAGTCAATTGCGCGATTAACGAGTCATGGCATAAAGTATAAAAGTCGTGGCACCACGAAGGGCATACCCGAACATACTCAGCTGCTCTCTTAAGGTTCATCAGCAAACCTATCGTAGAACCGTGTTGATGCACTCACTCCCTCACTTGTGCGTGAGAAACGTCCATCCAGCAGAGCAGCCGTAGGAAAAGGCAGAGCGCTGTGTAGTGTTGAGCACGTAGAGCTGTGGTGGGATACCCGCACACGCATGCACACACAGGCGCACGCGCACAACCGCACACGCACACGCCCACAGCCACACCCATCCACACACGCATGCGCACACGCCCACGGCCGCCACTGCCGCGTCAGCAGCTGCTCTGGCGGGGATCTCCCCGCGGAGAGATGGGTCCCCTGCTGCCGCCACGTCAGCCGCCGCGTCAGCAGTCGTGCCAGTTGTCAGCCTGGTTTCCGCAGACGACCCAATCACGAATCTGTTCAAGACGCCTGGGCAGGTGAGATAGCGTTCCGATCGCACGCCCCTTCCTTGATGCCTTCACACGCACACAAACACACGCGCGCACGCGCGCGAACACACACACACACACACACACACGCACGCACGCACGCACACGCACACAAACACACGCGCGCGCGCGCGCACACACACACACACACACACACACACACACACGCATGCGCATACACACGCACACAAACACACGCGCGCACGCGCGCGCACACACACACACACACACACACACGCACGCACGCACGCACACGCACACAAACACACGCGCGCGCGCGCGCGCACACACACACACACACACACACACACACGCATGCGCATACACACGCACACAAACACACGCGCGCGCGCGCGCGCGCACACACACACACACGCACACACAAATACGCACACACACACGCGCACTCGCGCACGCACGCACGCACACACGCACGCACACACACACACGCACGCACACACACACACATACAAACATACACACACACGCACACGCACACGCACACGCGCACGCACACGCACACACACACACACACACACGCACGCACGCACACACACACACACACACACACACACACACACACACACACACACATTCTTAAAGAAGTGAGCAGAGGTTGATGTGAGCTTGTATGTTGCGTGTACGCTTGCCGTGTGATGTGAGTGGTGTGGCTTGTTGCTCACGGACCGAAGCAATGGGCACTCTTGTGGGTGGGACCATGCAGGATATAGGTGCTGCTGATGGGGTGTAATGGTGATGTGACCACATCACTTGTCCCCACCATGTGTCATAAGCCCATAACACATCTCCATGCAACAAGTCAAGAATATCCCATCGTGTGTCTTTGGTCCATCACCCATTACCATGTTCCCATGCATCACAGCACATGGCATGCATGGCATGGCGTGTGTGTTAGCATGGTGCACACGCATCCACCAGGCACACAGCAGCATCTTGCATGGCAAATCCACCACCCCACCTCATGCTGTGGGTTGAAAATCAGTGAGGTGGGAACATAGTAATGTGTGATGGTGAAATGGCAAATCCACCACCCCACATCATGCATGGCAAATCCACCACCCCACCTGCTGGCGTGCGAGTTCATCATGGTCATCATGCCAGCCGACCATGTTTCTTGAGTCGACTTAAAGCCCCACCACACCGCCTCATGATGCTCTACCGCATGCATCATGAATGGCAAACTGAGCTTGACCAAGATTGAGCTCATGCAAACTTATCGAGACCGAGAAAGCGACTGAAATTGCGTGCGCGATTACCGATGAGGGTTGAAAATCAGCCACACACACACACCTGTCGTGTAAAATCGCTGCTGCCAGCCGAACCACTTCTCAGCAGCAGCAGCCTCGATACAGTCACAGAAGCAAGAACCACTGCTAGTAGCAGCCCTGCCCCCGCCAAAGCTACTCCAGCCACTCCGCGTTGAGCAGGGAAGCATCAGGAGGGACTATCAGCCTGGGAGCGGCAGCAGGTGGTGAGAGGCGAGAGGAGGCGCAGGCTCCGCGCTTAAGTCTGGACCAAGTCGGACATAGCCACCCCTGGCCTGGCGGATGGTGCAGCTGCGCTTGGGGAGGCTGCGCGAGTTTTGAGACGTCTCAAAACTCGGATGGCGCAGCTGCGCGTGGGGAGGCTGCAAGTGGCTGGGGCGACTGGGGGAGCGGGAGGTGGTAAGGTTGGGTAGGGTGGCTAGGGCTTGGAATGGCTGGGGTTAGACAGGCTGCGGCGGCTGCGGAAGTGGGGTGGGAGGGGATATGATGCGACATGGTGATTAGGGCAGGGCGAGTAAGGGCAGGGCAGGGGGACGCAGGTGGCGGGGGGGTGAGGGGGAGGCTCAGGGCAGGGGTTATGCTGAGACATGCACGGCAAGCATGGTAGCAATCCCGGGTCCCAGGTGACAAAAATCTGACAAGCTGGCGTGGCGGAGATATGCGAGTGGCGGAGCTGCGCGCGTGGCGGAGCTGCGGATGGCGGAGATATGCGCGTGGCGGAGCTGCGCGTGTCGGAGCTGCGCGCATGGCGGCGCGCGGTTCTCGCTGTTGTCCCTCTGCCGCCATCGCCAAGCTCAGTAACGCGATTTCGCATGCAATGAGAGACGTTGAAACACGAGCTGGCGGCGAAATACCAACCCCCCTCTACCCCCCCCCTTCCCCGCAAGAACTCGGCGCGGCGGAATACCCCGCGCCCCGCGCGATGAATACTGCGCGGAGGAATACCCCGCGCCCCGCGCGATGAATACTGCGCGGAGGAATACCCTCACGCGACGAATACAGCGAGGCGGAGTCGAACGGAGGGCCTCCGTTCGAGCATTGTTTCTCGATGGACCACCCTGTCCTGCTGTCGATCGAACTCTGCATTTTGTCACGTAGGCTTGGTCGAGCGAGTAGCGGATCGCGATATCTCTCGCAAAGGACCCTCTGGTGAGCTTACGATAAATGGCAGTCACTCGAACCGACACTTGCCTAGCTGTCGGCGATGTATCCGCGATTGTGGTGTGGATGGATGGCTGTCCGAAACTTTTATTTTGGCTTTCCAAAACGTACGCGAAGGCTTTCTCAGGGTGTAGAGCAAGCAAAACTACTTTGCAGTGATTAAACCTCAGTATCGGTGCAGCAGGGCATGTACACATGATGCCCAACCCGTGCACGCGAATTTGCACTGCACCGGATGGAAACCCTGCACCCGAGGTTTTTTCTTCAGCCAGTTGCACGCCCGTTACAAGCACGTCGCGCAAGTTGCAGTGGTTATGAACCAATAGTAACGAACAGACCGAAGTCACACTGAAGAGACTGAAGTCAAAATGTCAACGGATAGGTTACAAAAGCTTTATAAGCACCTGACGAATCCTTTTTTGCTAGCTGCGAATCGACGAAATTTAGGCGAAATGTGGGTTACAGCTTATAAGCCCCCTTTACAAGGCAACCGGGAGTGGCTCAAACGGGCATCATGTGTACTTCGGTTCTCGGGTCCAATTCAAACGGTACGAGTTTCTTCGGATTTCGTCGGCTGTTGACAAAAGTTACAGTGGTCAACATATTTTCCCAACCCGTTGACTTGAATTTCGCGTGTTTGACTCAAAATGTTGAGTTCTTGCAAGATTGAGTCATCGCGTCGCGTAAACAGGCATTGGCATTGGCAAGTGTGCTGCATGCGCGCCGCGGCGCGAAGGGCCTACAAAAAGGTTGGGTGGATCACATTGGCAACTCATCCACTCACCCATTGCCTCGAACATAGGACTTTGAGCTTTCCAATTGTGACTTGCTTCCGATTCTTCACTTCCAAAGCTGCTCCTACGAGGCAGATCAAACCGTACGCAACACTAGCAAAATGACTCAGAGAGTCTCATTCTTGTTGATTCAGAGACGTCGCCGTGTCCTGAGCACGGCCCTTCTCCTCGTCTCGCTCGTCCTGCTCTCATCTCTCCACGCGGCGATGGCCTTCCGCTTCTCCGCGGGGCTCCGCGCGGACAAGCTGCGCGGGATGATGCGCGGATGGGCGCAAGGAGGCTCGACCGGCCAGCAGCAGCAGCTGCAACAGGGCGGCAGAATGGGCGGCGGCGGAGGAACGGGAGGTGGAGGAATGGGCGGCGGCGGAATGGGCGGCGGCGGAATGGGCGGCGGCGGAATGGGCGGCGGCGGAATGGGCGGCGGCGGAATGGGAGGCGGCGGAATGGGCGGCGGCGGCATGGGCGGACCTGATTCCTCTGCTCTCGGATCGCAATCAGCCATGAGTCCTGGGGGGAACATGGGCGGCGGCGGAATGGGCGGCGGCGGAATGGGCGGCGGCGGCATGGGTGGCGGCGGAATGGGTGGCGGCATGGGCGGACCTGGCAGGTCCTCTGCTCCCGGATCACAATCAGGCATGGGTCCTGGGGGAGGCATGGGTGGTGGCGGAATGGGCGGCGGCGGCATGGGCGGAGGCGGAATGGGAGGCGGCAGAATGGGCGGCGGCGGAAGAGGCGGTGGCGGCATGGGCGGAGGGGGAATGGGAGGCGGCGTGGGCGGCAGTGGCATGGGCGGCGGCGGCATGGGCGGCGGCGGCATGGGCGGACCTGGGTCGTCTGCTCCTGGATCGCAATCAGCCATGGGTCCTGGGGGGAACATGGGTGGCGGCGGAATGGGCGGCGGCGGAATGGGCGGCGGAGGAATGGGAGGCGGCGGAATGGGCGGCGGAGGAATGGGAGGCGGCGGAATAGGCGGAGGAGGCATGGGCGGCGTCGGAATGGGCGGCGGCGGCATGGGTGGCGGCGGAATGGGCGGCGGCGGCATGGGTGGCGGAGGAATGGGCGGCGGCGGAATGGGTGGCGGCGGCATGGGAGGGGGCATGGGCGGCCCCAGTTCCTCTGCTCCCGGATCGCAGTCAGCCATGGGTCCTGGGGGAGGCATGGGCGGCGGAGGCATGGGCGGCGGAGGGATGGGCGGCGGAGGCATGGGCGGCGGAGGAATGGGCGGGTCAGGGTGGTTTGCTCCAGGTTCGCAGGCAGCACCCGGCCAGGGTGGACCTGGGATGGGCGGAGGGATGGGCGGAGGGATGGGCGGAGGGATGGGCGGAGGGATGGGGGGAGGGATGGGCGGAGGGATGGGCGGAGGGATGGGCGGAGGGATGGGTGGAGGGATGGGCGGAGGGATGGGCGGAGGGATGGGTGGGCCTGGTGGCAACATGGGAGGCGGCATGGGTGGTCCACAGTAGTCTCCTGCTCTGAGCAGGGGCAGTCATGAGATGTCGTTCTAGGAGCATGGCCGCACCCCATATGTCATTCTCAGAGGCGCATGGCCGCAGCAGCACTTCCAACGGAGTGCCGCCAGCAGTGCTGCTTCGTCCAAGCTCCTCCTGACCATCCGATTCAATCAAGCCTTCACAATGCTGCTCATGCTGTCCATCATCTATCTTCAAGCTTGGGTTGTGTCATCATCTATACATAAAACCTGTTCCTCATCCCGAGCATCATAGAAATCCAAGGTTCAGTTTTTTCATAATCTATCAAACACTTCTCTGTCATCCCAAGCATCATTATTACTCATATCCATAATGGCCTCTGACCTGTCTAAAGAGGGAATGTAACTATCAATAACACAGTATATGACATTCATGACATGAGTGGTATCAATCAATTCAGCACCGTCGGGGAGGAGGGTCGGCCCTGAGGCCATCAGCGGAGCATTGCGAGCCGCTAGCGGGTAGCGGCGGGCAGTACTTGGTGACTTTTGAGTCGACTCAAAAGTCACCTCACCGTCGAGGAGGTGGGCCAACGCTGCAGCCATCAGCGGAGGATCGCGAGCCGCTAGCGGGTAGCGGCGGGCAGTACAGAAGCGAGGTCGGGCAGTCGTGCGGAGCACAAGCATTTCAACCACTCTGAACCACCCGAATCCCGATGATAGGAATGGTGTTGGAGAATTGCAGGTTGGCACAGCCCCTGCCTCTCTTCCTCATACGGTATGGTAATACACCTGCCAAAAGTCCAGCAGCGCCCGCAATTGTTTCATCACGCTGCCCGGGTTGACCCCAGAGGATGGATCTTCAAACGTGGAGGAAACCAGGCCAGGCAGCAGAGAGGGGTTGAGGAGAGCAGGAGAGGGAGGACCGGAGAGGAAAGAGGGCGAGTGTGAAGAGGGCGAGGAGGAGGGTGAGGAGGGTGAGGAAGGGGAGGATGGGGTGGGGATGCACGAGAGCAAGGTTGAGCTCTGTTTGGATCAAGGCACCTGCTCCCACGCACCAGTGCACGTGCAGCTCTGGCAATGGGTGCAATCACGAAACCCCTGCTGCCTTTTTCAGCATGCGGCATTGAGACTTGCACAGCCCATCATTCTCCTGTATCACCAATGTGGTTATGCCGCCAGGCAAGCCGTATCTTCTCGTCGTGCCTTGCCATCAACGCTTCATACCACCATCCATGCCCTCCCAGGACTGCTTGCTTTGACTCGCCCCAAGCTCATGCCCTGGATTTGAGTCGACTAAAAAACAAGCCATGTCTTATTGCCGTGTCATGCCTTCAACGCCCCATACAACCATCCATGCCCTCCCAGGACTGCTTTCTTTGACTCGCCCCCAAAGCTCCTGCCGTGGTGCAAACCACCCTGGTCCCTCACCCGTCCATGCCTCCCATGCTCTGGCAACGAGTGCAATCACGAATCCCCTGCTGCCGTTTCCATCCAGCAATGCGGTATCGAGATTTGCAATCCCTGAAGCAAACCACTCTGGTCCCTGACCCGTCCATGCCTCCACTTCTCGTTTCCCACAGCCTCCCATTCCCCTGCCGCACGTTTTGCGTATCATCCATTCTCCCCGTGCCTCATTTACCCCTGTTATTCCTCTACTGCCCATGCGCCAAACCCCCGTCCCTCCGCCTCCCGTTCCTCTGCCTCCCGTTCTGCTGACTTTTGAGACGTCTCAAAGGTGTCATCCATCCATTCTCTCTCTGCCACATCCACCCCTCTTATTCCTCTGCTGTCCATGCGCCAAACCTCCGTCCCTCCGCCTCCCGTTCCTCTGCCTCCTGTTCTACTGCCATCCATTCTGCCGCCGCCCGTTCCTCTTCCTCTGCCGCCCGTTCCGCCTTCGCCCTTTCCTCTGCCGCCCATTCTAAATCTATCAAACCCCCTGCCGCCCATTCATGCGCCTCCCATTCCTCTGCCTCCCGTTTCGCCGCCGCCCGTTCCTCTTCCTCTGCCGCCCGTTCCGCCTTCGCCCTTTCCTCTGCTGCCCATTCTAAATCTATCAAACCCCCTGCCGCCCATTCATGCGCCTCCCATTCCTCTGCCTCCCGTTTCGCCGCCGCCCGTTCTGCCGCCCGTTCCGCCTTCGCCCTTTCCTCTGCTGCCCATTCTAAAACCATCGAACCCCCTGCCGCCCATTCATGCGCCTCCCATTCCTCTGCCTCCCGTTTTGCCGCCGCCCGTTCCTCTTCCTCAGCCGCCCGTTCCGCCTTCGCCCTTTCCTCTGCTGCCCATTCTAAAACCATCAAACCCCCCGCCACCCATTCATGCGCCTCCCATTCCTCTGCCTCCCGTTTCGCCGCCGCCCGTTCCTCTTCCTCTGCCGCCCGTTCCGCCTTCGCCCTTTCCTCTGCTGCCCATTCTAAAACCATCAAACCCCCCGCCGCCCATTCATGCGCCTCCCATTCCTCTGCCTCCCGTTTCGCCGCCGCCCGTTCCTCTTCCTCTGCCGCCCGTTCCGCCTTCGCCCTTTCCTCTGCTGCCCATTCTAAAACCATCAAACCCCCTGCCGCCCATTCATGCGCCTCCCATTCCTCTGCCTCCCGTTTCGCCGCCGCCCGTTCCTCTTCCTCTGCCGCCCGTTCCGCCTTCGCCCTTTCCTCTGCTGCCCATTCTAAAACCATCAAACCCCCTGCCGCCCATTCATGCGCTTCCCATTCCTCTGCCTCCCGTTTCGCCGCCGCCCGTTCCTCTTCCTCTGCCGCCCGTTCCGCCTTCGCCCTTTCCTCTGCTGCCCATTCTAAAACCATCAAACCCCCTGCCGCCCATTCATGCGCCTCCCATTCCTCTGCCTCCCGTTTCGCCGCCGCCCGTTCCTCTTCCTCTGCCGCCTGTTCCGCCTTCGCCCTTTCCTCTGCTGCCCATTCTAAAACCATCAAACCCCCTGCCGCCCATTCATGCGCCTCCCATTCCTCTGCCTCCCGTTTCGCCACCGCCCGTTCCTCTTCCTCTGCCGCCCGTTCCGCCTTCGCCCTTTCCTCTGCTGCCCATTCTAAATCCATCAAACCCCCTGCCGCCCATTCATGCGCCTCCAATTCCTCTGCCTCCCGTTTCGCCGCCGCCCGTTCCTCTTCCTCTGCCGTCCGTTCCGCCTTCGCCCGGTTTTCTGCTGCCCATTCTAAAACCATCGGTCCCACCGCCGCCCATTCCTGCGCCGCCCAGTCATCCGCCTCCTGTTCCTCTGCCATCCACTTTGTCGCTGCCCGTTCCTCTGCCCGCCCGTTCCTCTGGCGCCAATTCCTCTGCCGCCCGCTTGTACCTCAAGATTTTTCAGCCTGGGAGCAGGGAGCTTGGAGCGACAGCAGGTGATGAGAAGAGAGGAGGCAGAGGCGGTGAGTGCTGGCGAAAGCACGAGCTTGTGGGACGGGCAGGGGAGTGGCTTCTGCAGAAACGGCCAGGCGTCGGAGAGAAGGGGATGAGAGCAGACGTGAGATGGCACGATGCAGAACGTGCAAAGTAACGCGTTTGAAAAGTAGCGTGCTGTAGCATGCGCGGAACTAACCTCCCCACCTAGGATGGCCCAGCTTGGGGAGGCAGGGAGGCAGCGAGGCAGGGAGGCAGCGAGGCACGGAGGACGGTGGGACGGAGGATGGGGAATTGTTAGGGCGGTTCGGTTGGTCAGGGCTTGGCTCGGATGAGCTTGGTGGCTAGGTCAGGTGAAGGGACTGGTGCGGTTGGGAGAGTGGGGCCAATAAAGTTGTGAGACTGGCACGTCTCAGAAATAGTAGGTCAGGGGATGGGAGAGATGTAGTCACGCATAGAGAGAGACAGAGACATCACTTGAAGCGACCTGGAATGTGCGGAGGGGGAATGGAGTCGTGAGACTGGCATGTCTCGGAAATAGGTCAGGGGATGGGAGGGATGCAGTCCCACATGGAGATTGAGACTCTCGCTAAAAGCGACCTGGAAAGTGCGGCCGCGACGAGGGCAGGACAGCGCCGACCTGCTTGGGGCAGCTTCGAACCAGTAAGACGCCATGCGCTTCGATGCCGCGATTTAGAGATTCGAAATCCTACGATGCTCTCTGCGCGTGCTCGCGCGATGACCACGGAGTTGCTTATGGGGGAGTTCGCGAAAGTCCTCTGTGTTCTCGCCCGGTTTCAGGACCATGCCTCCCCTAACTTCCATCCTGCCCTATTTCAGCATTGTCAAGCGTATTGCGAATTGCCAAATCTTTCGCAATTGTTGTTGTGGTGAGTTTGGACGGAAAACCTGGTTTCTCAGCAAATTGCTTGACGTCAATTGCATTGGAACAGATGTCACACATTTTCGTTGACGGTTTTCGCAAGTTCAGCCCCTTCCCAGAATGCCATGCGAACAAGAGTATTCCATTCTGGGGGGTTACCAAGCCGTGTTATTCATGCTAAAACTGCGAACAGATCTAGAACTTGGGTAGTCGCAAGATTCTCCCCGCGAAAGGTAACTGCACCGTCAAACCAAACTAGAAGAGTTCGGACGGGAAATCCGTCCACGCCCTTGTTCAAATTTGTTCATTTCGTGCTCTCGCCCAGCGCCATGCGACGGTTCACGATTTGCGGGTCCTGTGCAAGCAAAGAGTCGGACGCCCCGAACGACGATAATTATTATTTTTCGTCAGGCTCATCGCACACGTGACATTGGCTGCGCAGATGTCGCGTTTTTGCGGGCAGATTTTGTTAGCATATGCGTTTAGCAGTTTCGGCCTCGTGTCGCCCACGAGGGTGGGGATGGCGTGCGACGGAATATTTATGCCCAGTGGGCGGCGGGAAAGTGGGTCGCAACGACTCGCGACAGGCCTCAGCTGGCGAGGGGACCGATGTCGAATTTCGAAGTTCATCGACGATGGAGATGATGTGTTGAAATTCACATCCTACGGTTTCTGTCCACCAGACCCTCGCATGAGACGATGGTGCTCATGAGCTGCTCGCTGCGACCTGGAAGTGACGTAATCTTGATCTGCATCACTCGTACCACGTGAATGCGTGTTGTCGAGTGACGTCATGCTGAGCATGACCGTCGCGGCAGCAAGCACACGGCCCCCGTGTGACAGCATGTCGAAATGCTCGGCGAATGCTCGGCGGGTTACTCGGACTGCTCGGATGGGTCTCCTCGTCGCCTGTCGACTGCATGCCTGCCGTGGCTGCCTCTCCTGATGACGGCGTTCCTACCTTCCCTGCATGTCTTCACATGTAATCCCTGCCCGATCTTATCGTCATCCCCATGCTCTATGTAATCAATTGCTCTCACATCGTCCCTCGTCTTTCCGCGTCTCGTCCACGCCTCTCCGAGCTCAGCCATCCCCACTATATCTCTCCTTTGGGCAATCGAGCTCACCCGATACCACATCGTGTTCGCCCCATGGATCCATAATCACTCCAGTCGTCCATCTCCTGCTTTTCATCTCCAGCACTTTCTCTTTCTCCTTGCTCTCTCATCAGCAACCGCACCAAGCGTGGTGCTGCGCGGCTCGACTGGAACTTTCTCCTGGTTTCTCCCAGCTCATCACCATGGCTCGCATGGCTGGAGTGGCTACGGCGGTGGCAGGGCTGCTAGTCGCAGTGTTTCTTGCCTCTCTGACAGTATCGAGGCTGCTGCCGGTGAAAGTTGACCCTCCAGCCAGCGATGAATTGACACACCATGTATGTATTTAGATTGAGACAGCTTCTGATTTACCTGCTTCTGATTGAGACCTGCTCTGACAGTATTGAGGCTGATATCTATGAAATCTGGGTCGGATTGTGTGTGCTTGAGCATCACAAGGCGGAGTTGGGCTACATGGTCACGAGGCGGTGTTCCGTAAGCTATGCCATGCCATGTGATTCATTCATGGGACTTTGCTATTCAAACCTTGGAGATGTTCCGAGGCCGCCATATCACCCATCAATCAACCACTGCCATTCCCATTCTCTCTCACCTTTCCTGTCCCTTGCCTTTCGCAGCTTCCACAAGACCCTCCCAGCCTGGAAGCGAACCGCTCTCTCGTGCATCAACCGACAACCCTCGTTGAGGTGGTACGCACAATCCATGCTTTGAATAATATATGCAATTCATGTAAAAAATCCGTTTCCTGTTCAGCCTCGTGGAAACGTGGATGTGCAGTGGAGTCACACTAATGTAATATCTTGCTAACATCAATGCGTTTTTGTTTGTTTTGTTTATTTGTTGTTTTTCCTTTCTCTCAGAATTTGTTTTTTTTTTTTTTCACTATTTAATTATGTGTATATCTTTCTGTTCCATGAAGACTTGTTTTCTTTCCTCTCTCCAGCCCAATGCCACTGCCACAGGTCACAATGTCTCAGGTCTGGCTCTGCTTCAGTCCCACGAAGGCGCAGAGCCTTCAGCTCAACCTGCCCGTTTTCACCCTATGCCTCTTTATCTCCTTCAAACTCTAGTGCGTGCACACCCAACCTCGTGCATGCACACTCTTGTCCGGCTCACTCATTTCAAGCTCTGTTTCAGTTGACGCTCTCGTTGATTGTTGCACACCCCAAACTCCCATCATTTGTTTGGTGCTCGCTCACCCTTTCCCCCCCTCTAACTGCGGAACGCGCTGCACTGGTCTGTGCACATGTGTTCGATTGCAGCTGTATGCACTGTACACAGCGCTGTGTCCGCTCATAGTGCTGCTCTGGTGGATGAACGTCACTCAAGCACAACTGAGGGAGTGGTTGCGCCTGCAGGGCTTAGCTGCGAAAGCTAGGCTGTTGAAGCTGAAGAGAGCAGCTGCGTTCTTCATGGTATGCCCTCAGTCGTCTGCTATCTCAGTCGTCTGCTATCTCACAAGTGGTGCTAGTCTGAGGGTATGCTTTAATCATGTTCTTGATCTTGTCAGAGTGATGAGGGATGATGTATGCCTTGCCTCGTTATCATGCCAGCCACACCTTGAAAGTTGACTGTTTGGTCCCTTATCATTCTCTGACGTGTCGATACGTCCCGTTCCAGTCCCTACTCTCTCCAGCTTCCCTCCTCATCGCTCTCCTTTGCTCCAATCGTGGTCTCTCCCCTACCTGCCACAGGAACTTAATAACTTCCCACTTCTCCACAAAGCCATGTGAGGACATCCTTACCTTAAACTCCCTCCCACCTCTCCTCCCATTCTCTGTCTTTCCTTTTCATCAAAAGATACAACGTACATATCTGTAATACGCTGCTTAAAACCATTGTATGCCGTCGTATGGCTTACTAATAACCCCTCCACTTGGTTTCCCTCGCATGGGTGTTGGCCCCCCTCCTGTGCATGCTGCGTGTGTGCTCATTCGATGCTCATGTGCTCATCTTTTCACTCTATACCTTATTCTGTTGGAGGAGGCTCATGTATCTTCCTACATGCTTCTTCATGCTGCCATGCGCCTCCTTGTGTCATGTGCAGTGAGATTGGCAGTTTTGGAAAGAAGATAATAAATGAGGCTTTGGTGGTAGCGCTGAGTCAACGGGCGGGAACAGACTCGCTGAAAGCAGCTATGGAGAGGGCAGAGAAGCGAATCAGCGCCTTGGAGAGGCACCTGGAGGATTCAAGGAAGGATCAGGAGGAGCGTGAGAAATCAGAAGCTGGGGTGAGAAGAGAAGTGCACGAGGCAACATATGAAGCGCAAGCACTGAAAAGGGACCTGGAGGCAAGAGAGGGAGGAGAGGAGGAGAGGGGTGGGTGAGTTGGCAGACGCACAGGCTCAGGGAAATGCAGGGATGGATCGAATGCAGAGGGAAGCAGGTGAGAGGGACAGAGCGGTGCACGCGCTCAAGCTCTCTGTAGATCGGGTTGTTCAGGTGGTGCAAAGTTGGGCCGGTAAAAGTGAGCTGGTGGGAGTCAATGAAGGTTTGGCTGCATTGAAAGGAGAGACGGACAGGTCTGTGCATGCGCTCAAGCTCTCTGTGGATCGGGTGGTGCAAATGGCTCCTTGTAAACTGGAGCTGGTGGTAGTCAAGTCAGCTTTGGCTGCACTGAAAGAAAGAGTTTATGGGAACAAGACAGCTGCCGAACGGGAGATGCGTGACGTTCGCGAGCAAACGGGGAGAGAGCTCGTGGAAGTGAAACGGGAGCTGGCAGCAGTGAGGCGAGCCGCGAGAGGTATGTGAAAACAAGTCGGCTTCTCAGAGGAAGCTGAACGAGATTAGAAACGTCATTGGTGCGGTGGAACAGAGAAACGGCTGCACTGCTGCACGCATGGTGGAGAGGGAGAAGGAGTTAGCGGCAGTGCAGGTGCAGCTGGCGGGAGTAAAGCAGGAATTGCCTCAACTCGTAGAGGCTGTAAGAAGGGAAGGGAGTGAGTTTAGTGAGGGCAGGTTGGCAGCAGCGAGACAGGATTTGTCTCAACAGATTACAGCGGAGGTGGATGAGATAAGGATGATGTTTCAGGAGAGAATCGCCAAGTTTGCAGCTGAGTTGAAGCGAAGGGAGAGGGAGCTTGCAGCAGTGAAGCAGCAGTTGGGTGAGTTCAGGAAGGCTGCAAAACAAGAGGCGAATGAACTGAAGGACATAGGGGGCGCTTTGCAGGAAGGCAGTGAGGACGCTGGTGCGATGGTGAGGGAAGAAGGCGGAAGGGAGCTCAGCAAGCAAGGCTGTGAGGCCGTGTGGTGGAACGGCACGGCGAAAGGAGGACACTGCGAGGGGGCTGGTCAAGCAATCTGGCAGGTGAGTGGATTTGTTTGCGGAAATTTATGTCTGTGAAGCTCACGGTTCCAACCCATATGAACCGTTCTTTTCTTAAAACGCCGGCTTCTGTTGTTACTGTTTTTCCTGTTATCTTCTTGTTTTTGTTCCCTTCCTCCTCGCAAGGGGTACAGTTATCATGTCTTTTGAGCCTCCCCACCCCCCCCCCCCGGTTCCATCCCCTCCAGGGACTCGAGTCCGCCTCAGGAAAGCCCAGCCTTAATCTGAGCGGGTTTTGTAGCCTCTCTGCTGCCGTCCTTTCACGTGTATCTACCATGACTCACCTGACCGCTCTCAACCTGGATGGATCCTCGGGTTTCACCACAAAGGGCATCGCTTGCCTATACAAGCTCCCTTGGCTGGAGAAGCTACACCTGAGTGGCACATCCGTTGCAGATGAGCACTTGAAGGGCGTCGATGCATTGAGCAGGCTCGAGTGTCTCTCGCTCTCACACACCAAGGTGACCGATGCAGGCCTGGTGCACCTCGTGGGACTCCCCTTGCTCAAGCGCTTGGAGCTTGCTGGGTGCGAGTATGTCACGTCTGCTGGGATGGCGCATGTGGGAAAGATTACGAGCCTTAAACATGTTGATTTGCGACGCACTGGGGTGGTGGATGATGGGTTGCAGCAGCTCACGTCTCTGGGGAAGCTGGAGGAGCTGTTCCTGCCCTCTGGGAGATGTGTCAACCACAAGACGCTCTGTTTCCGGCTGGGCTGGCGTGGGAATAGCAAGAGATGGGAGTGGGAGTTGGTGAAGAAGAAGGAGAAGAAGAGGTTGCGGGAGATACGAGTTGTGGGCGAGGAGGTAATGGGAGGGGTTTCCAAGGGGAGGAGGGAAAAGGGGAGAGAGATGAGGAAGGGCGGAAGGGAGAGGTGGGACAATGCACGAGTGCGAGAGCGCAGGGAGATGCTGAATAAGGAGATGGAGGCATGGCAGGGGGGGTAAATTGCGGGGAGACAGTTAAGGCAGAAATATGATTTCTGAGAAAATTGGATGCTTGGCAGGATCCTCAAGACAATTATGTTTGTTTCCAGAGTTTTTACTGGAGCATGTGGACATGCCGAATGAGAAGGGCTACTTCATTTGTGCATTAAATTTTACCAAATACCGTAACAGTGAATGTAGTGCATTGAAGTTTGGAAGAAGCTCACATTGGAAAATGCATGTTGTATGATGGCATTAAATTCGTGTAGACTGCCAAACTTACCGATAACGCGTCTGGTCGTTGGACAACAGGCATTGTCCGCGATAACGCCACTACGGCAATCCCAAGAAGGGCTGCGATGTGATCAGCACGATTCGCGTTACTGCTGGAAGATTAGTTGGCTCTTAGCGTAGATTACGGACTGCCTGACACGCCAGGAAAATAGGCGTCGTCCCATCTTAAATATGATAAGATTCTTCAGGAATTAAATAGATTCCCGACTGAGTAGCTGTACAAGTTATCAGGGCGCTAACTCTGTAACTGTTTATTATTTTCTTCGCGGTTCCACCCCTTTCAACGATTCTACTCTAGTTTCCTTTATTTCATCTCCTTCGCTATCAATTAGCTTCGCTAGTACCGCGTTCTCAATGCCGCCGTTTACATTCGTGCTCTTGGTGGTCGTCACGTGTGCATGTGCGACGTCGCCAGCCTTCGCATACACCGTGCGATTCGAGATCTCGACCGATCCCAAATGTTTCGACGAGGAGGTTCGCGAGGGTGTGCTTGTCGCGGGGTCCTACACGGCGGTCAACGACGGTCACGGGGAGCCGTTCAAAGTCAACGCTCAGGCAAGTGACTAAATTGCCGGTCAGCCTTGAAATATTTGGGTAGAGGCCTGACGTGCCGGTCAGGCGTCTATATTGTGCCGGTCAGGTGTCTAAATTGCCGGTCAGCCTTGAAATATCTGAAGGGCTGGTGGATTGGCCGAATGCATCGTCAGGTTGCGGATAAATTTCCGCGCACCACAATACCGCAGCGAGCAAAGGGAGCACAACAGGGACGAACGGACGAACCATCTCTCCCACGGTATGGGAGCGTGCGACTTGATTCCTCGGTACTCGCACGACTGACCAGCCAACGAGCTGGCAGCGTTCCTCCAGGTAACGGACGGACGGGGCAAAAGCAAAGCTCCTTTCGCGCGACGAGCTTCCTTTCGCCCCGTCTTGGTCCTTCCCATTCCCACCAGGTGACGGGCCCGTCAGGGCAGTAGCTGCTCTGTAATGACAGGCAGCACAATGTGGCGGCGGGGGTGTCGCGCCTGTCACAGCAAGGCTCAGTTCGCATCACAACAACACGTTCCTGCTGCTTCCCCATTCCCTCCATGACATCTTGCCTGTCGCACGTTCCCTTGTGAAGCATCTAACTGTTGCTTCCCTTCCCACCAGGTCACAGACCCGTCAGGGGAGCAGCTGCACTGGCAGCACGACGTGGCGGAGGGGCACTCTGCCTTTCACACGTTCCCTTGTGAATGATCTACATGTTGCTTCCCTTCCCACCAGGTGACTGACCCGTCAGGGCAGCAGCTGCACTGGCAGCACGACGTGGCGGAGGGGCATTTCGGGTTCACAGCGGACGAGACGGGCGAGTTCTCCGTGTGCTTCTGGCTGCCCCACGAGGGCCACCACGATGCCAAGCGCGCTCACAAGATCGACATCACGTGGACCACTGGCAAATCGCAGAAGAGGGTTAGTCATGCAGCCAAGAAGGAGAGGCTCGATGTGAGTGGCGGGGTGTGGTGTGTGGGTGTGGATGGGAGGGGTATGGGTGACACGGGATGCCCCACGAGGGGCACCACGATGCCAAGCGCGCTCACAAGATTGACATCACGTGACCACTGGGAGCTCGCAGAAGAGCGTTAGTCATGCTGCTAAGAAGGAACGACTTGATGTGAGTGGTGCAGTGTGGTGCGGTGTAGTGTGGTGTAGTGTGGCGTGGGTGTGGGGCACCACGATGCCAAGCGCATGCACAAGATCGACATCACGTGGACCACTGGGAGCTCCCAGAAGAGCGTTAGCCACGCTGCCAAGAAGGAACGACTTGATGTGAGTTGTGGTGGAGTGTGGTGTGTGCATAGATGGGGAGCGCTCCCCCATCCCCTCGCCCACCCCCTCGTGCACCTACGCCCGCACCCCCTCCCCCACCCCCTCCCCCATCCCCTCCCCCATCCCCTCCCACTCCCTTCCCCTGTCCAATTGCAGGAACCTCATCAACCCCCTACACTCCCTGTCCTTCCCCTGCACTGCCACACCCCTCCTTCCCCCCCTCTCTCTTGCCTCTCCCCCGGCAGCACTTTCACCTGGAGCTTCAGAATCTAGAGGATATTATTGACAAGGTGACCCAGGAGATGCAGAATCTGTTTCCACCCCTTTGCCAATCTCCCACCCCCAACCCCACCCCTCTCTCCCTCGCTCACCATCCCCAGCGGCACGTCGACCTGGAGCTGCAGAATCTGGTCGTTGTGAGGCATCGTGTTACCCCGTGCTACCCCTTGCACCACCACCTCCCTGCCCCGTGCCGTGCCCCATTCTTGCCCCATCCTTGCCCTTCTTCTCCCGGCAGCATTTCGACCTGGAGCTGCAGAATCTGGAGGATGCTATCGACAAGGTGATGCAGGAGATGAGCTTCTTCCATGAGAGGTGAGATGGGGGGTGGGGAACGGCAAGGGGGGAATGGGGAAAGGGGAGTAAGGAGCAGAGGGAGGGAGGGGGAGGTGGGGGAGGTGAGGTACAGAATCTGGAAGACGCTATCGACAAGGTGACCCAGGAGATGAGCTTCTTCCATGAGAGGTGAGATGGGGGGTGGGGAACGGCAAGGGGGGAATGGGGAAAGGGGAGTAAGGAGCAGAGGGAGGGAGGGGGAGGTGGGGGAGGTGAGGTACAGAATCTGGAAGACGCTATCGACAAGGTGACCCAGGAGATGAGCTTCTTCCATGAGAGGTGCGCTGGAGGGGGGATGTGGAACAGGGGAAGGGCAAGGGCAAGGGTTGAAGGGTAAGGGGGGCAGGGGAAGGGGGGAAATTGAAAAAAAGGAAGGGGGATTGGGTCATGACTGGCAAGGTGACTTAGAAGATTAGCGCAATGGGGGAGATGGGCCCCGCTCACCTCTCATGGAAGAGAGGGGAAGGAAGAGGGATGATGAAGGGGGAGGGGATGGGGGGGAGGAAGAGGGCGATGGGGTGGGGGAAGGAGGGGAGGAGTAAGAGGGCGACGGGGAGGTGGGGGGAGGGAGAATGGGAGGGGAGTGGAGCTCCAAAAGCAGCGTGAAGGCGGGAAACAACGTGTGCTCAGATGGCCTGACCTTGCATGGCATGGTATGGCCTGGCCTGGCATGGCATGGCCTGGCCTGGTCTGGCCTGGCCTGGCCTGGCCTGGCATGGCATGGCATGGCACGGCGTCGCATGGCTGCATGTGACATCACCCACACCCTCCTTGTACATGCCGCCAGGCCCACACTCCTCGTTGCCTTTTCCGCACCTTCCACGCCCCCTCCACTCCACTCCAACCCCTGCCACCCCTCAGTCCATCCACACACAGGGAGCAGGAGGTGGGGGTGACGATGGAGGCGACACATTCTGACATTTTGAGCTGTGGATGACGGTTCGTTCCCCCACACCCCGCCTTCCCCCACCCCCGCCCCCCTGCCAGCCACCCCTCAGTCCGCCCACACACAGGGAGCAGGAGGTGGGGTTGAAGACGGAGGCAACACATTCGTTCGTTCCCCCACACCCCGCCTTCCCCCACCCCCGCCCCCCTGCCACCCCTCAGTCCGTCCACACACAGGGAGCAGGAGGTGGGGGTGACGACGGAGGCGACCTGGTCACCCACTTTGAGCTGCGTATAACCACCACCCCCTCCCGCCTTTCTCCGCCACCCTCCCGCCCCGCCACCCTCTCCCCTTCCGCCAACCTCCCCTGCCGCGATCTCCCCCTCCACGCTCTTTCCCTCCACACTCTCCCCTTCCACGCTCCCCCCCTCCACACTCTCCCCCTCCACGCTCTCTCCCTCCGCGCTCTCCCCTTCCACGCTCTCCCACGCCACGTGCAGGGAGTTGGTGATGAGGATGAAGACGGAGGAGACACACGTGTACGTGGCGTGGCTCAGCGTGCTTTCTCTCCTCATGTTTGCATTTTGGGTGGACTCTCCCCCTTCCCCACGTGCAGGGAGCTGGCGATGAGGATGAAGACGGAAGAGACACACGTGTACGTGGCGTGGCTCAGCGTGGCGTCTCTCCTCGTGTGCGGAACCCTCGCCGCGCTACAGCTCTGGCACCTCAAGCGCTTCTTCGAACGCAAGAAGCTGCTATGAGGGGCTCGGTAACGAGGGCTCTGTAACGAGGGCTCTGTAACGAGGGCTCTGCAACGAGGGCTCTGCACTGAACTCAACACTCGGTTCTCCACTCAGCTCTACATGCGGCTCTGTGTTTTACCGGTTATATCCACGCCATAAAGCCACGCCATGCTATCTCACACGATGCCATGCAATCGGTGGCATTGATTTTTGTTATGTAACGTCTTGCGCGATATTGTCAAACACATAATTAATTTCAACATGACATGTACTGTGATGGTTTCCCTTTTTGTTATCTGCAGGGCGAGTCCCAAAATCTACCAGGATTTGTAGTGTTGGCCTGGTAAACTTCCTAAAAAGGCAGGTCTGTTCGTCAGCCCTGGACTCACAGTGGCCAAGATATTTTATAAATTGCCTTGCTGGCGTGGCGCAGAGCGATTCGTATTTTGAATCGCTGCTTACAGTACAATTCTGTGCATTTTGTAACTCTCAACACGAGCCACCAGTTCTGCACAACTTGCCACTTATCTGGTCAAACAGAACCACTCACTCACTCCTTAACTCCCTCACTCACTCCTTGACTCCCTCACTCACTCACTCACTCACTCCCCTCACTCCCTCAGACAAATGCATTCTCTTCCCCACCACCACACCACCAGACCACAACGCCCTCACTCCCTCAGATAATTGCATTCTCTTCCCCCCACCACCTGAAACACCACAACGCCGAGCCAAACTCCCAAGTCTCACCCCAACCAACACAATCCATCCCTTGTCCCTCCTCTCTCAATCTCAACTCATCTTTGTGAGTCACACACTCGTAAAATGGCAGCACATGCTTTTTGCCCCTCCTGCTTTCGTTTGGAGTCTCGAGCACCTCTCGTAAAAACCAGAACTGGTTCCTTTGCCCACACGGTAATGCTTGTTGACAACGCACGTTCTCTGCAGTCCTTCCGCCAGAGTAGGAACCATAGGTGCTTCGTTGTTCAGTGCATTCTGGGATCTCTTCCTCCTTGCAGCACAAGAATTCATTCAAACCCTTTTCTCCGCTGCGACACTCCTTACCCGCACATCGGGCCCGGCCTTGAAACAAACAAATAAAAGTGCTCCGGTTTGTCAGCAACCGTTCGATTGTTTTTCCAAACGTTAGTCACTTCCGCGAGGTTTTTTAGGCCCTCCATTTCGGCGCCTTGACTGCTGTCGGCGCGACTACTGTCGGGGCCGTGACTACTGTCGGCGCGACTACTGTCGACTAATTCCGAAACAGAAGTTCGTCGAATGCCCTGTTGGCTGCAAGGGAGCAACAACAATGCCGCTCGTGCGTGGCCTTCGGAAGCCAATTGATGGAGCTCTCACCGCCACTGGGGACCGCAAAATGAACGTGGCGGACGGTTGTATGATGACCTTGGAGCCTGCTAGTACTATTGTTGCGTCCGGCAAGACGACAGGAGATTCAATTGCGGCGATGATTGCGTGTGCGTCCCCGTTAGCAAAGGCGACACGAGAGGATGGCGCCGATGTGCAGAGCACGCCATGTGGCAGAGAGTACCAGCTGCCGCAGCATCCGGCGGCGTGCCCGCCTCCGACGCCGCGGAAGCGGCGGAACGTCCGCGGCGCCGGTGGATGCGCCGCGGCGAAGCGGATCTCTCGCGTTTTGAACTTTGCGACGGCGGATTGCGGCTTTCTGGGCGACGGGAGAAGCTCGATCCGCTTCATCGCGGCGTGCGAGTAACAGGCATCCGTGCGATTACTAACAACTTCCCGTCGTCGCGGCCTGGGAGTACTAAACGTTGTCCGGTAACAGGGATTGAATAGCAGCCTACCGCGTGACTGTTATCTGGACGACTCCTCATCGTCCGTAACTTCGTCATCGCATGCTGGGAGCTAACTTCCTCGGATCCCTGTGCTAGGGATATTCACCTAATGATTTTACTTCTGATTGGCTGTTGACTGCCTTCTGAATTAGGTGCAGCATTACGTTTTCTGACATCGACTAAAGACTGCTGCTTTAGGGCGTGTGATTTGGACAGTTAGTCGGTTGATCAGTTCGCCACATTACCAACATGTATTTTACAGGTTGGACAGAAATAAATATTGGACATGTTTTTCTATCAAGTGTAGAGCCTTGGGGTTGTCTTATTGTAAGCCTTGGTATTGTCCAATTGGAAAAATGCAATTGCAACGGAGCAGAAGAGCTGAATTCCGAATTCGGGCTGGTTCTGTTGGCGCACAGGAAATGAGCGATAGGAATCTCGGCCAGATGCGAGCAAGCCCTGCCAAGGCCCACAATCAATCCAACGGTGTACCGCACGACGCGCTCCAGAAAATCGAGGCATGTGTCGCAGCGGCGATGGCTGCCCCGTCGCAGAGATCGTCGCGTTGGATCGTCGCACTCGTGTCGCTCGCCGCGCTTGTCATTCTCGGCCCCGTGTCGTTCTCCTCTCTCCCTCCAATCCACAACGACGTAACGGCCACGTCAGCTTCGTATCCAGCTAGTGTAGATCTTCCCACGAAAATGTCGTCAGCTGCTGCCGTAAATCAGGCCGTCCGTTTTGGCGGTAACCACGGGGAAACCAATCTGGACCGTACAGAAAGTGTAACGGTGGATGGGATCGGTCGTACGGACCAGTCTGCGTCATACGGATCGACAGAGAACGAACGCTCGTCGCATTCGGCGAATGTCGAATCTCGTCAGGGACAAGATCAACGGCTAGGATCTAATCGCGTGTCCGTTTTCATTCCAAAGTGCGCGGAATCTGCGGGGAACGCGCCACTGATCCACCGTCGAGCAGAAACGTGAGCTGACGATCACCGTCTCCCATTCCTGGCGTCTCGCGTCGCCTATTTCTTTCCAGCCCCACCACTTTCTCCGAGCCTTCCTTCGCTCGCTTTGCTAGCTCGAGAGCAATGGGAGACACCAGCAAGTGCGCCACAGCTTCCCGGCAGCAGCGTTCCCGCACATGCCATTGTCACGCCATGGCTTGAACGCCCCATCCCCCACAGCCTCAGACTCTCGTTCTCCTTACTCACTCTCCTTTCCGTTCTCTCTCCTATCCCCTCCTCCCAAAAAAAATATCAGCCTCAGCCTAGCATCCTTCAGCGCAGTACCGGACGGCACCGCTGACAACACTGTTGCATTGCATTCCAACTCATGTCACTGCCCCTCACTCCCTCCTCTGTCACTCGAACCCCTGTCAATTCTCCCCTACTCTCTCCTATTCCCCCTCCTTCCCCCCCCCTAACCCAACAGTCTCAGCCTAGCATCTTACAACGCAGAACCGGATGGCACCACTGACAACACGGCCGCATTCCAGTTGCTCCCTTTCGCTCCCTACCCACACAAATCCCTGTCATTCCGTCTCTAATCCTCCGATGCCCTCCCCAACAGTCTCAGCCTAGCATCCTTCAACGCAGTACCAGACGGCATCACTGACAACACTGCCGCATTTCGGGCAGCTATCAGTGCAGTACAGTCGCTGGTTGCCGCCCAATCAGTGGACGGCGGAGGTGGTGCTGACGTGGCACTGGGGGCCACGCTGGTGGTGCCACGTGGCACCTGGCTGACTGGTCCGTTCAACCTCACCAGTCACATGACTCTGTTTCTCCAGCAGGGCGCAACCTTACTGGCCAGCCCTGTAAGTCGTTCCACCACACTTCATCGCACTACACCGCTTTGGATAGCACCTTGTTCACCTCCGTACCTGTCAGTGAATCCCTTTCTGCAGCACGGCACAGCCTTACTTACTGGCCAGCCCTCAGTGCAGCTTGCCCGCATAGCACCACACTCCACCACATTGCACCCCTGCACCTCGCTCTCGCCCTGCATGCTTTCCCTTCTTCTTCCTCTCTCAACTCTCCCCCTCCCAGCACATAGCCCACCACCCTCTGGTGCTGCAGCCACCCAGATGTGGGGGAGATCCCCAGAGGGAGTTGCTCAGATGTGGGGGAGATCCCCAGAGGGAGTTGCTCAGATGTGGGGGAGATCCCCAGAGGGAGTTCCTCAGATGTGGGGGAGATCCCCAGAGGGAGTTCCTCAGATGTGGGGGAGATCCCCAGAGGGAGTTCCTCAGATGTGGGGGAGATATCCCCTTCTCTTCACTCATGCTCGCCTTCATTATTGAGTCGACTCAAAAGTCAACTGAGTCGACTCAAAAGTCAACTGCTGCAGGCACTCAGATGTGGGGGAGATCCCCAGAGGGAGGTCTCCCTTCTCTTCACTCATCCTCGCCTTCGTTATCAATCTCCCTTTCTCTCCCCCTCTCTCCATCTCTCCCCTCCCAGCACATGCCCGACTACCCTCTGGTTCCTGCTTTGCTTCACCTCACCCCCCCTGCTTCTTCTCCACCCCGCACAGCACATGCCCGACTACCCTCTGGTTCCTGCTTTGCTTCACCTCACCCCCCCTGCTTCTTCTCCACCCCGCACAGCACATGCCCGACTACCCTCTGGTGCCGCAGCCCCCAACGTACGGGCCAGGGAGAGAGCTAGACCCTGGGCCACGTCATCACAGCCTCATACTCGCTTACAACGTCACAGATGTGCTTATAACGGGTCAGTGGTCGCGTGTTTTTCGACGCTTGTGTTCTTGCCACACAGGCTTGTGCCTGCCAAATAAATATATTACGGTCTGACTGTCATCATCGAATGGTCCTTCATTAATTAAACAGCAGATATACAGCACTATATTCATCACAATACAATGCACTGTACGCTCTCGTTGCCTCTATCTGTACCTCTCCTCTTTTCTATCACAGGAGAGAATGGGACGATTGACGGCAACGGGAGGCCGTGGTGGGAAGCCATGGACAGGAAGAGCCTGCACCACATGCGACCCCACGTGATAGAGATTCAGAGCAGCTGCCACGTGGCAGTCTCCCATTTGACGCTGGTCAACGCGCCCTTCTGGTTCATCCGCCCGCTCTACTCCTCCCGCCTCTCCTTCCGCCATCTCACCATCTCTTGCCCCAGCAACGTCAGACAGACAGACGGCATTGACCCAGGTGAGAGGCTGAACTCACATCCCCTCTCTTCTTCTTTCTCTCTTCCCTCAGTTCTCTTCTCTGTGCATTCGCCCCCTCTATCCCTCCCGCCTCTCCTTCCGCCATCTCACCATCGCCGCCCCCAGCAACGTCAGGCAGACAGATAGCATTGACCCGGGTGAGAGAGGTTGTTCTCTCATTCCCTCTCTTCTCGCTTATCTCTTCCCTCTGCTCTCTCCTCTCCTCCTGTTACCTGCTCTTTTTCGCCCCCTCCACTCCTCCCGCCTCTCTCCTTCCGCCATCTCACTATCTCTTGCCCCAGCAATGTTAGACAGACAGACGGGATTGACCCAGGTGAGAGAGATTGTTCTCACGTTCCCTCTCTGCTCGTTCATCTCTTCCCTCTGCTCTCTCCTCTCATGTTCTCTTAGCGATTCAGCCATGTTTGGATGGAGTTTCCTGAGACTGCGAATCAAGAACTGCCATGTCAGCGTGTGCGAATAAAAGAACTGACGCTGCTTAGAGGATCGCCACATCAGCATGTTCTTGCCGAGAACTGACACACCGACAGGGGAGATAGTGTATCAGTTTATGACATTCATTGTTCACCAACCCCCCCTCTTCCCTCCCTCCTCGCCCCCTTCTTCACCCAGACTCCAGCACGCACGTGCTTATAGAGGACTGCCACGTCAGCACAGGGGATGACGCGGTGGCAATAAAGAGCGGGTGGGACCAGTACGGGTACAACACCTACCCGCCTGCACCCTCTGCTGACATCACAGTGCGCCGGGTCACCGTGCAGGTGTGTGCTGCTCTGTACGTTGCATCCTCTCCCACACTGTACCTGTAAGGAGTGGTTGGGATGGGACCACTACGGGTACAACGCCCACCCCCTTGCACCCTCTGCTGACATCACAGTGCGCCGGGTCACTGTGCAGGTGTGTGCTGCTCTGTACGTTGCATCCTCTCCCACACTGTACCTGTAAGGAGTGGTTGGGATGGGACCACTACGGGTACAACGCCCACCCCCTTGCACCCTCTGCTGACATCACAGTGCGCCGGGTCACCGTGCAGGTGTGTGCTGCTCTGTACGTTGCATCCTCTCCCACACTGTACCTGTAAGGAGTGGTTGGGATGGGACCACTACGGGTACAACGCCCACCCCCTTGCACCCTCTGCTGACATCACAGTGCGCCGGGTCACCGTGCAGGTGTGTGCTGCTCTGTACGTTGCATCCTCTCCCACACTGTACCTGTAAGGAGTGGTTGGGATGGGACCACTACGGGTACAACGCCCACCCCCTTGCACCCTCTGCTGACATCACAGTGCGCCGGGTCACTGTGCAGGTGTGTGCTGCTCTGTACGTTGCATCCTCTCCCACACTGTACCTGTAAGGAGTGGTTGGGATGGGACCACTACGGGTACAACGCCCACCCCCTTGCACCCTCTGCTGACATCACAGTGCGCCGGGTCACCGTGCAGGTGTGTGCTGCTCTGTACGTTGCATCCTCTCCCACACTGTACCTGTAAGGAGTGGTTGGGATGGGACCACTACGGGTACAACGCCCACCCCCTTGCACCCTCTGCTGACATCACAGTGCGCCGGGTCACCGTGCAGGTGTGTGGATGAATGTGTTCCGCCCTCTCTCCATCTCTCCTACCAGGTGGGTGGGGTTAGGACTGAGTTCAGGCGGCACTCAACCCTGAATCTGGGATGCTCCTGGCAGGTCGAGCAGGTGCCACCTGGCTCCTGGCAGTGGCGGCGTGGGCGGGCCCCTCAATCAGCAGTGGAGGCGTGCAGAGACGCGTGCAGAGAGTGAGGCTTGTGTCCTTTCCTTTACACCCTTCGGGCATGCAGGTGCCACCTGGCAGTGGCGGCATGGGCGGGTTCATCAATCGGCAGCGAGGGAGAGAGCAGTGGAGGCATGATGAGAGTCTTGAGACGTTCCAAAACAGTGGCGGATTTTGAGACGTCTCAAAAAAAAGGCGGCGTGGGCGGGTCTCTCAATGGCAGTGAGAGGAGGGGCGGCATACGGAGAGTCACATTCGAGGACTGCCACGTTCTCAGTGCTGCTGAATGTGCGCCCCATCAATCAGTGCTTTTTCTCTTCCTTCCCTCACTCATGCGCACACACGAACGAGCAGGTCCCACCAGGCAGTGACGGCGTGGGTCTATCGATCGGCAGTGAGATGAGTGGCGGCGTGCAGAGAGTCACATTCGAGGACTGCCGAGTGCTTGGTGCTGATGTGGGCATCAGAATCAAATCTGCCACCGGACGGGGCGGATTTGTGAGGAAGTAAGACTCCCTCCTTGCTGCCTTCATTGCCGTGAAAACGGGTTATCCCTCATCTCTGGTGCCTCCGTTATGTGCTGCCTTGCCCACTGTGAACCAGCCACCATGTGTTGCTGCCATTCTTCCTTCCTCTCGTAAGTCTCTCCTCCTCCCTCTTTTCCCTTGCTTACCTTTTGACTTCCTTGCTCTTTCCAAAGTTTCCACCCTTCCCTCTCCCATTCCTCTTTCGCCAAACGCCCTTCACCATCACCTCTTTCCCTCTCCCATTCCCTTGTGCCACCCACCTGCCCACCTCCCACCCTCCATCCCGTCCACAGTGTTTCATTCATCCGCACTTATGTACAGGATGTGAAAGTAGCTTTCACCATCACCTCTTTCTTTGGTCACGGGGATCCCCCAGGATTCGACCCGCACGCACTGCCAATCATTCAAGACATTACTGTAGACGGACTTAAAGGAATAAATATTGACCGGGTTGTGAAGATAGAAGGGTTAGAGGAGCAGCCTATAAAGGGCGTGACTATATCGAATGTGGATGTGAAGTTGAGTGAGAAAGCACGCTCGGGGAAGGCATGGAGGTGTAGCGGCGTTGAGGGCGGGCGGGTGTCGAATATTTCGGGGAGTTCGCCCAAGCGAAAACAATGTACTGGGATGTCGTGGGACACATCTCCCTAGAAAAATATTTGATTGATTGATTCTGCTATACGTTAGATTTGTCAAGAATGAAAGTGTTGGTTTGACTAAGGTTGGTTGGGGTACATAAACCTAACCCTAATAGTTGTACCCCCTATAACACACATCACTAAGACTACAACATTTGACACACCCCCATAGTCTAAGTGAGGGGTGTCAAGCAAAACCAAAAGTGTACGGTCACAAGACCAGTCACAAAGAAACAAAGCTCAGGGTGGATCACAACGTCACCACACACTCCGAGCACAAGCAAAAGAGTCATAAGGCCAGTTCAAGAGTTCACAGAGGTATATATAAAGCGTACAAACAAAGCAAGCAGAGAACTCAAGACTACGCAAGGCGAGAACCTGTGTCAACGAGACCTAACTGCACACAACACCTCTGGTGGTCACAAGGCGGAAGCGCCTTGGTGAAGATGTCTGCAGTGTTGGCCTCGGACTCCACAAAGTCGAAGCGAGCCTGTCCACGCCTCTGCAACTCTCGCAAAAGAAAGTACCTGACGTTGATGTGCTTCACTCAGCTCTCCAGTCGCGGCTCTCGACAGAGGAGAATCGACGCCTTGTTGTCAGTGAACAAGGTCGGTGCAAAGCTCGGCCGCTCACCAAGGTCGGTGAGCAAGAAGGTCAACCAACGCAGCTCCTGTGCAGCCATGGCTCCAGCGTAGATCTCGGCCTCAGCAGTAGAGGTCGAGACCGAGGAGGAACGCGTGGACCTCCACGAAACAGCTCCAGAGCCCAGGCTGAAGCAGTACCCCTGAGTAGACCTGTGAGTCTCGGCGTCGTCAGCGTAAGAAGAGTCACAGTGTCCAGTAAGTACAACAGACTGCTGCCCTCCAAGAACCAGCCCCACGCCTGATGTCGTCGCTAGGTACTTCGCCACCCTCACAGCAGCTGTCCAGTGAACTGGACGGTGTCTCCCTGGCGCAACAAAGCGAGCAAGGATGCTGAGAGGGAAGGCGAGGTCCGGGCGAGTACAAGTCATCAGGTACATGAGGCAGCCCACAAGCTCTGCGTAAGGACCACTAGGCTCAAACGGCTCGTCAGGGAAGGGTCCAGTGAGTCTGTGGTCAACATCAAGAGGTGTGCGCTGTACTGTGGAGTGCTGAAGCACGAACCGCTGAAGGACCTGCTGCACCATGTGTGACTGTGAGAGTGTAATGGTGCGAGCGGCTCTGTCCCTGGTGATCTGCAGGCCAAGGTAGTGGCGCAGCTCACCAAGGTCAGTGCACGTGTGTCTCTTCCGCAGTTCGCGCTTCACGTCAGCCAAAGCAACCCTGTCAGCAGTGGCGAAAACCAGGTCGTCGACGTAGACCAGTACAGAGAACGGTGTGGAGCCACGCCGAACAAACAGCGACGGGTCGGCAGAAGACGGCTGGAAACCGAGGTTAGACAGGGTAGAACGAAGGGTGTCGTGCCACTCACGAGGAGCCTGACGGAGACCGTAGACCGGTCGCCTTAGCCTCCACTGGGTCCCAGGAGGGAAGGTGCCAGTGAAGGCAGAGGGACGACGCAGCCAGACCTCCTCGTGTAGGCTACCCTGAAGGAAAGCAGTAGAGAAGTCGAGAGAGTGTAACTCGTAGTCTCTCTGTGCTGCTACGTGCAGTAACACCCGAAGAGTGGTCATCTTCGGGGTAGGCGCGAAGGTCTGAAAGAAGTCAACTCCCTCGCGCTGACTGAAACCTCTAGCCACATAGCGCGCCTTGAAGACCGGAGGAGATCCCGGTGGCCGCTTCACCCTGAAGATCCACATGCCATCGACTACGTTCGCCCCAGGGGGGGGAACCTCGTCAACGTAAGTGCATGTGGATCTGTAGGAGGCCATCTTTGAGTCCATGGCAGCTCTCCACTGAGAGGGCCAAGGCCCTGACACTGCATCAGCGTAAGTGCGAGGAGTCGGTATGTCAAGGGCGTCAGGGTCTCCCTCAGGGGCGAGCAGCATGGCACAGAGATGAGGGGAAGCGGCTGCCAGGAACTCTAGCTCAAACTGTCTGTCCTCTAGGGCGTCACAGCCAAGGGCAGACTCACCCCCGACGGGCAGAGGACTGGTAGGAGGAGCAGCCACAAGACTGGTGGCGTAGTCAAGGCGGCGAGTAGAGGCAAACTCAGTGACTGCGGCAATAAGAGCGGAGACAGAGGACAGAGAAGCACGTGGGTCGGTAACAAGAGAGGCGAGAACACGAGAGAGAACAGGACGGTACGTGCGGTAGTAGTCTGTGACAGGAGTAGAGAGGGAAGCGGTGAGAGCCGACTCAGGAGGAGGAGGAAGTATAGAAGGAGACGAATGAGGCAGACTAGAACGAAACAGGGCAGTACGAAGGTCAGTGAAGGGAACAGGAGACGAGGGACGAGCACGAGGACAGCGACGCGAAGACCAAGTGTGAGAAAGAGGAGGGGACAACGGGGGCAGAGGAGGAGGGAAAACAGCTGGGGAGGGGTCAGGAGGAGGAAGCGGAGGACCAGAGACGGGAGGAGAGGGGGAGGAGGGAGGAGAGGGAGAGGGGAGACCAAGGGTCCGAAGACCAGAGACAGGAGGAGGAGGTGGCTGCTGCTGCTGCTCCTGCTGCGGCTGCGACCGCTGCTCCTCCAGCTGCGGCGGCTGCTGCTGCTCCTGCTACTGCGGCTGCTGCTGCGGCTGCTGTTGCTACGGCTGCTGCTGCTGCTGCTGCTGCTCCTCCAACCGCTGTAGCTCCAGCTGCTGCCGCTCCAACTCTCTCTCCTCTCGCTCCACCTCCAGCTGCTCCTCACGGGCATGGCGTACACGGGCCTGGTGCCGGGTCGGGTAGGGGTGGGGGGGAGGAGTAGTGTCCGGAGCGGTGGTAGCCCCAGGACCGCTCTCCAAAGAACCAGTCGCACCACCCCCAGAGCCTGCACCACCAGAAGTAACAGGGTCCGTCCCAGGCTCTCCAGGTCCAGCAGAGGGTGCACCCCCAGTCGTAGCACCCCCAGGGACAGCTCCACTAACACCAGCTCCTCGAAGACTAGAGTCTCCTGCAGTCACGGGCTCAGCTCCAACTCCAGCACCCCCAGAACCAGGACCTCGCACAGGTACGCTCTCTGCTCCAACTCCAGCACCTCTAGAGCTAGCACCTCCAGGGTCCTCGCCACGAAAACCGGCTCCCGCAGGGTCTGCTGTAGGCTGGGAGGAGGACTGCGGGGAAGGAGGCTGCACCTGAGGGGCTACCGAGGGGGGAGGGGTAGCGTGGGACACACCTGACAGGGCGGGACCAGGAGGGGGAGGTTGTACCGGGGGAGTAGGAGGGGGAGCTGAAGTCAGGAAGAGAGGGGGAGGAGGAACCGGGAGACCTCGACAGGGGTACCTGACGTAGTAGGGGACGGACTCGTCGAAACGGACATCACGAGAGTCAAAGAACCGGTGAAGGGGAGGGTGGTAAAAGGTGTAGTCAGAGGAGTCAGCAAGGAAACCAAGGAAAACGCAGGGAACAGCGCGAGGCGAGATCTTGTCCGCGGAGGTGTCGCGAACAAGTGCCAAGCAACCCCAGACACGAAAACGCGACGCAGCACCAGGGGACCCGGTCCAAAGGCTGGTCGGTGAAACCTCTGGCCGAGAGACACGTGGCCAGAGGTTCAGCTGGTGAGCGGCGTACCGAACCGCATAGGGCCACAGAAAATGGGGGGCACGGGCGTGAGTCATGGAGGTGCGGGCGATCTCCATGACCAAGCCTATGCGGCGCTCAGCAACCCCATTCTTCTGTGGGGACTCTGGAAGCGTCCAGTACTGACGGATGCCCTGCTCACGACAGAATCCGGCGAGAACGCCAGAGCGAAACTCAACCCCGCGGTCGGAGTGAAGACAGCTGACACGACGACCACGAGTGTCCGCAGTGGTAAGTAACCACCAGATCAGCGTAGAAGTCACGTCGGACTTCTTCGCCAGGGGGAACACTGTGGTGTAGCGGGAGTAGTCGTCAACGACCACGAGAAAGAAACTCTCTCGCTCAGGGCCAGGGCGCGAGGCGGGGCCCCAGATGTCCAAGTGGAGAGTCTCGAAGGGCTCGGTGGCCGGACGAAGGGAGGAGGAGTGAGGGGTGGCGCGCATCCGACCCTCGACGCAGGGACCGCAAGGTGGTGCAAGCGAAGGCGGCAGCGACGGCAAGACTCGCGGGAGGCCTAAGACAAGACGCTGACTAGACATAGCGCACATGCGAGAAATGGACGGGTGCCCCATCCGGTGGTGCCACAAAACAGTGGGGTGGGCAAGTGACCGACAGGAGCACGACGCAGCAACTGGATCAGACACCGGAACCTGACCAGACACAGCTACCTGGGGAGACGCGGCAACCTGGTGAGACGCGGGACCCTGACGGGGGGCAGTGACAGGGGTCGGGGGCAGTAGCTGCTGCCGCTGCTGCTGCTACTGCTGCTGCCGCTGCTGCTGCTGCTGCCCTCGGGGGCCAGTGTGAAGTGTGTAGAGACCAGAGCCCGGCTCAGCGGTAAAGGTGGCGACAGGCGCGTACGTGTCCCCGTCGACACAAACCGCAGTCTCGCCAGAAGGCTCAATCCACACACCCACGTGCTGACTCACGAGCGGCCTCACGCCCACCAAGTTCCTCGAGAACGAGGGGACGTGGAAGCCGGTCAAAGAACCGGAGGGAACAGCCGGGCACGGAAGCGTAGTAGTGTAGCGAGCAGTGACTGGTCCCGAAGTGGGATCAGCCAGTGCTACAGAGACTGGCGTAGGAAGCGGGGTAAGTGTCGTGCGGTCACGGAAGAAACAGTGCGAAGCTCCGGAGTCCAGAGTGAAAGACAGCGAAGCGTCCTCCGGAGCAGCTCCTGGACTAGTGTCTACACAAGTACCTACACTAGCAACAGGCACCTCAGCAAGACTTGCACCTAAGCTAACAACACTCGAGTAAACAGAGTCAGAAGCACTAGAGTCAACAGCAGCATACATAGCATGAGGAGTTCCTAAGATATCAACCAACTGAGAAGCCGACATGCCCCACAGAGTGGGGCCGTACGTCTGAACAAGGGGAAGCCAGTCAGGGGCAGGGCCGTCAACGCCGTAGGCCAACCGAACCGTGTCAGTAAGCTGAGCAAAGCACTGACCTGGTGGGTGGCTGCGGCCACAAGGCTGGCCGCGGCGGGCACCGCGCTGCAGCTGACGCTGTCCTGACCCCTGCCCCGAAACCTGCTGCTGCCGCTGCTGCTGCTGTGGCTGCTGCGAGGGGAGGGGCTGCTGCTGCTGCTGCTGCTGTCGGTGAGTCAGGTACCACGCCGCTACTCCACCCCCTACGGCTGGCAGACCAGTAGGTGGCTGACGAACCCGGGCGTCACCTCCACCACCTGCAGCAGGGGAGTCACCGGCCGCTGTACGAGACGCTCCTCCAGCCCCTGCACTCCCGCCGCCGCCGCTCGCCACGTCACCCCCACCACCTCCGCCGCCTCCGCCCGCACCCTGACCGCCCCTCCTGCCACTCCTACCCCGATACCGCGAAGAAGTCGTAACAGCAGCTGCGGTCACATCAGTAGCGGCAGTGGCGAGGGAGGCAGTAAAGGTGGGCAGCTGAGGGACAGTGCACCCGTGAAACAGTGGAGGGGGCACAACACCAGAGGCAGATGCTACCGAGCGGAGGTTGCTCTCGACGTCCTTGAGGGCCGACTCAAGGACCTCGATAGTGAGCTCGCTAGGGTGCTTCAGAAGAAGCGCGCCACGAACCGAGGCAAGGCGGTCAGGGAGGCTAGTGGCGATGAAATAGATAGTAATCGCCATGGGGGGAGGGAGCAGTGCAAGCTGTGCGTCAGTGCAAGCAGCGCGGTAGCTAGAATCGAGCGAGCGCAGATGAGTGATCAAGTCAGCAGTGCGCTCGAACGAGGCGAGGTCAGAAAACAGGAATGGAAGGAACAGGCGACCAAGAGAGACAGTGGTGGGAGTAGCGTAGCGGGCCTTGATCGCAGTCAGGAACTCACTAGCGGTGCGAACTTGAGTGAAGTGGGTCTCCTCAGACTCAGGGAGGAGGCTGCTGAGGGCGATGCAGGCCGCAGCGTCACGCGACTTCCACGCGGTCACGTCAGCACGCTCGCGTGCATAACGGTCACTGTCTGCAGGTGTGGGGTCAGCTGCTAAGGGTGCAGGGTCGTCGGGCTTAGGAAGGTCGCCAGAAGCGTGTGCCCACAGAGACTCATCTGCCTGAACCTGACTCTCTAAAAGGCGGCGCGCACGCAGGAGCCAGACGGAGAACTCAAGCGGCCTACCCTCGGCGTCAAAACGCAGGACCCTAGGGGTCGCCATAGCAGAAGCTAAGAGGTGGTAACCGCTGTTGCCGAAACCCTAAACGCCTAAAGGGCTTGCGTAGGGCGTGACAGACAGTGTTGCGCGACGGGACAGGATGCAACTGGCAGGGACGGGCGCGACAGGTGCGGACAGGCAGGGCGCACGGGGCGCGACGGACGGGCAGGGCGCAGCGGGGGCGCGACGGACGGGCAGGGCGCACGGGGCGCGACGGACGGGCAGGGCGCAGCGGGGGCGCGACGGACGGGCAGGGCGCACGAGGCGCGACGGACGGGCAGGGCGCACGGGGCGCGACGGACGGGCAGGGCGCAGCAGGGGCGCGACGGACGGGCAGGGCGCACGGGGCGCGTGCGACGGAACGGGACGGGAAGCGCGACGCGGACGGGACGGGACGGACGGCGCGACGCGGCGGGACAGCGCGACGCGACGGGACAGCAGGGAGAGGCGCGACGCGACGGGACAGCAGGGGGCGACGCGACGGGTCAGCACGGTCGACGGGACGGGACGGGACAGTAGGGGCGACGCGACGGGACAGCAGGGGCGACGGGACGGGACGGGACAGCAGGGGCGACGCGACGGGACAGCAAGGGCGACGGGACGGGACGGGACAGCAGGGGCGACAGGACGGGACGGGACAGCAGGGGCGACGGGACGGCAAGCGCAGCGGACGCTAGGGCACGAGAGGGACGAGCGCGATAGGCGCTAGGGGACCGTACGGGCGTAACGGGCACTAGGGTACGGGACAGGCTCGGGCGCTACGGACGTGAACGAGAGGAACGGGATCCCACAGGATCCTAACCTAGGTGATACCATGTCAAGAATGAAAGTGTTGGTTTGACTAAGGTTGGTTGGGGTACATAAACCTAACCCTAATAGTTGTACCCCCTATAACACACATCACTAAGACTACAACATTTGACAAGATTGCATACCCTGGTGGTGAGTGAGGAGGAAGCATTTGAATCAAACACATTAAACTTGAAACAGGTGGCCTGGTCGAATCCAATCGCAACATGAGCCACCTTCACATCGGCAGGCCCCTTCACATTGACAACCATTGAACGTGCATCTCTGTTATCTGCAAGCCTGTTTTTTATGGTTGACCAACAGCTGCCACCCCAGTTCCCATTGTGCATGGCTGCTTGCAATGACTCCGCTTTACCACGTGACGCCAGTTACAGCATGCCTGGCCCTGCCAAGGCAAAAGAAAATCGGAGCATTTAGGGAGTTCCGGGTAGAGCTGTAGTTAATGTGAGAACTGGTGCTGGTACTCACTTGAAAGGACAGTTACCGTAAGCCTGAGGAGATCAAACTGTAGATGAAGAAAAATTGTCACCCACATGCTGGGAGGTATTTGCTGGAGAAAGGTGAAATCTGATTGGTCAACGTTCTCCGTCAGATCGCCAAAAAATTTTGGACCATTTCTCGATTTGTGCGTGTCATCCTTGCGCAGGGGCCATGCTAATCTTCTCTGTATCGTTCCAATTTTAACGGATGTCCCGAAGGACGAAGACGAAGGTCAACTGCAAGCTTCATAGAGCATAAATGTTTGTGTATTTGTACATTGTGGTGCTGACTCTTGAAATAAGAAAGTCAACCTCCAACTCATCACCTCTCAAATATGAATCCAACCCAAAAGCCAACTAGGATGCACTTCGCTTTATCCTGTCGCAACGTTTCCCTCCTTGCATTCGCCACTTCGAGGCCACTTCGCACTCCCACATGTGCATGCCCATCATTTTCATTAGGTATCCTACCTTCTAAGGCGCATCGAAAAGAACCGTTCACAGTTTCGAGCCGGCTTAGCAACTCGTCGAGTTGTTACAATAGTATCATCGAATTGCATCTCGCGTCTTGTGATCCCTAGTGGCTACGTGGCGATTAGCGTCAGCCGCAGCAGCAGCCGAGGAAGAAGCATCAGCCTGGGCCACGCCAGCGGCAAGATAAGATGAGGCTGACGTGGCAGGAGTGGCGATAGCAGTTAAGGACTCTTTAAATAGGGGAAGGTTGTGCAGCGCGTATATCGCATAAAAAATTAGGCGTTGGTGCAAAGGCGGCTTACCTACAACAATAACAGCAAGAACACGCAAGAGAACGAGCAGCAGCAACAATCTTTGCACATTTGAGACGTTTCAAAGCGGCAAGAGCGGGACTATGCCGTGACGGCTGATGTTTGAAGACTACTCCAGGTAAGGCAACAGCGGTGAAGTACAAGCAGCGGCGTAAGAAGGGAGGGCATCTCTTGCAGATACGGTATTAGGGTAAGGGCTATGACGCTGCTAGAGTGCACAAGGCGATGCCGTACAGAAGATACCTCACAGCGTGAAGCTCACACTCGCCTTGTGCCATACTCCTCTCCAGCACCTTTTGGGTGCGCCCTAATTTTGAGAAAACGGACAAGTGGTAAGCTACCGTAGGTTGAATCTGTTTTGGGGATGATGAGGGGGCCATTGCGAACCGACTTTTCAAAACTTTTGCACACCTCAGTGATTTGGCCAGTGCTGCACTGCACAGCACACGCCCCCTCCCTCCACCCCTACCATCCTGTTCCACCCTCTCAGCCCTGCCTGTTACCAAGTCTCTCACTTCACTACCCCTAGCAGCCCTTTTCAACTGGAAGGATGAACAGAAACAGGTTACCCTAGCGGCTCACAAGTCAAGAATGGGGATATGTGCGCATATCCTTGTTCGCAAGCCATGCATAGCCATTTGCGCTGTCTTGGTCTCGCTCACTTCACTACCCCTTTAATTACCCCCTTGTATCTGCTTTTTCTGCTCCCAGATACGGTATATGCCTTAGCAGGCATGTCATGTCGTCTAGGTTCCGGAAATTGTCTTAACGCCCCTTCAATTATCTACTACACCCTTGGGAAAATCTCCTGCTTTGCCCCTAAAATATATATTTATTTCACTGCTCGGGAAAGAACTTCTATGCCTCTTGGAAGATTTTCCCCAAACGCATGATGCCACTGGCCCTCTTCTTCCTGTCCTCCTTAGAAGCAGTCTTGTCTTTCACTACAAGCTCCACCACGTGGCGCAGTGTACTCTCTATGTCCAGCACGCTTATCTGTTGCAGTTGGCAAATGGAAACGAGGAATAGGGCAGGGCGGAGGGGAGGGGGGATGCAAAGAAAGCAGGGGATAGAAAATGAGCAATGAATTGAGGGAGGGAGGGAGTGTGGGAGTGAGTGAGGGAGCAAGTGAGGGAGCGAGTGAGGGAGAAAGTGAGGGAGCGAGTGAGGGAGCAAGTGAGGGAGCGAGTGAGGGAGCAAGTGAGGGAGCGAGTGAGGGAGAAAGTGAGGGAGCGAGTGAGGGAGCAAGTGAGGGAGCGAGTGAGGGAGCAAGTGAGGGAGCGAGTGAGGGAGAGGGAGGGTTGACCAGGTATAAGACTGCGAAACCCAGAGTTGAGGGGTATATGCAAACTTTATTCTAGAAATGCAGAAACGGTGGCACAGCAGAAACCAGGTAATGCAAAGATGCACACGCTATTTGTTGTGAGCGGAACTGGTATGTTGAGTTAACTGGTAGAATGTGACTATAACGAAAGCTGTTGTCAAACCAAACCATAACCAGTTCGAACCAGGTACGGGCATGCTCACAAACCGGTTCGGGTTTGAGTACGCAAAAATCGAACCGGTTCAGTTTGATTGTGTTTGCATGCCTCCTGACCAATACTGAAGGGAATGCACGCACTGAGGTAGACAAAAGGGAAAGCACTGAGCTAGACCAAGGGGGTGCATGCACTGACCAGCCACACGGTCGGGGAGGAAAGTAAAAAAAAAACAAGGACACTGACCAGCCACACGGTCGGGGAGGAAAGTAAAAAAAAAACAAGGACACTGACCAGCCACACGGTCGGGGAGGAAAGTAAAAAAAAAACAAGGACACTGACCAGCCACACGGTCGGGGAGGAAAGTAAAAAAAAAACAAGGACACTGACCAGCCACACGGTCGGGGAGGAAAGTAAAAAAAAAACAAGGACACTGACCAGCCACACGGTCGGGGAGGAAAGTAAAAAAAAAACAAGGACACTGACCAGCCACACGGTCGGGGAGGAAAGTAAAAAAAAAACAAGGACACTGACCAGCCACACGGTCGGGGAGGAAAGTAAAAAAAAAACAAGGACACTGACCAGCCACACGGTCGGGGAGGAAAGTAAAAAAAAAACAAGGACACTGACCAGCCACACGGTCGGGGAGGAAAGTAAAAAAAAAACAAGGACACTGACCAGCCACACGGTCGGGGAGGAAAGTAAAAAAAAACAAGGACACTGACCAGCCACACGGTCGGGGAGGAAAGTAAAAAAAAAACAAGGACACTGACCAGCCACACGGTCGGGGAGGAAAGTAAAAAAAAAACAAGGACACTGACCAGCCACACGGTCGGGGAGGAAAGTAAAAAAAAAACAAGGACACTGACCAGCCACACGGTCGGGGAGGAAAGTAAAAAAAAAACAAGGACACTGACCAGCCACACGGTCGGGGAGGAAAGTAAAAAAAAAACAAGGACACTGACCAGCCACACGGTCGGGGAGGAAAGTAAAAAAAAAACAAGGACACTGACCAGCCACACGGTCGGGGAGGAAAGTAAAAAAAAAACAAGGACACTGACCAGCCACACGGTCGGGGAGGAAAGTAAAAAAAAAACAAGGACACTGACCAGCCACACGGTCGGGGAGGAAAGTAAAAAAAAAACAAGGACACTGACCAGCCACACGGTCGGGGAGGAAAGTAAAAAAAAAACAAGGACACTGACCAGCCACACGGTCGGGGAGGAAAGTAAAAAAAAAACAAGGACACTGACCAGCCACACGGTCGGGGAGGAAAGTAAAAAAAAAACAAGGACACTGACCAGCCACACGGTCGGGGAGGAAAGTAAAAAAAAAACAAGGACACTGACCAGCCACACGGTCGGGGAGGAAAGTAAAAAAAAAACAAGGACACTGACCAGCCACACGGTCGGGGAGGAAAGTAAAAAAAAAACAAGGACACTGACCAGCCACACGGTCGGGGAGGAAAGTAAAAAAAAAACAAGGACACTGACCAGCCACACGGTCGGGGAGGAAAGTAAAAAAAAAACAAGGACACTGACCAGCCACACGGTCGGGGAGGAAAGTAAAAAAAAAACAAGGACACTGACCAGCCACACGGTCGGGGAGGAAAGTAAAAAAAAAACAAGGACACTGACCAGCCACACGGTCGGGGAGGAAAGTAAAAAAAAAACAAGGACACTGACCAGCCACACGGTCGGGGAGGAAAGTAAAAAAAAAACAAGGACACTGACCAGCCACACGGTCGGGGAGGAAAGTAAAAAAAAACAAGGACACTGACCAGCCACACGGTCGGGGAGGAAAGTAAAAAAAAAACAAGGACACTGACCAGCCACACGGTCGGGGAGGAAAGTAAAAAAAAAACAAGGACACTGACCAGCCACACGGTCGGGGAGGAAAGTAAAAAAAAAACAAGGACACTGACCAGCCACACGGTCGGGGAGGAAAGTAAAAAAAAAACAAGGACACTGACCAGCCACACGGTCGGGGAGGAAAGTAAAAAAAAAACAAGGACACTGACCAGCCACACGGTCGGGGAGGAAAGTAAAAAAAAAACAAGGACACTGACCAGCCACACGGTCGGGGAGGAAAGTAAAAAAAAAACAAGGACACTGACCAGCCACACGGTCGGGGAGGAAAGTAAAAAAAAAACAAGGACACTGACCAGCCACACGGTCGGGGAGGAAAGTAAAAAAAAAACAAGGACACTGACCAGCCACACGGTCGGGGAGGAAAGTAAAAAAAAAACAAGGACACTGACCAGCCACACGGTCGGGGAGGAAAGTAAAAAAAAAACAAGGACACTGACCAGCCACACGGTCGGGGAGGAAAGTAAAAAAAAAACAAGGACACTGACCAGCCACACGGTCGGGGAGGAAAGTAAAAAAAAAACAAGGACACTGACCAGCCACACGGTCGGGGAGGAAAGTAAAAAAAAAACAAGGACACTGACCAGCCACACGGTCGGGGAGGAAAGTAAAAAAAAAACAAGGACACTGACCAGCCACACGGTCGGGGAGGAAAGTAAAAAAAAAACAAGGACACTGACCAGCCACACGGTCGGGGAGGAAAGTAAAAAAAAAACAAGGACACTGACCAGCCACACGGTCGGGGAGGAAAGTAAAAAAAAAACAAGGACACTGACCAGCCACACGGAGTTGAGGAATTCGCTGGGTGGGGAGGAAGGAATGGAGTGAGCACGGGATGGAGGGAGCATTGCAAGGGGGGCACCCTGGCCTGCTTGCTTGCTGGGAAGCTTGGTGGGGTCCACCGTGACCTGCATGTCCGACAGCCTGGTGGGGAGGAAGGAATGGAGTGAGCACGGGATGGAGGGAGCATTGCAAGGGGGGCACCCTGGCCTGCTTGCTTGCTGGGAAGCTTGGTGGGGTCCACCGTGACCTGCATGTCCGACAGCCTGGTGGGGAGGAAGGAATGGAGTGAGCACGGGATGGAGGGAGCATTGCAAGGGGGGCACCCTGGCCTGCTTGCTTGCTGGGAAGCTTGGTGGGGTCCACCGTGACCTGCATGTCCGACAGCCTGGTGGGGAGGAAGGAATGGAGTGAGCACGGGATGGAGGGAGCATTGCAAGGGGGGCACCCTGGCCTGCTTGCTTGCTGGGAAGCTTGGTGGGGTCCACCGTGACCTGCATGTCCGACAGCCTGGTGGGGAGGAAGGAATGGAGTGAGCACGGGATGGAGGGAGCATTGCAAGGGGGGCACCCTGGCCTGCTTGCTTGCTGGGAAGCTTGGTGGGGTCCACCGTGACCTGCATGTCCGACAGCCTGGTGGGGAGGAAGGAATGGAGTGAGCACGGGATGGAGGGAGCATTGCAAGGGGGGCACCCTGGCCTGCTTGCTTGCTGGGAAGCTTGGTGGGGTCCACCGTGACCTGCATGTCCGACAGCCTGGTGGGGAGGAAGGAATGGAGTGAGCACGGGATGGAGGGAGCATTGCAAGGGGGGCACCCTGGCCTGCTTGCTTGCTGGGAAGCTTGGTGGGGTCCACCGTGACCTGCATGTCCGACAGCCTGGTGGGGAGGAAGGAATGGAGTGAGCACGGGATGGAGGGAGCATTGCAAGGGGGGCACCCTGGCCTGCTTGCTTGCTGGGAAGCTTGGTGGGGTCCACCGTGACCTGCATGTCCGACAGCCTGGTGGGGAGGAAGGAATGGAGTGAGCACGGGATGGAGGGAGCATTGCAAGGGGGGCACCCTGGCCTGCTTGCTTGCTGGGAAGCTTGGTGGGGTCCACCGTGACCTGCATGTCCGACAGCCTGGTGGGGAGGAAGGAATGGAGTGAGCACGGGATGGAGGGAGCATTGCAAGGGGGGCACCCTGGCCTGCTTGCTTGCTGGGAAGCTTGGTGGGGTCCACCGTGACCTGCATGTCCGACAGCCTGGTGGGGAGGAAGGAATGGAGTGAGCACGGGATGGAGGGAGCATTGCAAGGGGGGCACCCTGGCCTGCTTGCTTGCTGGGAAGCTTGGTGGGGTCCACCGTGACCTGCATGTCCGACAGCCTGGTGGGGAGGAAGGAATGGAGTGAGCACGGGATGGAGGGAGCATTGCAAGGGGGGCACCCTGGCCTGCTTGCTTGCTGGGAAGCTTGGTGGGGTCCACCGTGACCTGCATGTCCGACAGCCTGGTGGGGAGGAAGGAATGGAGTGAGCACGGGATGGAGGGAGCATTGCAAGGGGGGCACCCTGGCCTGCTTGCTTGCTGGGAAGCTTGGTGGGGTCCACCGTGACCTGCATGTCCGACAGCCTGGTGGGGAGGAAGGAATGGAGTGAGCACGGGATGGAGGGAGCATTGCAAGGGGGGCACCCTGGCCTGCTTGCTTGCTGGGAAGCTTGGTGGGGTCCACCGTGACCTGCATGTCCGACAGCCTGGTGGGGAGGAAGGAATGGAGTGAGCACGGGATGGAGGGAGCATTGCAAGGGGGGCACCCTGGCCTGCTTGCTTGCTGGGAAGCTTGGTGGGGTCCACCGTGACCTGCATGTCCGACAGCCTGGTGGGGAGGAAGGAATGGAGTGAGCACGGGATGGAGGGAGCATTGCAAGGGGGGCACCCTGGCCTGCTTGCTTGCTGGGAAGCTTGGTGGGGTCCACCGTGACCTGCATGTCCGACAGCCTGGTGGGGAGGAAGGAATGGAGTGAGCACGGGATGGAGGGAGCATTGCAAGGGGGGCACCCTGGCCTGCTTGCTTGCTGGGAAGCTTGGTGGGGTCCACCGTGACCTGCATGTCCGACAGCCTGGTGGGGAGGAAGGAATGGAGTGAGCACGGGATGGAGGGAGCATTGCAAGGGGGGCACCCTGGCCTGCTTGCTTGCTGGGAAGCTTGGTGGGGTCCACCGTGACCTGCATGTCCGACAGCCTGGTGGGGAGGAAGGAATGGAGTGAGCACGGGATGGAGGGAGCATTGCAAGGGGGGCACCCTGGCCTGCTTGCTTGCTGGGAAGCTTGGTGGGGTCCACCGTGACCTGCATGTCCGACAGCCTGGTGGGGAGGAAGGAATGGAGTGAGCACGGGATGGAGGGAGCATTGCAAGGGGGGCACCCTGGCCTGCTTGCTTGCTGGGAAGCTTGGTGGGGTCCACCGTGACCTGCATGTCCGACAGCCTGGTGGGGAGGAAGGAATGGAGTGAGCACGGGATGGAGGGAGCATTGCAAGGGGGGCACCCTGGCCTGCTTGCTTGCTGGGAAGCTTGGTGGGGTCCACCGTGACCTGCATGTCCGACAGCCTGGTGGGGAGGAAGGAATGGAGTGAGCACGGGATGGAGGGAGCATTGCAAGGGGGGCACCCTGGCCTGCTTGCTTGCTGGGAAGCTTGGTGGGGTCCACCGTGACCTGCATGTCCGACAGCCTGGTGGGGAGGAAGGAATGGAGTGAGCACGGGATGGAGGGAGCATTGCAAGGGGGGCACCCTGGCCTGCTTGCTTGCTGGGAAGCTTGGTGGGGTCCACCGTGACCTGCATGTCCGACAGCCTGGTGGGGAGGAAGGAATGGAGTGAGCACGGGATGGAGGGAGCATTGCAAGGGGGGCACCCTGGCCTGCTTGCTTGCTGGGAAGCTTGGTGGGGTCCACCGTGACCTGCATGTCCGACAGCCTGGTGGGGAGGAAGGAATGGAGTGAGCACGGGATGGAGGGAGCATTGCAAGGGGGGCACCCTGGCCTGCTTGCTTGCTGGGAAGCTTGGTGGGGTCCACCGTGACCTGCATGTCCGACAGCCTGGTGGGGAGGAAGGAATGGAGTGAGCACGGGATGGAGGGAGCATTGCAAGGGGGGCACCCTGGCCTGCTTGCTTGCTGGGAAGCTTGGTGGGGTCCACCGTGACCTGCATGTCCGACAGCCTGGTGGGGAGGAAGGAATGGAGTGAGCACGGGATGGAGGGAGCATTGCAAGGGGGGCACCCTGGCCTGCTTGCTTGCTGGGAAGCTTGGTGGGGTCCACCGTGACCTGCATGTCCGACAGCCTGGTGGGGAGGAAGGAATGGAGTGAGCACGGGATGGAGGGAGCATTGCAAGGGGGGCACCCTGGCCTGCTTGCTTGCTGGGAAGCTTGGTGGGGTCCACCGTGACCTGCATGTCCGACAGCCTGGTGGGGAGGAAGGAATGGAGTGAGCACGGGATGGAGGGAGCATTGCAAGGGGGGCACCCTGGCCTGCTTGCTTGCTGGGAAGCTTGGTGGGGTCCACCGTGACCTGCATGTCCGACAGCCTGGTGGGGAGGAAGGAATGGAGTGAGCACGGGATGGAGGGAGCATTGCAAGGGGGGCACCCTGGCCTGCTTGCTTGCTGGGAAGCTTGGTGGGGTCCACCGTGACCTGCATGTCCGACAGCCTGGTGGGGAGGAAGGAATGGAGTGAGCACGGGATGGAGGGAGCATTGCAAGGGGGGCACCCTGGCCTGCTTGCTTGCTGGGAAGCTTGGTGGGGTCCACCGTGACCTGCATGTCCGACAGCCTGGTGGGGAGGAAGGAATGGAGTGAGCACGGGATGGAGGGAGCATTGCAAGGGGGGCACCCTGGCCTGCTTGCTTGCTGGGAAGCTTGGTGGGGTCCACCGTGACCTGCATGTCCGACAGCCTGGTGGGGAGGAAGGAATGGAGTGAGCACGGGATGGAGGGAGCATTGCAAGGGGGGCACCCTGGCCTGCTTGCTTGCTGGGAAGCTTGGTGGGGTCCACCGTGACCTGCATGTCCGACAGCCTGGTGGGGAGGAAGGAATGGAGTGAGCACGGGATGGAGGGAGCATTGCAAGGGGGGCACCCTGGCCTGCTTGCTTGCTGGGAAGCTTGGTGGGGTCCACCGTGACCTGCATGTCCGACAGCCTGGTGGGGAGGAAGGAATGGAGTGAGCACGGGATGGAGGGAGCATTGCAAGGGGGGCACCCTGGCCTGCTTGCTTGCTGGGAAGCTTGGTGGGGTCCACCGTGACCTGCATGTCCGACAGCCTGGTGGGGAGGAAGGAATGGAGTGAGCACGGGATGGAGGGAGCATTGCAAGGGGGGCACCCTGGCCTGCTTGCTTGCTGGGAAGCTTGGTGGGGTCCACCGTGACCTGCATGTCCGACAGCCTGGTGGGGAGGAAGGAATGGAGTGAGCACGGGATGGAGGGAGCATTGCAAGGGGGGCACCCTGGCCTGCTTGCTTGCTGGGAAGCTTGGTGGGGTCCACCGTGACCTGCATGTCCGACAGCCTGGTGGGGAGGAAGGAATGGAGTGAGCACGGGATGGAGGGAGCATTGCAAGGGGGGCACCCTGGCCTGCTTGCTTGCTGGGAAGCTTGGTGGGGTCCACCGTGACCTGCATGTCCGACAGCCTGGTGGGGAGGAAGGAATGGAGTGAGCACGGGATGGAGGGAGCATTGCAAGGGGGGCACCCTGGCCTGCTTGCTTGCTGGGAAGCTTGGTGGGGTCCACCGTGACCTGCATGTCCGACAGCCTGGTGGGGAGGAAGGAATGGAGTGAGCACGGGATGGAGGGAGCATTGCAAGGGGGGCACCCTGGCCTGCTTGCTTGCTGGGAAGCTTGGTGGGGTCCACCGTGACCTGCATGTCCGACAGCCTGGTGGGGAGGAAGGAATGGAGTGAGCACGGGATGGAGGGAGCATTGCAAGGGGGGCACCCTGGCCTGCTTGCTTGCTGGGAAGCTTGGTGGGGTCCACCGTGACCTGCATGTCCGACAGCCTGGTGGGGAGGAAGGAATGGAGTGAGCACGGGATGGAGGGAGCATTGCAAGGGGGGCACCCTGGCCTGCTTGCTTGCTGGGAAGCTTGGTGGGGTCCACCGTGACCTGCATGTCCGACA